CGTTCTTTCCCTACAAGCCTCAGAAGGAGGAGAGACCCAGCTTTTCTCTCATTGAAATCCATGTTAAAGGATCAGAGATTTTCTCCTCAAAACGGCTTCAGACAGCTAAAAGTTTATCGTCATAGCTTCTAGACAATTCATGGTAGGCGCATAAAAATCGGCACAGATGATCATCAAAGTCCTCTGCCACTCACGCTTTTTGAATTTTTCAAATCGCTGCAGTACTTTTCGAATGGTGATGAGAAGTTTGACAGGTCCAATTTCACTTCTGAAGGACAGATTTCAAGGGTTCTCTCGTTAACAGGAGCATAGGAGGAGATCCCAGGGGGAACGGGGGGGGGGAAAGCGTCCCTCCCTCACACAAAGTTGCCCCCCCCCCCCCCCCCCACACACACACACACACAAAAGTTATTGTAAATGTATAAATGCTATCAGTAAACCTGTATTCTAAAACCACAACGTAAAAGTTAGTCTGCAAATACAAAACAATGTGTTTTTAATTGTTGAGAAATTATAGTCCACCCCCCCCCCCCCCCCCCCCAATTCCTCAAGTTGGTACAGTCGGTCCACACGCGCTGTTTCCAACGGGCGGGGCTGCCGGCTTTGCCTCGCTCACAGCATCCCGCAGGCTCACAGGAAGCGGTAATCAAAAAGCCAGGGTTTCCAGCAGTAAGTCAATTATCTCACGCTTGTTCTACAATATTAAATATGTCAAATGTGGTCAAAAATGATGCAGGAAGATGAGAGACACAGAACAGGAAAATAGCTCAATAAAAACAAGAAAACAAAACAAAGTGTTGAAAAGTAAAATGTAGGTAGATTTATCTCCACTACACACATGTAATATTTATACTTTTGATACAATTCAGATCACCTTCAAAACTCAGTCACACACCCAGGGCCGTTCCAAGACATTTTGGGGGCCAAGGCAAAATGACCCCCCCACCCCCCACCCCGCCCCACCCACACACACAAAATAACATACAAGAGAATTAAAGAGAATTTCAGGTGAAGCGCTTGCACATACTGTGTTATTGTGTGGTTTGTTCTGTGTGTAGAAACACGTTCAATTTGATTGACCGTCAGAAGGTGGGAAAGTGCCCCGCTCCTACCCAGCTCCCTTATTGGTTGAGAGAGGTCAATCATCTTCTGGCTAGATGGAATTACACACCCACGCATGTGAGACATCAAATTGATCGGCTTGGCCAAAGGAATCCATCCATCTACATATAAATCCATACATGCTTCTATCTATCCATCCATCCATCCATCCATCCATCCATCCATCCAATAAACCATCTAACATCCATCCAGCAATCCATCCGTTATTTCATTCATCCAACTCTTCATCCATCCCATATCAAATCTGAACATATGTTCATCTATCAGTTTCACATATCAGCAAATATTTCTAAATTCACAGTCCAGCCAATTGTAAAAATGTACCCGTTAAACTGTTCTCATTCAAAGGCCAGCTGTTTAACATTTCACATTTCGCGTTTTTGATAAATGTTCAAAGATTACAATTGTCTGCTGTTTAGCATTTTGATCCATTCTTCGCCTATATTCTGAGCTACATTACGCTTGTTGGTGATTTTTGCTTCTACATCTTTAAATACATTCAGCTCATTTTGACCGTTCTGCTTTGTTTCAGCTTCAGCTCAGCTGTTCGGCGGCTTCAGCTTACAGTTTCGGCTGTCCAGCATTCAAACAGCATTTGTGCAACAAATGCAATTTTTCTAGTTATTGTTTGTTTTTGTGAACTCTCCCACCTTCCACCTCTTCCTATCCTCTTACCCCTTTCCCTTTGATTTCTGTCTCCGTGTCCATTGGACTTTAACACAACAATATTTCTAATAAAGTTCTGGTATCAGGTGAGGCATTATAGGTGAAGCTATACGGCTCCACCTGTGAGATTAAAACTGTTAGGTTTGTTTTCGGCACTCTGGCATAAATTCTGATTGCTTTACAGCCAAACAGGACATGGAAAAAAAGAAGTACAGCTGGGTCAGGAGAATGACTGGGCTGTTTTAAAATGGTTTTTCCCAATGATGTAAAAATGTAAACAGACAAAATTTCAGTTTTGGATGGAATATCCCTTTAAACAAAACATTAATGTGGGAAATAAGCGAACACCTAGGTATACAAGAATCACCAACTTCACAACACTCATGCCATTTTCTTGTGTAATGGTTTTAAATGTACTCATCAAGAAATTGTGTGTTTTGCAAGCTGTCTTTATTTGGCTCATGTCAACAGCTCATCTGCCCCCTTCCTCTATGTACCTCCATTAGAATGGTAAGGTGAGAGCAGGACCTTGATAATTACCTTGCTGACATGATGTCATCCAACACCACTTACCCTATCTAGTTAGCAGTACCCTTCTGGGAGCAACACTCTCATAGTTTCAGGGCAGTAACCTCTGTCACGTGGCAAACAGGAAGGTTGAATGATCGTCTGGTGTAGTAAAGCTACTTGTTCTATGTTGTATCTTCTCTGCTGCAAAGCTGCAGTTCTCTAATGTCATGAAAGGCAAAGTCAATCAAGAGGCTGGTAGGACAGTCAAAAAGGCCACCAGTGACAACGATGCAGCATTTTAAACCAGATTACCAAAACAAGGTAAGGTGACCCTAGAGTTCTGATGTTACCACTTGATTATCTGCTTTGGTCAAACGTAACTCATTTATTAATTAGCTGCTGTGTTTGTATCAAGTGCCTGGTAGGACTTTGAAGTCAACAGAAAAGTGTTATTTTCATGCAAAACCTTTAAGGAAATGTTTATTTTGTTGCTAATTGATTTTATCAGTTAAAACAGGTTGAAGTTTGTCAAGAATGACTGTTTTGTTTAACATTTCTTTGAAATCATTCATTGCGTGTGCACAATTTTAACAAACCTGCGTGATTGTTTTTACCTACTAAAGCAATTTATTTTAAAATGTGTTTGTTTAGGTTTGCATGATTGCTTCATTAAATCTGGTTCTTTAACCATTTACAAAATGTCCCTTCTAGCTTTTGATCTTGTCTATGTGATGAAGTGAATCAAGAATGAAATGCATCTTGTAGCAATTCTTTTCCCAAGTTTGGCTCTTGCACAGTTGCAGGAAACTAACAATGTAGATCATACACAATCCTTTGCAAAACTGTGCAAATGAAATATTTTTTCTTAATTCGTCTGTTTGCATTTTTATATTTCCAGCTGGAAGTCTATTTAAACTCATCACCAACTTGAGAGCTTCTGACTGATCTCTTTTGATGTTTAGCTTTTTCAAGAGGGTCATACAGATTGCACCTTTTAGTAGAACTAGCATGAGCTTGTAAAGAAACAAGAATACACTTTGAGTTATAACAGAATTACACCAGATCTACATCAGACAGACTCATAAACACCCATGCAGCTACTTTAGATTCTATTAGTTCAGAGAAGGTTCATTTTATAGAAACGCCAGCAGAAGTCTGCACTTTGTGTCAGTGTGAATAAGCACAGTGCAAATTAAAACCAGACCAACAAACAAGAAAGTTAAAGCAAAGCATGCTACCCCAAGAACATCATGCCCCTAAAATAATTACTGCCATTAAACAAAAGTAAAATATTAAGTCAGAAAAGCCTCCTTTTGACTTGTCATGGAAACCTGAAAGCATCAGCTAGGTGGGAAGTAAGACACAGCTGATTGTACAAAATGGAAATAAGGCAAGGCAGCTTCATCTGTATTGCACATTTTATACGTAGGCAATTCGACGTGCATTATCGGGAATAGTACAAACATTAAAATAATGTGACAGCACTAATTAAATTCACAAAATAAATTCAGATCAAAGTTAAAAGGTGAACAGTTACAGTACATAAGGTGCAGCATAAGAAAAGTAAAACTCAGAACACACATCACAGTTGGACATTTGGATCTGTAACTAAAATTGAAAATACAGAAATTATACTTTCATTCTTATTTTTATTTCTGCCAAGAAAAATTGTCAAATGTCTAAACAAGGACATGTTCCAGCTGCACTAATAACTGAAACTAAACTAAATAGCGGGTGTAATCCATTTGTGTTTGTAAAATATTTCCTGAAAGGGTTTGCTCTTATTGAGCCCTTAAATAGAAAAAGTTCAGAAACAATGAAAGAAGAGAGATTTTCAAATGTGTGTAGCTGTGAAGCACCTGAGATCATGTCTGTACCTCCCCGGCAGGTGGGAAACTCAGACTTCTGGTTGGAGTGGTCATTTAAAGTACAGCTGGCTGGGCAGACACCAGTGACAGCTTAATAGGTCTGACCCTTTGAGGGTGAGAGTGCACGCAGACGAGAAAGTGATAGCAGGTTAAAGAGAGAAAGATATAGGAGAGGTGAGTTACCGAGGCGAGGAGCCGTCATGTCGCAGATGTTAGGAAAGCAGCTCTGGAGACAAATTGTTTCCAAGGTCATCTGGGTAAGAATTCATGTAGCTCTGGGGTCTCATTTTCGTTCTCTCTTTTCATTTGATTGTCTTTTAATAGCACTTTCCTATTTTAGCTCATTATGCTGTTCATGGGCTTTTTAATTTACAACAACGTGGTTTGAAATGGTACTACGTAAAATGGCTGCTTATTTCCAGTCTTTAGATAATTTGATTCAAGGCAGCTCTGCTTGTAATGATGCTCATTTGTCCTTTTGCATTTATTGTGTCACATCAGTTTTCTATTTAGTTGTAAAAAAGACAGTGTGTTTCTTGTAGGGATTGTCAAATTCGGTGTGGCTTATCTCTGGATGTGGCTTTATTTGCCTCTGAAAGCTTTTTAATGTTACCTTTATACTCCTCTGCCTCTGTTGACCCCTGCGTCTGTACAAAAACTACACATGGATGTGTGTCTGTCTGTCTTTGCTGAAAGGCGAGTGGGTTTTGTGTGTTTTTGTGTTCCTCCTGACATCAACTGAGTTTACTCATTAGAATAATCTGCACTTTAATTCAGTTTTACTGACCTGCCATGCTAATGAATCCATTACCTTTGTATGTTTGTTTTGTGTAGCAAAAGCTGAAGGAGGAGCGTGAATCTAAGCGTGCCCAGCTGGATGGAAGACATGACTACATTCTCAGTATTGTGGCCTCATGTCTGGGGCTGGAGAAGGCTGATGTGGAAGATGCCATATTGGATGGGAATCAGGTGGTTATTTTTTTAAATCAAACTATTTATTTTCATTTTAAATTAAACATTTTAGTGGCATCTGCACTACATTAAATGGGACAAAAACATCTTCGAAAAAACACAATTGTTTATTTTTTGAACATTTGCCATTTAAAGGTGTGGTTCACTGAAAAAAAATGTTTTTTAATTGTTATTTCTGATTATAATCGTTCACTCTGAGTTTGTCATGCAGACTAACATGAAAAAAGCTCTCCTCTCTCCAGACTGCGACTTACAAGGCATTCATTTCTACTAGAGATTACTGCAAATGTGTCGATTAAATGAATGTTCCACACCTTTGTGGAGATTTAAAATAAAATGAAGTTATCCTCTTGCATTTGTCTAAAAACCCCCGCCACTCACACAGCTCAGTCCTAAACCAGTGATTGGACCATTTGGTTGTCTGTCTCACCAAACTGCTGCATGTCTGCATTTACCTGGGTCCTCCATTCATCACACACTCATTTAGCAACAGAACACCACTGGTGTGTGAGGTTCTCCACTCAATACAGTAATATCAGAGGAGAAACAGCAGGCTGCTACCACAGTCCCAAAAAGAAAAACACCATTTTGAAGTCACGGACAACAAAATATGCTTGCCACCTAGAAAATGATGACTGGTGTTTAGCACATTCTTGTTTATTGTGCAGGGTTTCCCCCAGCACTTTATAAGCCTGGCGGCCCACCAGGCTTTGCTTGGCCACCCGCCGAGCTAAGCGTCATGCCCCGCCCCCACGTTCTGCTGCTGGTGAGAAACAGTAGCAGAACTACAAATTCCCATATCAGGAGGGCATGGCCTAGTGATTAAGCTAGTGAGTAACCGCCTTGGGATTTTTATTTTGAGGTGCTAAATAAAAAATGTTTCTTCTTCTTCTATGGATGATAGCCAACAGGAGGGGTGGGAGTTCTCTGACTGTGTTTTTTTTATTCAATTCAATTCAATTCAATAATACTTTATTAATCCCAGAGGGCAATTAGAGTGAATGGCTAGCTTGTTTTGCAGATGTGCCAATGCAGTTTTAACAACGTACCTTGAACCTGTGCTGCATCCCATTATGCTAAAAGTTGAAACCAAAAAAACCAAACAAAAAAAAACTTTTAAGTTAGACCACCACCATTCCTCCTCTCTGTCCTTTAGCACAGGAGTCCCACAAGGCTGCATGCTGAGTCCCTTCCTGTACTCCATGTACACACATGACTGTAAGCCCACCCACAACACCAATGCTATCCTTAAATTTGGCAATGATACAACCGTGGTGGACTCAATCAGACAGGGAACTGGGTCACCGTACAGCGAAGAATTGCAGCAGCTGGTGGATGGGTGAACAGCTAACAACCTGACCCTGAACACCAACAAAACCAAATAAATCATCATTGACTCAATAAGACAAAAGGTGGAGCACTAGTCACTCACAATAATGGAGAGCAGGTGGAGAGGGTGTCAGTTCATGTTCCTGGACACAAACATATCAGAGGACCTCGCATGGACACACAACAAAGCTCACTTGGACACACAACATGTCTGATAAAGAAGGCACAACAAGGGCTACACTTCCTGAGGGCATCAGGAAGATCAACCTGCCACTAAAACTGCTGGTTTGGTTTTATCACTGCTCCATAGAGAGTGTCCTAACCAAAAGCATCCTGGTGTGGTACATCAGCTGACAGGAGGGCTCTGCAGAGAGTAATCAAAGTTGCAGAGAAAATAAACACACACCTGCCTGCCCTGGATGACATTTTCACCATGTGCTGCCTTTGAAAAAAAACCATCCTAAAAGACCCAACCCCCCCTGCTAACCTTTTCTTCTAACTTCTTCTGTCTGGTAAATGATGCAGGGGAATAAAAACACGCACCACCAGGATGTTAAACAGCTTTAATGCAAGAGCCATCACTGAAGTGAACGTTGCTGCTAGGAGGCCACACTAACAGGGATTCTGATGGACAGTTAGTGCACCACAGCACCTTTAGTTAGCTAATCCCAATACCTGAACATGTGACTGTTTACATTTATATTTACTTTATATTTCAGTTTATAGTTTAGACTTGTCTTATCACCATATTTATATTGATACTTTTACATTTTTGCACCTTAAACTGGCTGTGTGTGTGTGAAAGGTGTGTGTGTGTGTGTGTGTGTGTGTGTGTGTGTGTGTGTGTGTGTGTGTGTGTGTGTGTGTGTGTGAGAGAGAGAGAGAGAGAGAGAGAGAGAGAGAGAGAGAGGGAGAGAGAGAGAGAGAGAGAGAGAGAGAGAGAGCGAGAGAGAGAGAGTGCGTGGCATCTAGTTTAGCCTTGTTATTTTATTTCACTACCTCTTATGTGAGCTGTCTTTAGCTGTCTTCTTGTTGTACACCTGTGCAATGACAACAACTTATTTTGAATCACAGGAGACCTTTTTACTACTTCAGTGCTTTTCGTGGACTATTTGTTCACTTTTCATTGATTGTAACAAAATACAATTTTGCAGTACGGTCTTATCACGTTTGCTCCAATGTAATATATAAATCTTGTTCAATTACTTATGCAAGACATTTAAAATTTGTATTTTTATTGATACTTGATTTAATGTAATTTGTTTTCTGTTTTATTTGGAGTTTTGTGCTTTTTCACATGCCTTAAATAATACAAACAACTGTGGTTTTCTTCCTTGTCTTGTACAGATTGAACGTATGGAGCAATTCTTTGTGTCAAACGGTCTTCCACACCTGATGTTTTACTATCAGGATACAGATCCAGCTGATGGAGGTAACACAAAGAATAACTAGAAATCAACAAATGAACAACATGAAGATTCTGTCTAAATACTGCAAAAGAAATTTAGGATTTGATGCTGAGCAGAATCAAATTTTATGAAATTTGAATGCACTATTAACATCACAAAACAGAGTTTGCAGTGGCAAGTATACAAAATTTTAAACTTGAGATTATTTTGTTCAATTTCAGCAGCTGCAGCCTCAACACCCTCCCAGATTGAGTCTCCACATCCTGGTCAGGAAAAAAGATTGTTTGTAACAGATGGCAGAGATGTGGCCCTGACCGGAGTGTGTGTCTTCTTCACTAGAGCCATCACTACGAAGGCAATAACCTCTGAGAACATACACAGGGTGAGTCCCTTTGTACTGTTTTACTGAAAGCAAAATTATAATCAGGTTAACTAAGGACTAACGAGTTATTGGAAATATCAAACTTTTGCCAGATTTTCTCCTTTCTAAAGGAATAAAAGGGACGCTGTCATTGTTTACAATCTGTCCCACTGCAATGTTGCCAAGTTTGAGCTGGCATTTGTGATTTGACAGTGGCCGATAAAAAGCAACAGGATTGGGAACTTTTTTCAATTACTGATAACTCAATATTACAGTGAGTTGTATATATCTATTCATTTTTATATCTACTTCTGTATGACTTCTCTTCGCTTGTCATTTACACTCCTTTGGCACTAATCTGTAACTGGCAACCGCCATGAAACTAGTTTGTTTCGATGCATGGATTGCAGTAACCACATTTAACCACAGGATGTCATTCTTACTTCATAAACCTTGAAGTAAATCAACATTTAATCTTTTTTTACGTGTAAATTGTTAACCTCAAGTGATATTGCACAACTGATTTGTTCTAAAGATTCTCAAGCCCGCAGGTCAGCCACATCTAGTGTAACAAAGGAAACCGTATCCTTGTTCTTATTCTTCCTTATCCAAGAAGGAAGAGGTGGTTTGTTTAACATCTGCTTTCCAGTGATTTTCCATTTCTATGATAAATAAGATCCATTTATACTTCTCTTGTCCAAAATAAGACAGCAGAGGGAGATCATCAATGGCCCTGTGGTATCACAGGCAATTCTGGCCATTGATTGTAGCGGCCCTCCTGCTGTTGGCAGGAAAGCCAATACCCATATCAGGTTGTGTTTGATACAAGTCACAGCAAAAGAAAATCATGGAAAAAAGAAATATGTACGTTTGTGATGAGGTAAAGAAGCTTTTCTTTACACCCCAAAGAGCCTTCTAAAGGTTCAGCAGCCTCGTGTGATTACGGCAAATCTATTTCTTTCATGTTTGTGTCCACAACAAAGCCTAAATGTACACGGGAAGCAATATAAAATTGGATAAGAAAGAGCAGCTGGCAATGAGAACATCAGGTGGATGAGAGATACAGCTGTAAGATATGATAATAGATATTAAATATAAATTAAATGAAAGCTAAAATGGATTTACAGCTAATAAAAGACTAGCAAGTATGTTATCTAGTGTTGAGCCTGTAAGGGTGTTTTGTGTATCCATAACTCCTCAGTTGTTAGAGATGCAGTCATGCAGTGTCATCACTAAGGACATTTTTACTAAAACATTCCAGAGCTCATTCTAGAGCAGGTCTTCACATCACTTAAAACATCTTTACCAGTAAGTGTTTGATTACCCTTGGAATTCCAGTGAAGCCAGGGTATCAATACAACTTAATGTGTTTTCTCTTTCTTCCTACGAGGAAATGATTTAAATGAATAGTTTGGTGAGATTCTGTAGAAAGGCATGAGCAGTTGTGTTATTTGTGCTGTTACTTTTGACCGGACTGATGAGCTGATGGCCAGTCTGAGCAGGGCATCAAAGTATATTTCTGCAGATTTGAAATAGCTCCAATTTGAAATGACATACATTTCATTCCTGTTATCCATCCATCCATTTTTGGCCGCTTATCTGGGGTCTGCAGGGGCAGTAACCTATGCAGGGAGCCCCAGACTTCCCTCTCCCCAGCCACTGTGGGCAGCTCCTCTGGGGGGAATCGCAAGGCGTTTCCTGGCCAGCCGAAAGACATAGTCCCTCCAGCGTGTCCTGGGTTTTCCATTAGACCTTCTGCCGGTTGGACGTTCCCGGAAAACCTCACCTGGGAGGTGTCCAGGAGGCATCCTAATCAGATGTCTGAGCCACCTCAACTGGCTCCTCTCGATGTGGAGGAGCAGTGGGTCTACTCCGAGCCCCTCCGAGCCCCTCCTGGATGACTGAGCTTCTCACTGAGCTTCTCACTACCCAAAACTCATGGCCTAACAAATGGCCTAGTACCTCATACTCCCAAAGTACCCCCGAAAGGGCCTCCAGAGGGACGCAGTTGAATGCCTTCTCCAAATCCTCAAAACACATGTGATTTGGTTGGGCAAACTCCCATGCACCCTCCAGGACCCCTTTAAGGGTATAGAGCTGGTGCAGTGTTCCGCGGCCAGGACAGAAACCACATTGCTCCTTCTGGACAATGTGCTGGACCCTCCTCTCCAGAACCCCTAAATAGACCTTACCAGGGAGGCTCAGGAGTGTGATCCCCCTGTAGTTGGAACACACCCTGCGGTCCCTCTTTATATTTATTTATTTATTTTCAAATAGGGTGACCATGGGCATAGTTTTGACCTTAAGTAAAGTGTGTGTGTGTGTGTGGGTGGGTGGGTGGGGGGGGGGGGGTGGGGGGGGGGGGATACAAAAATATGTATAAAACTACAGCCTAGAAGCTCTTTTATACAATGTCAGGAATGCAGAACTGTCAAAGAACTGTAAAGTACTCAGGTGGCAGGAATAGCCAATCACATACTAGCAAGTGTCAACAGAGATGAAACAGGCTTCAACAAAAGCAGTTGTTTTCTGCTTGGTCCTAATGCTCAACCAGTGTCTATTTAATATAGCATAATATTGTTTCTGGAAGGTAAAAAGTGCAGGGGACAAAAATTGACTTTGGACAAAGTGTGTGTGTATGTGTGGGGGTGGGGGCATGTCCCCCCAAAGACTACATCCATGAGCGGGACCACCACCCCGGTCTGTCAGTCCAGTGGAACTTTCCCCGATGTCCATGCGATATTGCAGCCAACACAACCCTACAACATCCAGAGCCTTAAGGATCTCCGGGTGGATCTCATCTACCCCTGGGGCCTTACCACTGAGGAGTTATTTCACCACCTCAATGACCTCAGCACCAGAGATTGGACAGCCCAACCCAAATTCCCTGGACTCTGCTTCCACTCTGGGAGACGTTCCGGTGGGATTGATGAGTTCTTTGAAGTGCTCTGCACACCGATCCACGACATTCCAAGTAGAGGTTGGAAGCACACCATCAACACTGTAAACAGTATTGGTAGCACGCTGCTTTCCCCTCCTGAGACGCCGGATGGTGGACCAGAATCTCCTCAAAGTCATATGAAAGTCTTGATTCATGGTCTCACCGAACTCCTCCCATGCCTGGGATTTTGCCTCCACGGCCACCTGAGCTGCATTCCACTTGGTCTGCCAGCACCCATCAGCTGCCTCTGGAGTCCCACATGCCAAAGAGACCTGACAGGACTCTTTCTTTAGCTTGATGACATCCCTAACCGTCGGTGTTCACCAGCGGGTTCGGGGGTTGCCACCACGACAGGCACTGACGACCATGTGGCCGCAGCTCCGGTCAAAGGAAGCATGGAACATGGCCCACTCAGGCTCAGTGTTCACCGTTTCATGTTTTGAAAATAAAATCCTGTCTCTAAAGAAAACTCTTTTCTTTGGTCCAGCACTTTTTGCTATTTTTTTTCCTTCTGTACTATAGCCTGTGGCTGTTGTGGTTAAAACTGTGCTATGATCGTTATAAACAAAGTTAGGAAGAAACCCATCTCCAAATTAACATGAAACAGTCGGGTGAAAAAGCAATTAACTTAGGGTCAGAAATCAAGACTATTCCCATTTTCATTGGTCAAAACAAGCAGAAGTGTTCAATATAAAGCAACAAGCTGCAGCAGTACATGTAGATTTTTTCTTTTGTATGTACAGAGATTATAAATATATGCAATTAAGCACTTTCTTGTCATACAGACAAGGTTTATTATAAAAGCCATGAGCTTTAATCATGTGACAGATTTGTTCTATAAAATGATTACCATCCTTTAGAGTACAAACAGGATCAAGAGATATCTCCACATTTTTACAAAATGACCTCAGCTACAGATGTTGTCAGTGCCATAAGCTATTTTTGTAAAATCAACAACTACAATGCTGATAATGAGAAATGAGATAAGATAAGGACAAAAGTGTGAACATGTCCTATCCAGAAATGTTGAATCAATATAATGACTTCTGCAAATGAATTTAATTATATTATCTGAAAATGAATCCTTTTTTCTAATTTCATAGGATGTGAATTTCAACATGCTGGACACGGCAGAAGTAGGTCTGTTAAAGAGTGTGGAACAGTTGCTCTCTGATGTCTTTATCCCCACTCTGAATAAAATCAACCATGGCTGGGGAGAGCTGGCCAGTCCCCAGGCCCAGACTGTTAAACAGGAGTTCATCTCCTCACTTGAAAGCTTCGTGTCTGTCCTGGTTGGGGCTCAAGAGAGCCTGAAAGAAAAGGTAGGAAATGAATGTTCCTTCATGAGGAAGAAAATATGGAAAAAAAATCAAGCATACAGAGATAAATTCACATTGGGTTGTTTCTAGGTGACCTTAAAGGAATGTGACACATTTGACCTGCGGGTGCTGAAAGGCCCAGCAGACTACAAGGCAGCAGCCAACAACTTAGAGACCACAGAAAGGATGGAGGCCTGCATGAAAGTTTGGATTAAACAGATAGAAAAAGTAAGAGGATTCTCAAGGATATCTTCTTCCTTATTTCATGCACAAGTCTGAAATCTTGTGTGCCTTTTTTGTGCCAAACAGCTTGAGGAAGAATTTTTAAAGATAGCTTGTTTTGCATTTCATAATTACTTCATTGTCTTTGACTGAAGCTGAACACATTAAGTGTTTGACAAAAATTGAGACATGGATTGTGGAACAAAGCATTCACCAAGCTGCAGCAGCTACTTGAAATGTGTTCAATGTTTTTATTCAAAATCAAAGCAACTGTGTACTTGTCCATGGCAGTCAAAACTTCACACACCAAACATGTCCTGAATTCTCCTGTGAAATATATTTGTTAAAAAAACACCAAATGAATAACAGTAGAAATCATGTGAGCGTACACTTTCCTCCAGGTTTTGGCTGACAGCGATCAGCTAAGAACAGAGGCTGATGACCTTGGTCCTCGAGCTGAGCTGGACCACTGGAAGAAACAAATGTCTCGCTTCAGCTATCTTCTGGACCAGCTGAAAAGCCCGGATGTCAGAGCGGTACTTGGTGTGCTCTTGATGGCCAAATCTAAACTCATTAAGGTCAGACATAATTCTATTTAGTTGAATAAACACTATTGGTACAAAATTTAATAATGCAGTAATCCGGAGTTATCCCCCTTACAGGAATTATATTTTTAATCTGTTAAAAGGATAGTCTCCCCTTGTACTGTGATATAATGTAGACAACACATCGAATTATTGTTCTTTTCTAAGCCCGTCCTAAGCTCCATGCAATTTGAAAAGCCAATGGACATCAGCTTACATATTTACAGAGCATGATTACTTTTAACTATATGCTGTTCTGACTTTTTTCTTTCTGCTAAACATTTTATGTATTGTAAAATGTTATGACATTAAAATGCAGCAGTTCTATTCTTGGTTTAGTCCTGGAAAGAGCTAGACACCAGGATCACTGATTCAGCCAATGAAGCCAAAGACAATGTCAAGTACCTTTACAGCCTGGAGAAGTTTTGTGATCCCCTCTACAACAGCGATCCCGTAAGTATAAAAAAATATATTTACTAGATTTAACCTAACTGCAGTGTGTCCTTGTTGAATTATTAAAAAAAAAAAACTTGTGTATTTTTCCAGGTAACAATGGTGAATGCAATTCCAGGTCTGATTAATGCCATCAGGATGATTCACAGTATTTCTCGCTACTACAACACATCAGAAAAGATTACATCTCTTTTCGTCAAGGTACTGTAGTTTTAGTTGTTATTCTACATATATGTGTTCCACATACAGTAAATCAATCTCAGGTTCAATTAAATCCAAAATTCAATCATTTCTTTATTTTACCAGGTTACAAACCAGATGATTACAGCTTGTAAGGCCTACATCACTAATAACGGACTAAATTCAATATGGGACCAACCCCAGCCAGTCGTTGTTGACAAAATCAAAGCTGTAATCCACTTAAACCAGGTGATGCAAGATCTCATTTTTTACTTAAACCATACATTTCTCTCAGAGGTTTTCTGTATAATTTGAGACAAATTATTGTTAGTAAAGTTCAGCTCTGCTAATTTTATATATAGTTTTATGCCTTTTGTACAGGACATGTGTCACAGTGTAACACCCTTAAATGTTTCACATTTCTAGCTAGAATTACATGAACGGAATGGGTTTCCATTTAATCGTGCATAAGGCAAAACAAAACAAAAGCTTATTTGGTTTTGATGAGATCGGCAGAGATTTGTTTTGTGTTGCTTAGGAATACCAGCGGTATTTCCGGAAAACCAAGGAGAAGCTGGAGCAAAGTCCCTCAGAAAGACAATTTGACTTCAGCGAGATGTACTTTTTTGGAAAATTTGATGCATTCCAGCAACGCCTTAACAAGATACTGAAAATGTTTCACACCATGTCAACCTACTCGGCACTGCAGGACTCCAAGATTGAAGGGCTAGAAACCCTTGCCACCAAGTTTCAAGTACGTAAATCATTGGGGTGGGCTGGTTTAGAGATACTTTTAGTTAGTGAACTGTTGATGCTACTGCTCACCAGCTGAACTTGTACTGTTTTTCAAATTTAATCAAGAGGTGGGTGAGGGTCAATTGGGGATGGATACCTTACACATTTTAATCGATTAGGTACCAACTCACTGTGCCAGTTTTCGATACTTTTGAGTGTTTAATAATTAATGAATCCTCTTTTTTAATTAAATGTTTTTCTAACTATATAACCATATTTGATAAATATAATGATAAATAACATACAAACTGTTTGTATTTTATCATCTCAGTGTTGTCCAAACTTCTTCAATGTGAAAACGTGAAAACCTTTAACCACAACTTTTTCGATGATGATACAAAAATGATACCAAAACTAAAACTCAGTTCCACGTACTCCTATTCCTTTCCTTTCACCTCTGAACAAACTGTGTGATGGGTGGGTCCTTGTAGTATTGTATTTTCCTACTCATAAGGCGAAATTTCCGAGTACCAAGGAGAAAGCAAGCGCACTATTAGCTGCTAGCAACGGAAGCTAACATGATCATAAATAGTTTATTTACCTGCTGGAGCAGATTAAGACGATGATTACGCATTTAGAATGTTGTCAATATCAGCATCGCCCAGGCACCCATTGTATTTAGTGAAGTGAAGCCAAACTTTAGTGCAATGTTTCTCTGCCTACTCGCAAGTCGGAATTTCCGAGTGCCGGCAAGGAGAAAGCGAACGCACCATTAGCTGCTAGCAACGGAAGCTCAAATCTCAAGCTAACGTTATCCTAAATAGTTATTTACCTTATGGAGCAGAATAAGATGATGCTAACTCACTTAGAACACTGAAAATGTTGTCATCATCACCCAGTCACCCGTTGCATTTGGTGAAGTAGACCCAAACTTTAGGGCATGGTCTTTCTAGCATGCTGCCTTCGCAGTTTACATCTCGCCCGCAGCAACTGACGACATAATGCTCTTGTGCATGCCCTGCTGTCTATCTTGGGAAATTAGGTATCAAACGCTAGTGTGTAAGTGGCAAAACGTACCAAAACAAGGCACCATTTCATATCACAAGAATCGGTTCTTGGTCGGTACCACGGAATTTGGTCGGTGACTTAAAAAGTACCAAATACGGTACCCACCTCTAAGGTCAATTGAAGGCTTCCATACCAATAAGAAAATTAAAGCCCCAGAGTGTAATATTTGTACTTGTTTACTATCAAATTCTGTGTATCCCCTCCGCAAACGTTTATAATTTTCTTGCCAATGTGAATTCTAAGTATTCTTATTGGCCTAAATATTTACATTTTATATACATAATGTCACAAGCGTGCCAGTGAGTGAAATGGAGGTGAGGATCCACACGCGGGTGAGGAAGGAGGCAGGCAGGCAGACAGGAACATGTAAAACCAGGATTTATTTAGGGACACGTAGGACAATGAAACAATGAGCCAACAAGAGACACAGAACTGAAGGGGTTTAAATACATGAGGGCTGGGTGCTTGGGTGATTGGAAAACGAGAGGCAGGTGGGAGCAATTAACAAAGACACATGACTGAACAGAATGGGGAGACAGGACAGGGTGTGACACATAAACTGTGATCAACACGTAATAGCCACGCGCCGTCTTGAAATATAGTAGCTGTTTAGGGATATATAAGATATAGAGATGGTGTGGGTTCTCTCCGTGATAGCCTTGCTGGTTTGGGGAAATTCTGCTCCTTGTTTTTAGGTTATACTTGCCCTGCTCCAACCACACGTGACATCTTTTACTACTCATCGCATGTTTAGATAATTTTTAAAACAGAATAAAATGAATTGAACGGACCTGATTTCTGGATAGAAAGCTGGAAGACGTTTATGACATGCTGCCTTTTTATGCATGTGGGCTAACCGTAGATGTAATACCTAATCTGAACTGTGTGGCACTGAAGAGTTTAATTTTTTTACATGATGAGCCTTTACGATACATATCCTGTATGTGAATCCCAAGTGTGAAGTCCAAGAAAACAAAAATGTACCTATGTCTAATATTTACCATGCCATTAGTTTGATATGTTGAGTTTCTTTGATTCTCTCTTGAAAAGTTTTTTTTTATAAAAAGTATTAAACTGACATTTATTAGTTATTACAGACAAATATTTTCAATGCATGTTGCCTAATTAAGAGTGTACATTCATGAGTACCTGAAATATTTTAGATGAAAATATATTTAAATATTACAATATTGTGTGAGCAACTCAAATGTTTGTTCAGCTGAGTATTTCAGATGGAGGGTTTGCTGACAAAGATTTTTGGCTCTACAAACACTTTGCCAGTGGTAGATTACTGTTTTTATTCTCTGGTCTTTTTATGCATAATAGTTATTGTTGTTTTCAGAATCAGATTGCACTGCTTTAGGTTATAATTGAATTTGTGAATCATATCAATTTGCTGCATCGGGTTGTCTGTAATCAGTTTGTGCCTCCTTTTCTTGAGGGTGTTATAATATAAGATTTCTGTTTGTTTTTGCTTCCACGGATGTTCAGACTGCAGAAATGCAGGCAAAATGGGAGGTAATGTTTCGCTGCAGCTTTTATTTATGCATGGCTCATTCTTAGTCCTCAAGTTGGGAGCTTGCAGTACTAAATTAACATCCCTGAATTACACCAGTATGTATGTTTGAGAGAAATACTCACTGCATGAAATATGGACAGTTAAGTAAATATTAAACTTCTTAAACATTTCTTAGGCCATTTAGCATTATTATTTTAGTTGATAACAACAAATCAAGAAATTTGCATTTGAGGCCAGTTGATGGTAGAAATTGTTCACATTGATGTAGGGCGATTAAAATCCTACACTAGGTTGCTTTTTTCATACAAACGGTGTATTTGTATTTCATATATAGTGTACATATAAAACTTTTTAAAAAATAAATCTTACTCATGCATCTCATGTATAATGCGTGATAAAATTGGAATAAGCCACAATACAATTTAAACAAAGACGCACAAATTTCCAAATTCTGTTTGGTTTCATGTTCTGGCAAGTATTACCAGGTCTGCATGCCACGGCTGCTGTGGTGTTTGTTGTTGTGATCCTGTGTACTCACATTTTCTAGTTTTCAGGTAAAGACAATTATTGAGTACAATAAAGCTAAACTAATTGAATTTTTTGCATGCTGTCCTTACCTGCTTTCATTTCTGTCGTTTCATGGTCTGATGCACAATAAGAGCTGGATCTCTTATTAAAGACTCTAGTAGTTAGATTTGTAGTGGATGCATGACTCCTAATGCTAATAAGATGTGGTTTTTCCATTTCAACATTTATTCTACTCTTTGCTTTTCATCCTCGTCAACTACCACACTAACTACCACACTAATACTATTGCACTTCTAACATAAACAAGTTTAGAAATATATGAAATTTGATTGAGAGTGGGGTGATCCTCATAACAACAGAACAAATATCTAAAGTTTCACACATTTTGTTCTAAACCATGATTCATTTTCAGAAAAGCCCGTTCATGCATGTTTTGGACTTAAAGCTTTTGTGTCTAATAGGTTATTGTGACAAATATGAAGCAAAAGCATTACAGTTTCCTGGACCACAGAAAGATTGACTTTGATGTTGACTATGCAGAATTCTGTGAGAGCACCTCTGAACTCCATGTAAGTTAACTGGTGACACAACAAACTGATTTACATTTTGAATTTGGTTTATCGGGTCATTGCAAAAGAACCCTTATTGCACATGTGCATATGCAAACTGGACAGAAGATTTTATCTGTAGATTTTGTCCACTTGTGGAACTGAAATTAACCGATTTGGTTGCGGAATATTTTTTAAAACCATACTCATGACATGATGTGGGTAGGAGGTTTGGACCCAAAGTGCAGAAACCCAGGACAACACAGGCAGGAGTCAGTGGTATTGAAGACACAGGAGAACTGAAGATAAATGAACTAATGACCTAAATGGGGAAGGGACACAATACCCTAAAGGGGATAAGAACTAGATAATCTGAACATATAGAAAACTAAAGACATGAAGTGACTAGGGAGAACATGAGGGAAGGGGGCTGGGGACCAAAGGGACACAGAACATGACAGCGTATAGTCTTCAAACAGAGATTTGCTTACAGAATAAAGTCTTGACCAGAATGTCCATTATCTAAATCTATTGGACATAATTGCATTTCCCCTTCATCTGGCGGCAGTCCCTTTTGTTAACAGGTTTTTGGTGTTTTTTTTCTTTTTCCAGAACCAGCTGAAGAGTTTTATGGATACAACCTTTGAGCAAATTCAAAATACAGAACGAGCTTTAAATGTGCTGAAGAGATTTGAAAGGTTCCTCCTGTCTTTCATATTGATTGTGTTACCAAGGTTTAAAAACTTCAAATTTCAACTACCTCTCTTTTCTTTTTCTTTAATAAAAAACAGGCTGGGCATTCCTGATCTAGGCATTGATGAGAAGTATCAGAGCATTTTCCAGAATTACGGCCGTGACATTGAGATGGTTTCCCACTTCTACGAGAAGCAGAAAATGGACCCCCCCATTGGGAGGGACATGCCACCAGTGGCGGGCAGGATCATGTGGACTCGGCAGCTCTACAGGCGAATCCAGACGCCAATGGATCTTTTTCAAGAGGTTGGGCAGAATTTAGGATTTTCTATTGCTGAGCTTAATCCAGGAGTTTATTTTTGTGTATTTTAAGGGATATTTGTTTTATGTTTTCTATTGCTCCTAAATTCCCATGTAGCGTCCAGGAATTCTTTCAGCGCCAGATTCTAAGAGGATTATCAAGAACTTTAACAGGGTAGCAAGAGTCCTGTTGGAGTATGAAATACTCTACCATCACAGCTGGCTGACAAAGGTACAAAAAATAGAGCAAACAAGGGGAAAAGAAGATAGGGCGATGTAGTAAAACTGATCATTTTGTACGAATACAATTATTTATGGCCTCAGTATGTACAGCACAAATAAACTTTGCACTGTTAATATTGAATTTATTCTTTATTAATTTCATAATTTCCATCTCCTCTTGCTTTTTGTTGACATTTTTTATACTGCCAGCAACCCCCCATTTCCCTGTTTTTACCTGACATGTCCCACACAGATGGGGGATTCCAGAGCAGGCCTGCAAGTCTCACTGCTGGTCAGGTCTCTAGAAACTGGGAGGCTGTTTGTGAACTTTGACCCAGAGATACTGACCCAGATCAGGGAGGTGGACTGCATGACACAAATGAATCTGGAGGTTCCTCCCTTTGCTGCTCTGTTGCAGCAAAAGCAGGTCACACTTAAGAAAAACCACAGCAAATTACAGGTAGGGAATACATTTACAACCTAAACAAAAAGTATCAGAAAAAATATTGAATTATGCAAAAAGAAAACCAGTAGGATAGACTACTGCAATTCCCTGCTTTCTGGTCTTCCCAAAAAGAGCATCTCAGGCTTACAACTTCTACAAAATTCGGCAGCACGTGTCCTGATGAAGACCAGGAGGCGGGAGCACATGACACCAGTTTTAGAATCATTGCATTGGCTCCCCGTATGTTTCAGGATCAATTTTAAGGTTCTTCTAATGGTTTTTAAGTGTCTTAATGGTCTTGGGCCTTCTTATCTATCAGAACTGCTTTTACAATATGAACCCTCGCGGACTCTGCGCTCCTCTGGCAGGCGTCTCCTGGTCATCCCTAAAGTCAGGACACAAACTCACGGCGAGGCGTCCTTCCAGTGTTATGGCCCTCGCCTCTGGAACGAGCTGCCAGAGGACCTCAGGGCCGCAGAGAACGTTGATGTTTTTAAGTCAAGACTCAAGACCCATCTTTTTAGGTTAGCTTTTATCTAAATATTTACCACAGTTTTATTTCTCGTTTTACATGATTATATTTTATTACTTGCTTTGCATGTTCTATATGATTATATTTTAGCACAGTTTTATTATTTAAATTATTATTTTACTGTCTATGATTTTATTTATTACTTATTTTCTAATTGTTGTCATTTATATTAGCTCTTTTATTACATTTTTACTAATTTTAATCCAGTGTTTCCTCTGTGGGGGCCCTCTGCCCCGGGAGCGGTGGTCGACTGTAGCTTCCTGGGCGCTCTATAGGTGGGGGTCTATGCTCCCCCTCCACTGAGCGCCCTGACTTAGTGTGGAAGACCTGATGCTGCCGGGACAGATGGCTCCTCTGATGGCGTTTCCTTGCGTTACCATACTTGGCTCATCTGGACTCAGCCTAATATAATTTTTACTCGTGTGTGTGTGTGAGTCTGTGTGTGTGTGCGTGTGATTGCATATGTTTGTTAATGTTTTTAACCTGTTATGGGAATCTGGGGTCATTTTGTAAAGCACTTTGAATCACACTTTGTTTGAAAAGCGCTTTAGAAATAAAATTTGATTGATTGATTGATTGAAAACAAACCCTAATAACTATTATCTTGGTAGTGGTGTTAGAAATGCACAAATGGGTAGAATAAAAGACAAGGGGTTAAAATTCTGATTGTTTGTGGACATACTAATATTTTTCATGTTTCACAGCACATGTTGAATGAGAACAGCAGAGTGCGGGCCAAGATTCAGCCTGCATTTGAAAAGTTGGCTCTTCCACATGTAGCTAAGGTAAGATACGGTGAAAATCAAGTGGAAGCACGTTCTATACCCTTTCTAATATGCAAAGGTTTCTTTTTAAATACAGTCAATTTTTAGCGCAGTTTAACAAAAACTTAAAAATATATATATATGTAAATAGTGTGTGGTGTTAGTATGTCAAAACGGCTCGCACCAAATGTATCAGTGCATCACTAATGTGAAATTTATAAAACCAAAAGTTTTATCATTTCAGTGACAAAATGTTTAGGGTTGACTGAATTTAATCCAAATGATGATGTCAGATTGTTGTCAGAGTTTTGGAACTGATGAGGAAACTTTTCACAGTTATTTTATCCTACTGCGAATACATGTTATTTCATAGGGTGATACTTTTTTTAACAATCTTTTAAAAATCTCTTTACTTTGCAGGTAGATGAGGCTATACAGCCAGGTTTGACCTCCCTCAACTGGACATCTCTGAATGTAGACGAGTATTTGAGCCGCATTGACAATGCATTGGGTAAGCACTAAATCCTGTCAGATCGATGCCTTTCATTGACACATAAGACATCCTGCAAGTCAGCACTGGCAGCATGAAGTGAAATTTGCATTAATGCATTCATTGTGTCGTCAAACGCAACTCATAAATGTTCTGCATGTTCTACAATGTACCTGTTTTATTTTTATTTATGTCTCAAACTGAGTTTTCTCCTGCTCCATCTTATACCAGATTTCCAATTCATACCCTTTTTTAACCTAAGCTCCTCTCTATCTCCTGCCCTTCTGTGGTTTTAGTTGACCTGGAGCTGCTGATGGACAGAGTGAATGACTTGGTAGAGTTTAGAATAGATGCTGTACTGCGCGAGATGAGTTCATCTACATTGTGTGTTCTGCCAGACGAGGAGCCAGTGACCTGTGAGGAGTTTGTTAAAACTACCAAGGTAAATTCAGATAAATTAAATTGTATATAGATGTAGGTAATCTGTTTGACCATTATGTGGATGGGGCTGCATTCCCTCGTGGCTTTCACACTTAAAAAGTTATTTGTTCTTGATTTATTTTTTAATTTGCAAACCACAGTTTGCATTTTTTTTATAGAGAATTCGGTGTAGCTCATTATCAGCCTTGATATGTGTGCATATAGGACCTGTGCATAAAACAAGCCCAGAACCTAAACATTAAGAGTGCACTTGTGGAGGAGGCTGCCAATGAGCTGATCAACATGCTGATGGTGTTTGACCACGGTCAAAAAGAGGAGCAGAAGCGTGAGGTAGAAAGTTCCCCTGACAGCAAGAACCATCATGACACTGAAGGTACTAATGTTATTTTTTCTTCTTTGTTAAAACTTGTAAACTACCTGCATGAGTAAATGGCCAAAGTCTGTATGTGTACAATTTTTCAAAATGTCTTGCATCTTTAGGGGAGGATGAACGCCACTCAGGGAACCGCCTCCTCTCTAGAAACATGTTGCTTCCTTCATCTAGTGTTGGTCCTTCATCTCCTTTGGTGAGGAGGAGGAAGAAGAGAGATCTGATGGAAGTAATGGAAGAAGCAGCTCAGGAACTGCTGTCCTACTTCAACCATCGCAATGTGGATGCATTGCTCAAAGTGACACAAAACACCCTGGAGATGCTGTGCAAGCGAATGCACCCTTCATCCCCCATGAATTTCCTGGGTCGGTCTAGCCTTGTTATTTATTTGTTTTTTAATCTGAAAGAGAAAATCTGTGAAAGTGTGCTATTTCAATTAATGATAAATCCACGGTGCTAAAGAGTTTATTGTGAAGACAATGATCCGTCCAATCATCCATTTCATCCTCATATCCGAGGTCGGGTAGCAAGGTCAGCTGCCAGGGAAGCCAAAGCCTCCTTTCCATCAGACATGAAAGCAGCACGTAACGTAATAGTGGCATTTTACCTGCAAACTCCCTTTCAACTGGAAGCATTTCAGATGCGAAACGGGAGCAAAAGCGTTCCACTCCGCTGGTTCGACAATGTCACAAACTCATGTGAGAATTTCAACACCATGCATGATTTCAGAAATCCACACTATAACAAGCAAGGAGAAAGGCAGCTGCATGATTCCGGAAAGGTCTGTAGTTTAGGTCTGTCTGGCCTGATCTAAACTTTGAAGTTTTAATAATTTTGGAAGTGCAGCGCGTGACAAAAAGACTTGAAACACAATGATAGCGCCCCTTTGCTTCTGGGACGCGTTCAAAACCTTACACTTTGCTACTAGTGGAAAGTAACCTGTCTATTTTAATGGCGACGCTTTCACCTCCAGGGAAAGGAGGCTCCAGACTTCCCTCCTCCCTGCCACTTGGTTCCGGGTTAGAGTTAGACAAAATCACAAGGCCTTTCCAGGCCAGCTGAGATACAGGGCATCCTAACCAGATGCCCAAGCCACCTTAACTAACTCTTCTCGGTGTGGAGGAGCAGCAGATCTACTCTGAGCTCATCACAGATGACTGGGCTTCTCACCCCATCTCCAAGGGAGATCCCAGACAGCCTGCAGAGAATAAAAATAAATAAATAAATGAGAGTTGGAACGTAGATCAACAACACCCACATCACATTTGGATATCACGTTCACAGGACCACATCATCTGCAAAAAGCACTGACCTAATCCGTAGAGTCACCAAAACAAATCCCCTAAACACTTTGGCTGCACCTAGAAATCCTGTTCTTAAAGGTTATAAACAGAATCATGACAAAGGGTAGCCTGGGTGAAGTACAACTCTTACCAGAAACAATCCTGACTTACTGCCAACAATACAGACCCATCTCTGGCACTGGTCATGCAGGGACCTAACATAAAGGGTCCTGGTACCCCATAAAAACCAACAAAACAAATGTAAATAATAAAAAAAAAAAGTGTAATGTCGTATCAGACGAATACCAGCTGTTAACAGTGAACTCTTCTAATCTCTTTCATCCATGTAAAAAATATGATGACCTGGACTGAGCTCAGAAAATCACATGAATATTTTGTATCTCCTGGCAGGTGAGGGTAAGTCACTCAACCAAGGTACAAGCCGTGGTCATCCGGCCATCTTTCGAGTCAATGTGACCCTCTCCATCCCTAACATCATCATGGTTCCAGCTCTGGAGGAGGTCCAACAAGCTTTAAACCGGGCTGTAGAATGTGTGGTCAGTGTAAACAAAGGAGTAAGCCAATGGAGCAGAGACAGGATCTCCAAGGTACATTTGATTGGATGATGAAAACAAATATTTTACTTCAGCTATGAAGGATTGATTGTTTCCCTCCTAGATTGTTGATGTGCTTCTTCAGCAGCAAACCAAATCATCCCTGAGGTGTTTTTATTTGATTTTTGTTTCCTAGAAAAAAATTAATGAAAGGCGAATTGCGGCTTTGAAACAAGACGATTCTGAGAGTGAATCGGAGGATGGAGCTTTAACACACAGAAGTGTGACTGGTACAACACACAGAAACTTACCCAAACAAACTTGTGTGATTTACTGATACATATTTTTTGAGACTTGCACATTCTTTTCACCACTTTCAATCAGACCACCTGATTTCACAGCTCAGTAGAGCAAAGCCACGTGTGACTGACTAGGCAGAAATGTGTTGATGGAAGTCACGTGATTTGCCAGACTTTGGGGAGAAACATTTCACTTTTTTGTTCAAATACAACTGCCGTTTAAGTAAAACCATCAAGAATTCAATAGAGCTAATCCAGTGGATCTTTTATGTGAAACTGCATGAATACAAGCATCTTCATAGATCAGTATAAGGTCCCCAGGGCAGCTGTGGCTACCATGTAGCTCATCACCACCAGGAAGTGAATCGGTGTGTGCGTGGGTGAATGACTGAATGAATTGTGTTGTGAAGCATCTTGGGGGTTCAAAGACTCTGACACGATATAGGACGTTTACCCTAGATGACACTATATAGGATGTTTACCCTAGATGACACTATATAGGATGTTTACCCTAGATGACACTATATAGGACGTTTACCCTAGATGACACTATATAGGCCATTTACCATACATTTTGTGAAAACATTAACTGTTCCAATATGTATATATATTTTTTCAGAAGGCAGCAGTTCAGAAACTTCAGCATCTGTGATTCAACCCATCCCATTCCAAGTTAGAAATTACTACAAGAGTGTATCAGAAAACAAAGAGATGGTCAAGTTGGTGTCAGTTCTCAGCTCATCCATCATCTCTACCAAAAAGGTCTTTGACAGCTATTATTTATGCTTCTGATGAAATACATTTCAATTTAATGTTGTTTATTGCCCATTTTTAAATACAAATCTTTGGTTTTTTGTTATTATGCAGGACGTAGTGTCTGCCCTCAGCCGCTTCAACAGTTACCATCACATTTGGAAAAAAGACAGAGAAGACACCATACAGAGGTTTTTTTTTGGAACAACTTATGTATGGTGTTTAGAAACAATCACGTTAGCTTTTGTCTCAACTTCAACAGATTTGTCAAAGGAAAACCTTTGCTATCAGAGTTTGAGAGTCAGATTCATATCTATCAAGATCTGGAGCGTGAAATCAACTCTGAACCGGAGTACATCACTGTGGGAGCCTTAGCTTTATTCACAGGCAAGTCTGTATTCTCTGGATTGTTCTTGTTCCTGGACAAGTCACTCTTAGAAATGAGATTGATATCTCAACGAGTTTTCACTTGATTAAATAAAGAAATAAAGATAATCACTGTAAATTTGACCAATGTGAAGCTGACTTGCAGATAAGGAATAACTCATTCATACTGGCTGATGTCTTTTTTTAAATTTTGTTGAAGCTTCCTTAAAGATGTCACTCACTGCTGAGACTAAGAACTGGATGATGGACTTCGGGCTGTCCTGTAACAGAAAGCATCACTCAGAGATGGATCAGATCTTTGCTTTCATTGATGAGGCGGGAAAGAAACTGAATCGACAGATCAAAGATCTGGATGATTTTCGCATCGCTATGGCTGCACTCAAGGAGATTAGAGATCATGAAATACAAATGGACTTTTCAATAGGACCAATCGAGGTAAACCACAAGAGGATTGTGCAGTCGGTATTTTTATTATTGTTAAGTTATGAGACTTTTATTCTCATAACACTTGTACACTGGTGTTACATGTATGCATGTTGCATGAGATATTCTTATTGAGTCAGAGGCAGTGTAGGATAAATTGAGAAAGGGAAACACTTTTGATATTTATTGTTTCTGTTCTAACATGATTATCTAAATCAAAATTTACATTGCACATGGTTGGATTAATAGATTTGTATGTAATTTCTTAACAGGAGTCGTATGCTATGCTTTCTAAACATGAACTGTCTGTGGCCAAAGATGAGATTGAGAAGGTGGACACTCTGCGTTACACCTGGGAAAAACTCCTGTCTCGGACAATAGAGGTGCAGAATGAACTGGTCATCCTCCAACCACACTTCAGAGGAGAACTTACTACTAATGTGAAGATCTTCCAAGAGGACTGCCAGCACTTTTACCAGGATTATGAGAAGGTAAAAGAAAAAATTGAAATGACAAAAGTCTTAAACAGTCTTAAAAAGTATTTTTTCCATTTATTGCTTCTAAATTACTCCCACCTGCTGCTTGTTCCCAGCATCAGATTCACAGATCCAACTGTGCTAGTTTCATGCCGGTACAAACATGCCGATAAAGTGCAGCAGACACACACACACACACACACACACACACACACACACACACACACACACACACACACACACACACACACACACACACACACACACACACACACACACACTACACACACAAAGTCACACACAGACACACAGCCACACGCTCATTGTAGGTATTTGGCTGTGGCTCCTTTACTTGAAGTTTCATCGAGGTTGCCATTTGCTTGTGTACTTTTTTTACCAAGGTACCAAGGTACTATTGTTTCTTCTGGGAGTGAGACCCTTCTGTGTGGCCTACCTTTCCTTTTTTTGTCACCATCCGAACACACTTATCAAGTCCAAATGACAATCCGATATCAGCACTGTACAGCTCCAAACATTCAGTGATCCATGAGTGTGGCATTGAGTCATAGGCTTTCTTGTAATCAATCCAGGCTGTACACAGGTTGGTGAGTCTGGCTTTGCTGTCTTGTGCGACTGTTTGTTCTATCTGCCAATGCCATTATGTGCTATATAATATATATACCGGTGTGTGTGTGTGTGTGTGTGTGTGTGTATATACTGTATATGTGTGTGTGTGTATGTGTGTGTTCCTCTTGCACTGAACTTTTAGTTTTTTGGAGAGGTATTAATAAAATCACCCTCTTTACGCTTCTGTAGCCTCCAGAAATGGTCAGTTTTCCACCTACAGTCTGACCTCTTCAGTTTCTGGCCATTTGGGGACATAAGTCTTAACTGGTGCTTTTAGCATATAATGAATGAATAATAATGGCTGAAGAACAACAGCAATGTTGTGATTAATCTGTGCTTAAATTACAGAAGTTGAAATGAGTATTATGTTATGATCAGTAAGTTGATTTAACAAGTGAATCACTATCTACTGACATGCTCACACACACTCACCATATCTCCATGACGCAAGGTAAGTTAAACGCCACTGCACATAGAGATTTCCTGATCCACAAATCAGAGCTCTTCTATCGGATGTTCTGAGGTTTGTTTGGTAAAACCTCTTTACATGTCAAATTCTGGTTGGCCATGTAGTCAAAATATGGCCGTTGTTAATACAGAACTCACTTCCTGAGTGAGTCAGTTTTTGAGAAAGCTTCGGACCAGCCATCCGAAGCAAAACCTCTTTAACCCAGCGCATCTTTTGACAAGCTGTCAAAACCTGTTGCATGCTACAGCTGACCACAAACGGGTCTTTCAGAATAAAGCTGAGCCAGCTTCAACTCCTTAAGAGTTGCTCCACAGACGCAAAACAAGTCGACCTGTTTGTCATGACCTGGAGACGACTCTGGACTGACCTGGTCGTACTGCGGTTTTTCTACGGACTACAGTACCGTGGGGTCCACGGACTCCCTGACATCTCAGATCCAAAAGAGAGTCTCCGATAAGGGTACATAGACTCGACAGGTTGCTTCTGATGTGGTTTTATAAACCATTAATTGTAGTTTATAGCAGACCAAATTCACTCCCACTCAGAACTCAGTTTCTCCAGATACGAAGGCTCTGATAACATCACATTCATATCATCACACCTCACATTCCATCGACTTAGATTCATTCATCACATAAAGTGTTCCTAGTTGTCACATTTTTAATTGTTTAGAAAATAAATTTCTTACTTTTTATAAACTTGACTCTGTCTGAATTGATACGAAGTGCCTTACAGTCCCTGAATAAACAAAGAATTCTAAATCTGGTTAAACATCCAAAGACCAATCAGACTGGATTTCCATACTTACATAGAAATTCACATCTTATTGGTCAAATGTAGTGTAGCATATTGAACTTAAAAAGCACCCAAAATTATATAAGTATGTTAACTTTACACTTCAATGTGTGCTTTCCTTCAATTTTAGCAGCATTTGGCATTTGGGTTCACCTCATGAGCTTTTTGGAGGAACCCAAACCACAATAATGTGACTTTTCCTGACATACCTGTCCTGTTCTTAGGAAGGCAACTGCCCAGCAGACATTTCTTTTACTGTATTTACCTTTTGTAATGCAAATGCTACCAACTCTGTAAACAACATAGCTTTTTGAGAATCACTTTGTTACCACAAGTGTGCTTAAACCACTCACTCACAATCATTTAACTGTGATGAACATTTACTCATCTGCTTCAGGATGGTCCCATGGCAGAGGGTTTAGTTCCCCAGGATGCCAGTGACAAACTCATCATGTTCCAGGTGGGTGGTACAACTTTTGACTTTTATTGACCTAGAAATCATTTAGGACACAGGTGTCAAACTCCGGTCCTCGAGTGCCGCTATCCCACATGTTATAGTGTTTTCCCTGTTTCAACACACCTGACTTCAATCAGCAGGTGATTAACAGGCTTTTGGAGAGCTTGATAAGCTGCTGCACAGGTGAATTAACTCCGTTGAAACAGGGAAACAACAACTATATACAGGACACCAGCCCTCGAGAACTGGAGTTTGACACCCCTGATTTAGGAGTATCAACCATTGTGTGTTTTATAGACAAACAGATTTTCTGGTTCCTGATAAAGACAGGAACATGAATATTATGTGATGACCAAAATGATAAATCTGAAGTTGTGTAGTGTAGAGTGAGCTGCAAATACCATCACACAAATTTAAAAGCACTGAAAATCACAGCTGTTAAATGGACCAATTTGTTGCAATGTTTGTCTTTGTTATTACTTAATAAGTACATTTTGGTGGCTTTTTTGTTCTCGTGACTTTCAGAATCGATTTGACAATCTCTTCAGGAAGTATATCACTTACACCAGTGGAGAGGAGCTGTTTGGGATTCCTGTTACACAGCATCCCCAGCTTTTGGAGATAAAGAAACAGTTGACTCTGCTGCAAAAGCTGTATGGCCTTTACAACAACGTCATTGAAACAGTGAATGGTTACCATGACATCCTCTGGGCCGACATCAACATTGAGAAGATCAACAATGAGCTGCTAGACTTTCAGGCCAGGTTAGATTGGCAGCTCCCTATTGAATTGATCTTTCTTCTGCATTTCTGAATGTACATTAAAAATTTGATTAGGTTATTTTCTCTGTCAATTACTCCACCTACATGTACATTTCTGTTATTAAACATATATCCATTCAAGTCAGTCATGGTTCATAAAGGGTTATCTATATCTTCCTAACAGTGAGCATGTTTAGTATTTTGTAAATGTTTTGATCATTGCTCCCTGTAAACTAAAAGATGCCGCAAGCTGCCACGTGCCCTAAAGGAGTGGCAGGCCTTCCTGGACCTGAAGAAAACCATAGATGAGTTCAGTGAGTGCTGCCCCCTGTTGGAGCTCATGACTAACAAAGCTATGATGACGCGCCACTGGAAGAGAATCACTGAGGTCAGTAAATCATTAAGAATCATCGATGTTGTCTTTCAAACTTACAACAGGATCCGCACCTGCTTTTGTTCTGAGACATAGTGCATGTAATTTGAATGATCATCTGCCCAGGTGACTGGCCACACCTTTGAAGTGGAGACGGATACGTTCAAACTACGTAACATTATGGATGCTCCTCTGCTGAAGTTTAAAGAAGAGATTGAGGTATGAATAAAGACAATGTTTATTTTGTGTTCCTGAATCTATTTTTTCTCCGTTAACCGGTTTGCACATTCTAACTGTAAGACAGGTATATGATTCTTTACTCTTATAACTAATTTTATTTATGTCAGTGAAACCCCAATGGTTGTTGGGTAAAACGGAGTATGTATTATTCATACTTCCTTGAGACAAATCACAATTCAGCCCGAACAGTTCATGTACTTCTAGTTAGGGGGGGGGGGGGGGGTACTTTCCCAGTTGAATTCCTATCTGTATTGTTTTGTATCCTCACAAACTGGCACTTCCTAAAGTAAAATAATTCCTAAATGTTCTGGCTGGGTTACAGTCTGATATATAAAATCAAAGAAAAATCAATGTAGGGAAATTGTTTTAACTTGGTAGCAACTTTGGAGCTGTTAGCTGAAGGTCTTACTTGTAGATTTCATCAGTCACTGGCAGGTGTTTTTGCTTTTTCCTTGATGTATTATTTCTGTTTAGCTCCTGATGTACCAGGATGTCTGGTCTGTTTTTAAGCATTTGGAGAAAATTGATTTTTAGTTAAACTGAGACTTTTCTACTGAATGGCTCTTTGATCCATTCATTAATTGTCACCAAATCTGTATAAAATGAAGAAATCTAATTTAGCATTATACCTAGTAGCTGTATTTTTAAGTTTTTAAACGTGATGTTCACTGAGAAACAGACAATACTTGTTGAAATTCAATCGGTCTCTCTTGAGTTTCACATGCACGCAGAAAAGTCTTCTATCCCTATTTCCGACATTAGTCACTGGTAGCAAATAGACGGGTAAACGCTTGGATCAGAAAAGCCACACAGCTCTACCTCACTGTTGTGGAGCGGCATCAGCCTCTTCACAACATGGCAGAACTCCTTCAGCCTTCTGATTTTCATAGAGATAACACAACAATGTTGCAGAGCGAATGGAGGCAGTGGAAGTCACATTGCTGTTAACCAATCAGAGGCCAGATGTTGGAATATCATGCATACTAATGAGCAAGACTCCAAATCCTGTTGATTTCTGTCTAAACTAATATAAATGTATAAGAACAAGATAAAATTGACTACATTTTAGTAAGTTTGTTTAACATTTCCTTGACCTTTTCTTAGATTGCCTTCATCTCTTAAATGCTAATGACTTCATTTTTGCTGGGGGTTCATTTAAAGGATATCTGCATTAGTGCTGTAAAAGAGCGAGATATTGAACAGAAGCTGAAGCAGGTCATTGCTGAGTGGGACAACAAGACTTTTACCTTTGCCAGCTTCAAAACACGAGGAGAGCTGCTGCTGCGAGGAGACAGCACATCCGAGATCATTGCCAGCATGGAGGACAGCCTGATGATGTTGGGGTCTCTCATGAGCAACAGGTTTGTCTGTGGATTCTCATAGTCTTGATAGAAATCGTATGAGGGGAATTAAATTAAAATGTTCTGCCCCTAAAGGCACATGAACTATAATTGGATTTTCTTGTGAACTTAGCGTGTGTGTCGCTCTGCACAGCTCACTCTCAGATTTAACATCTCTCTCAGGTACAACACCCCATTTAAAGGCCAGATTCAGAAGTGGGTCCAGAACCTTTCCAACACCACAGATATTATTGAACACTGGATGACTGTTCAGAATCTGTGGATCTACCTGGAGGCTGTGTTTGTGGGTGGAGACATTGCCAAACAGCTGCCTAAGGTAAAAAGAGGTATTTTTGTGAGCAAACATGGACTCAAAATTCATGTTTGTATCCACAAATACTTTTAAAGCTTTACTGCTGGATAATCTTTCCTTATACCCAACAGGTCAAAAACCTCAAAACTGACAAATACATGTTCAGAAATGACACAGTTTGTCTCAATCTATCTAGGAAGCAAAGCGTTTCTCAAACATTGACAAGTCGTGGGTGAAGATAATGATGCGAGCCCATGAAATGCCTAACGTTGTACAATCCTGTGTGGGAGATGAGACCATGGGGCAGCTGCTTCCTCACCTGCTTGAACAGCTGGAGATTTGTCAGAAATCTCTTACAGGGTGAACACAAACAAATCAAATTTTACTCAAATCACAAAACAATGTGATGGTTTGACATGTAAATAGTTCAAATGTCAAAACTGGAGTAGACCGATGATAGAAGAAAAAAATGTTTTATGTTGTTTTACTGAAAATAGATTTTTTTTTCAGTTATCTGGAGAAGAAGCGACTGCTGTTTCCACGTTTTTTCTTTGTTTCTGACCCCGCCCTACTGGAAATTCTGGGCCAAGCCTCGGACTCCCACACCATTCAGGCTCACCTTCTCAATGTCTTTGACAACATCAAATGTGTACAATTTCATGACAAGGTCATTATTATTATTATTATTATTATTATTATTATTATTATTATTATTGTTATTATTATTATTATTGTTGTTGTTGTTGTTGTTAATATTGTTATTATCATTTAGATGCAGTAGTAGCTGAGCCACATTTGAGAGTTGATTGTGTTGCACATCTTCTAACAGGCCTGTTAATAGAAAATAGTGCATCTTGCGGCTTTGACCAAAAGCTTCTATAAGTGTAGACATATGGGCCAGGGAATCCAGAAGTATTATGAATTCAATATTTATAAATTACAAAATAAATTGAACTTCTAGACTATTAAGAATGGTAAAATAATTTTTAAACTGACTCAACATCTCCCCTGACTCAGATATATGACCGAATTCTTGCGGTGTCATCACGAGAGGGGGAAACCGTGATGCTCGAGCGCCCTGTCACGGCAGAAGGAAATGTGGAAGTGTGGTTAAATGCTCTCTTGAAGGAATCTCAGCGGTCATTGCACTTGGTGATCCGACAGGCTGCTTTGGCCATCCAGGACTCTGGCTTTCAGCTCATTGACTTCCTTTATTCATTCCCTGCTCAAGTGAGTCATGACAGCAATGGACATTTGGTCCTTACAATTTCATCAGTCCTTTTTAGGTATTGTCTACTCCTTGAATGAATTAAAAAGTAATAACAAATTAATTAAAATTTGATAAGAAAATGAAATGTTTAGAACTTTCGACGTTCATGTTTTGATGAAATTTCCAATGTAATTCTTCCTAATTCAGGTCGGCTTGCTTGGTATCCAGATGATATGGACCAGGGACTCTGAGGAGGCGTTGACCAATGCCCGGTTTGATCGCCGTATTATGGCGAAAACTAACCAGCTATTCCTTGATCTGCTTAACACCCTTATTGACATGACCACAAAAGATCTGGAAGCTATAGAGAGAACAAAATATGAGACCCTCATCACCATCCATGTCCACCAGAGGGACATATTTGATGATCTGGTGAGTTATGGTTTATTCAAGAGACATCAGAGTCAAATTCTAGCACAAAACAAAAAGTAAACCAAATCTTACATTTCATGCCAAACCTTGTATTTAATTAAAACTTCCAGTTCAGATCAACACAGGCATGTTTTAGGACTTTCACATCTGGGCCAGCACAGACCCATGGTGGTGTAAATTGTGTTTACATCTGGGTAATCTGTGCATTTTCCGTGCTCAGCTGACCATTTTTTTAACCTGCTCTCCGGCGGTCCGCTTCATGTGAAGCCGACTTGGGCATCTTTTGCCCTGCTCAGAGACATCCGTGTTCCTGAGAAGAAAACTAGACCGGGCCAGATGTAAAAACGTTAATATACATGATAGCCACAGGTGGTGTTTGCAGTTAAAGAGCAGTTTGTCAAAATATTTTCTTTTTTTTTTATTGGCATTAAGTGATGATACAAAATGACTTTGAGTTTCACAACAGACACAACAACTTGCTGCTTGTTTCCAAAGGAAAGAGGGTAAAATTAAAAGGGGACATTTGCGCTATCATGTGGAGCTCTGCTGCCTCTATAAACACTCTAAACATGGAGAAAACCTTTCCATCCATTTCTGTCAGTTCTTTGTTTGGCTTTAGAAATTATTTGCCTCAAACAAGCCATTTCGAAAACTCCCTGTTTGTAACATCACAAGTGACAAAAATTAGCATAGGGTTAACGTATGCATGCAAGAGACCTGTTGCTGGAGGAGCAGCAGTTTTACTTCAAGCTCCTCCCAGATATTGGAGCTTCTTAGCTTAAGCCCGGATCACACTGTATGATTTTAGGCCAATGCACAGGATTGTTCATGTCACACTGTGAGAACTCCAGAAAAGTGGTACATTGTACGGCGCAAGATTTCTGTGAGTCAGACTGTACGACGCCTCGCTCCAACAGGACACGCTGCGTCATGAGCACACCTCCCAAAAGCATACGTCACTAAGCAAACCGCTAACCAAAAGAAAGCTGAAGATAAAATAAAGCGCCACCGTTAACACTTCTTTTTAATGCCAGCTCATGAACCAGCTGCCGGTCTCCTTTTCCTGTCTTTCAGCTAAACAGCTGAGCTGTCTGCTGGTCATTCATCCTTCTCCTTTATACATACATAAAAAACCCTAACTAAACTGCAAAGAAGTAACGATCTGTCACAGATCGCTCAAATATCTGTCTCACTGTTTACTCCGCAGCTCTGTGACATCTCATCACACCTGCTGTCACGGAGCGCAGCTTCCTCTGTCCCCCTGCAGCAAAACGCTACTGAACCACCCTTATCGGTTGAATATGAGTAATTTCCATGAACAGAAAAGGGATCTCATGTTTTTGTGTGTTTTTTTTTTTTATGTTCGTGAGCTCATCTCCTCTCAGCTCTCACAGATCACAGAACCACGGTTTTCACAATTTATCTGATGGTCTAAAAATTTAGTTTAAAATTTTTTTAGTATAACTCTGATTTAACTTGGGCTATTAACAAAAAATTGTGTGCAGTTCATGATCTACATTTTAAACATAAATTAAAACCGAAGCTTGGAGAGGCGGAGTCTTGCTGCTACGGCGTCCCAAAGGTGTGTTTTCATTGGCAGCTTGCAGACAGGAGTTGTAGGTTTTCAAGGATGCTTGTAGACTGTCTGAGGCTGTCTTTGGTCGTGAGACGGCTCAAAAAGCTGTCACAGATCTGGTCAGACTGGACGACCACAGATTTGCAAATCACCCTCATGTTCACCGTTTGTTTTTTGACACGATTATGCTCCAACGAGGGGTTTGGCTAAAACGGCTGTAAATCTCAGTGTGACCCGGGCTTTACAGCAGCTTGAGTGGGGGATGGTTGGTCACGGCCAGCTCCAGCTTGCTTTCTTAAAGTGACAGAGCTCTGAAAAGGCTTATTCTGGAAGGTACTGAGAACATCTGTGAACTTCATCAACATGTTTTTATAGACCATGGAACTATTAAAGCTTAAGAAAAAAAAATCCATCATATGTCCCTTTTAAATCGTTTTCAAAATGTGCTTTGTCTTAATTTTTTATTTTTCTCTGCTTCCATCTTCTATCATGCTGTCATCTTATCCACTGTTTCTGGATTTCTTGTTTTTCTGTCCTGTCACTTTGTTTTTACACCTCCTACCTTTTGTCTCTCCTGCACCTTTGCTGTGTTTTTTTGTCCACTTTCTTAATGAAACTTTTCCTTCGCTCATTACCTCTTTATCAATCCTTCCATTGTCATGGTCTGCGTCCTGCGTCCCCCTCATGTGTTCCCCAGCCCCCCTCTAGGTTCCCCTTATGTGTCTCCTTGTGTTCCTCATGTGCCTCCTTGTGTTCCCCAGCCCACTCCAGGTTCTCCCCTAAGGATTCTGTGCCCCTTTAGGTCTCCAACCCCTCCAGGTGTCCCTCTAGGTTCCCCTCATGTGTTCCTAAGCTTCCTGTGCCCCTGCTTGTCTCCAGCTCCCACCAGGTTTCCCAGGTTCACTTAATCTTTAGTTTTCTTTGTATTTATATTATCTGGCAAATTTTTTCCTGCAGTTTCATAGGTTCAGGTTTTCTTCTAGGTCCCTTCCTTGGTCCTTCCCCTCCAGCTTATTAGTTCTCCTTTCCTCCTTAGATCATTAGTTATTCGTCTTGTTCGTCTAGTCTTTAGGTTTGGTTATTATTCACAAGTCGTGTTTTATTTCCCCTCCTCAGCTTAGATTCCTCTCCCTGATTAGTAATTTGATCATTCTGGGTATCTGCACATTGGGTCCAACTCCTCCAACCCACATCCTGGCATCTCTACTTGCTATTCTCTCTATGTGTTTTTTCTTTCCTGTCACAGCGTTCTGTAATTGGTGTCTATAATTTCTTCTTCCTAGTGCCGGTTGCACATCAAAAGCCCCACAGACTTTGAATGGCTGAAGCAATGTCGCTTCTACTTCAGTGAGGACTCAGCTAAGATGATCATCAACATCACAGATGTTAGCTTTGTCTACCAGAATGAATTCCTGGGCTGCACAGAAAGGCTTGTCATTACACCTCTGACCGACAGGTAAAAGGCCATTCATGAAAGCAAGTATTTAAAAAAGAACGGAAAGTGAAAAGTTATTATCTATAAAGCTAGATCTAGAGTGCTGCACTTTAATTACACTTATCAGTTGAGCATTATTAACTATTAGCATGCACAAATCCACAAAACAAAAGAGTAACACAGCTCTCAAGAGTCAAATGGGGATAGTGAACCATCTGGGATTACATAAAACAGCTACTGGAAACTCTGGAAACACCTGTCTGTTTTCATAGAACATAAACGCTATTCATAAGCAGAAACAGTATTGTATACAGAGGAACAGTTAACATTAAACTATAACACCAGTTACAGTTTCTGTGGGAATTATAAATAAAAGTAAACATTGCAAAGCTGTTGTGCTTTAGAAGAGATGGAATTAGATGAAAGGATTAAAGTCATCACCACCTTTTCTACCACCTACAGTAATTGGATGGACGTACATTTCAGTATGGAGAAGCAAGACTTTACCAACAACCATCATCAAAACAACAAACTCTGACAGACAGAAATGTTGAGAGACAGAGAAATAAGAGAATGAATGTGAAGGGAAAGCAGCAGGGAGGGAGTCTCTATTTGACAGCAGCTCTCTGAAGATGAAGGCACTAATGTAGCCCTTGTTTAGCCCTGATTTTCTCATTGCTGTCTCTCGCCACCTTTAACACGTCTGTATTCCCATCATAGAGTATTTCCTCAGTTTAATTGCAGGTAAAAGGAAAATAATTAAGATTTTTAAATACAATTCTGCTCTGGATACTGCTTTTAATTTTAGTGTTTTAATTTGCTGTTTATATTTGGAACTCCATAATACATTTTTGCAGAGGATATTAGGGTATTTTGTGTGGATGAGAGGTGTGTTCTGTAGCTGTGCTCAACCTCCAAACTTCTAGTGAAAACAGCCTTTTTGAGGACATCAAATTTCTAACTTCAAAGTGATACTTTTAACTAGGAAGTTAAATTATGCAAACTGGTGTGTGTCTGAATTTGTGCAGATGTTACATCACCCTCGCCCAGGCGCTTGGTATGAGTATGGGTGGTGCTCCTGCTGGTCCTGCAGGCACAGGTGAGACAGAAACAATGCTGTTTTCATTTATTTAAATTTGCTCAGCAGGGCTGCATCTATGGCTGTGATGGGGTGGTGTTTTATATGAATAATGAAACAGAACACTTGGGTCTTGCCTGGATGGCATGACATCAGTCTGGCAGCAGTCTAACAGTGACATGAACACATTGTTCTTTATTCAGACTTGGGTTTATTAAAACAATAGATTTACTTGGGATCATTTATGACATCATTCCTTTTCTGTCCTTAGGAAAGACTGAAACCATTAAGGACATGGGCCGCTGTCTGGGGAAGTATGTTGTGGTTTTTAACTGCTCTGACCAGATGGACTTCAGAGGCTTAGGGAGAATATTCAAAGGTAAAAACCTTAAAGATGAATAATGAGTGTCACATTCTACTAAAGAGGTACTTTTGTGTTTTTGCCCTTGTAATTGATGCTGCGTCCCTTTTATAGAAGATAAATATAAAAAGGACACCATATTTTTTACTTGTAAAGGTGAACAACCCCTGCAAAGGAAGGGTAACGTGTCCCCCAACAACCCTGCAAGGATAACTGGGTATAGAAAATGGATGGATAGAAGCCGTGAACAATGTCTGTTTGATTTCCAGGTCTGGCTCAGTCCGGTTCTTGGGGTTGTTTTGATGAGTTCAACCGCATCGACCTCCCTGTTCTGTCTGTGGCTGCTCAGCAGATTGCTATAGTCCTTACCTGCAAGAAGGAACGCCGCAAAAACTTCATTTTTACTGATGGAGACAGTGTTGAGATGAATCCTGAATTTGGCATCTTCCTCACAATGGTCAGTGGGATCTTGATGCCATCACTTCAAAATCAGCTTAAAGCTACAAAGGCAAATCTGCAAATGAAGCTAGCTTAGAACCCCACCCGCAGACTATCATCGCTAGGCCATGTCTGTCTGATTTGGAACGTGCTGTGCCAGAGAGCACAAACAGTTGCAGTTGTACGGGTCCAAGCGTCAGTGTTTTCTGTGACTTTGAATGGCTTTTGTGTGCTTGTGTGTGTGTGTGTGTGTGTGTGTGTGTGTGTGTGTGTGTGTGTGTGTGTGTGTGTGTGTGTGTGTGTGTGTGTGTGTGTGTGTGTGTGTGTGTGTGTGTGTGTGTGGTGGGAACTCTGGTAGTTTGTCCTGAAGTTGAAGTGGTTGCAGACAGCTGTTTCTCCTTGTCTGATATTATTGAACATGAACCTCTCACACCAGTGGTGTTCTGTTGCTAAATATGTGACCCGGGTAAATGCGGCAGTTCGGTGGTTCTGAGACAGACAACCAAGTGATCCAATCTTTAGTTTTGGACTGGTGGAGGTTTTTGTCCAGGGGTAGGCAATCCTGGTTCTTGAGTGCTGCAATCCAGCATGTTTTAGTTGTTTCCCTGTTCCAACACACCTGATTTTTATCAGCAGGTGATTAATGGACTTCTGCAGAGCCTGGTGACCTGCTGATTCAAATACTGATTCAGGGGCATTACAACTGAAACAGGACCAGGATTGCCCCCTGTTTTAGACAAATGAGAGCCATTTCATTATTTTTGACTTTTTTTGTAATCTCCATAAAATATTTATATAGCTTTACTATGTTAGAACATACTATGTTAAGAGACATGAAAAAATGTGTTATGCTAGCTTGTTTTGCAGATTTACCTTTGTAGCTTTAAGTTTATTTTGGTCAGGTCTTGTTGGCTGATTTTACATTTCACATGAAGCGTTTTTTTCCTACTCTTTCTTTTTAGTACACCTCCTCCTTCCCCTTTGTAAACATTTGCTGATTTAATCAGTGTCCTGTTCATCATTGGTGCTGCTCTGTTTTGTATCGGATGGGTCTCTGCTGCTGTGCCCTCAGCCTGAGGAAATCAATGTGTCTTCTTGGTAAAAATAAACGAGGGTTCTCTGAAAGGAGCCTGAAGATCAGATACAAAACACTAACTTCTTTTTATAATTATGATTGGTTAGTTATCTTTTCCTGAAGAACATTGCTATTACTGTGTAGAGATCTTGCACTAAATAATACATGCTAGCAGAATCAGATGAATTAATGAATAGATTTTAGTAGAACTGACTTAGTTTACAGTGTATTTACAGAAATTATGCACATTTTTAGTAATCCCACATGTTTTATTATCATAGTCTTAACATAGTGAAGCTGTGATCACTTTAGCGTCCTGGTGCAGTCCCAAAGCAAGTCATTAGAGGACAGCAGAATCATCTTTTCTGCTGTTAGATGGGTTAAGTTATTTATTAATTTAGTTATTTGCTTGTTTTTTTTCTGTTGTGTTTATTTTGTTGCAGCAATCTTTATGAAAAATGATGTTAAAGCTTTGTTTTTAGGTTTCAAATGACACAATTGTAAGAGTAAACTGATTTCATATTTATTTATAATTACCACAAGCATACTACATGCATTTTGCTTTCAGATGTGGTACAATGTGTAGTTTTATACTGCTGATAATTTATAAATCTATCAGTGTCCCATATTTTCTGTTTATTATGCTGCATACACATTTGTGGTGATTAGTGTGATTACATATTTTATCTTGTATTCTTACAATGCAATTCAGTTACCATACAGATTTTCTGCTGCCCTTATTAAAAACTATCTCCCTTTCTACTCAGAATCCAGGTTACGCTGGTCGCCAGGAGCTTCCTGAAAACCTGAAGATCAACTTCCGCTCGGTAGCCATGATGGTTCCTGACCGTCAGATCATCATTAGGGTGAAATTGGCCAGCTGTGGATTCATAGACAACGTAGAGCTGGCTCGCAAATTCTTCACTCTTTATAAGCTGTGTGAAGAGCAGCTCTCTAAACAGGTAACGGTAATGTCTGTTTGCCAAAGCGTAACTGTTACAAGCCCTCTAACGCAGGAGACTTCCCTAATCTCACCTACTAATTTGGTCTTTCTATGCAAAGCAGCTCAGTATAAGACAAGACTTTAGTTAGACTCTTTAGTATTATCATGAGAAAGCAAAGCGGTGCTAGTACAGTTTATCTGAGCAGTTTTATATCAGATTTCTTGTTTTGTTTTTTTGCAATCTGAATGCTTGTGAACACCTGGACCGGCTTTTCAGAATAACACTGGACCCTGGTGTGAAATGGAATGTCACGTTAGAGTTCACTTTTATATTTTACTGTAGTTTATATTGCTGCTTTTTAAGATCAGATTAAATTAAAGTTTTACTTTTAATCGTCAAGGTTCACTACGACTTTGGGCTACGGAACATCCTGTCGGTTCTCCGTACCCTGGGGGCAGCAAAGCGAGCAAATCCCAGTGACACAGAATCTACTATTGTCATGAGGGTTCTGAGGGACATGAATCTGTCCAAACTGGTCAGTCTAAGACATGTTCAATGAAACAAGCGCTTTTACAAAATAACTGCACAACTCCTTTGTCAAACTATGAAAAATAGATCTAAAAAATACAATTCTTAGCCTCATTGTGCATCTTTTTTGCTTTCTATTGTTGTGTGTGTGTGTGTGTGTGTGTGTGTGTGTGTGTGTGTGTGTGTGTGTGTGTGTGTGTGTGTGTAAGATTGATGAGGATGAGCCCCTGTTTCTGAGCTTGATTGAGGACCTTTTTCCAAGCATCCAACTCGATAAAGCGGGATACCCTGAGCTAGAGGCTGCCATTGACAAACAGGTAGGAGGGGTGAGAAATGGGTTTATCTTTGATTTCCAGAAAAGGCAAATTTCATAAAGGCTGAGTAGTGGTGATGGTTGGGAGAACAAGGAGAAAGAGAGCAAGAAGTGTTGCAAAAATAAGCCAAGGACAAAGACAACAATGAAGAGGCAAAGTAATTGTGGAGGAAAGCTTAATGGATTGTACGACTGCTGTATTTTTCAAGTCATTCTTAAGTACCTTAAGGTACAGCACCCAAAAGGATACAAATGGTGCCATTTATTGTTTGTCAAGGAACTAACCTAAGTACTTCTGTAGAAACAGAAAAAACAGATACGGTAAAACATGAAGGGTAAAGGTTTCTGTTAGTGTCCTCATAAACAATTTATCCATGTTGTGCTGTAATGTGCAGCTTTCTGGGTTTCTGTTTTATAAAATATCTTGTTGGTCTGGTCCATAAGGATACAACATACCTGGCTTAGCAGCAATGATGTGCCCTGGTGTGCAAATATTTCACATTATCCTTACTTTGTTTTTGCTTGATTTCAAAGAGTCTGACTTCCTCATAATTGGGAGATAAAAGTAATAATAAGCATCATTTGTCAGTAGTTAGAAGCTCTGTAAGATACTTGTTTTTTGTATTTATTTGTATTTAAGATGCTTTTTCGCTCATTCTCTCTCTAGTTCTTGTAACTGACCATTAAAGATACAACGGACTTTAGTTTTTACAACAGGCTGCTGAAACCAATTTAAACCTGGTTCTTCAAGAGAACTTTGGTTCATCCCCTGAGTTTAGCAGACCTTTGAACACTTTTAGTTTTGAACATTCATAGGTCAGAGTGAAATGAGTTAGTGAATGAATCACCAGAGTCTGCCGATGCAAAATGTAAAGAAATAAGGACTTTTGCACAGAACTGTAACAAAAAAGCTATTTTTTTTTCTTTTTTCTTTCCTGTTTTCTTTATCAGGCTGAAGATGCTGGTCTGATCATTCATCCTCCCTGGAAGCTGAAGGTCATCCAGCTGTTTGAGACTCAGAGGGTTCGACATGGCATGATGGCCCTGGGGCCCAGCGGGGCAGGGAAGACAACTTGTATACACACTCTGATGAAAGCCATGACTGGTACGTTATTTGATAAGTTGACTAATTTGTTGGTGTCTAAGTTACAAAGAGTTTTAAACCAAGTGATTACATTTTTTACTACCAAAATTTGGCCATGCCTGGACCCCTTTAGCTCTTTAGTTTAGGTCTTTAAACACAAACCGTGGCTAATATGAAACAGATGTGATGTTGCTACAGTTTTCTGAACATATTTGCATATTATTGAAAACTGTTTTTTCCAAGAAACTCTAAAGCGGGTAGATGGTAGAAGAATGCTGTCATGGTATTTATATCTAAAATGTTGACCAGAAGTATATGCACCAGAGAGCATAAAAAAGAAAGTGCTGCATATTAAAACAGGCCCAGAATTTTCAGACACATATTAAAGATAAGGTATCAGATGCTTTATTCATAAAGAAGCTCATAGATCTAGAAAATGTCTTCTCCTAGAATGTGGCCAGCCCCACAGAGAGATGCGAATGAACCCCAAAGCCATCACAGCACCACAGATGTTTGGTCGACTCGACGTGGCCACAAACGACTGGACTGATGGCATCTTCTCTACTCTCTGGAGAAAAACACTGAGAGCAAAGAAAGGTCAGAAAAGCGTCTCACTCAAACACAGACTTATTTTCAAATAATGCTAAAAATACAATTTAGTGGCAGGCGTGGATGTGATTCATTCGTTGAACACAACGGATTTAATTTAAACAAAGTACTTGACAGCATCCAAAAGTCTTAACACATGACAAGGATTCTTCTTCAATGTTTCTAAACTTCAGATGATCTGGGATACATTTGTTTATATTTTCTTAATTCAAAGGAATTATTGGGACTTTAAGAAAATCCCTTCAAGTAATTTTAAACATCAAAGGGAAGAAACTGGACATCCTTTCACCAAACAGAACCTTAAGTTAAATTTCCATTAGTCATCACACACTGGTGAAATTCCTCCCCGCATCTGATCCATCCCCGTGGGGAGCGGTGAGCTGCAGCTGTGGCTGCACTCGGGAACTGTTTGATGGTTTAAAGCATTTTAATTTGATCTTTCTATGTTTTTAATCATTTGCTCATCATCAAATTTTTTTGTGTGCAATATTAATCTACCCCATCCTAACACAGGTACATCTGTACTTGTTTGGTTTGTGTCATTGTCATATTTTGTTTCAGGAGAGCATGTCTGGATAGTTCTGGATGGACCCGTCGATGCCATTTGGATTGAAAACCTAAATTCAGTTTTGGACGACAACCGAACTCTAACACTTGCAAATGGAGATCGCATACCGATGGCTCCCAACTGTAAGGTGGTTTTTGAGCCACACAACATCGACAATGCCTCTCCAGCCACTGTGTCGCGCAATGGTATGGTGTTCATGAGCTCCTCTGTTCTCAGCTGGAGCCCAATACTGGAGGTGAAATACTGGAGTTATTGAACTTATACCCTTAATAAACCCACAAATCTGGTTTGTGGTACGACATGGTGCTCAGGATTCACCCAGCTATGTTTACTTCTCTCTTAGGGCTGGTTGAAAAAACGCTCCCCTCAGGAGGCAGAGGTACTGAGGCAGCTTTTCTCATCCTCCTTCCCTGAGCTGTATCGCTTCTGTGTGCAGTCGTTAGAGTTCAAGATGGACATGCTGGAGGCCTTCGTCATCATGCAGTGCATAAACATGCTCCAGGGACTCATTCCACAAAAGGTAACAGCTTATGTGAAGCATTTCGTTTGAAACACACTGCAATTAAACACCACGTCATGACGTTTTCAGTTGTGGCACAAAGTTTGATAAAATGTCCAAAATGGTAGAAAGATGATGAGCCCTGATGCAACAGTTGAAGCACTATGAGGACATGAGATTGTGTTGTATTTTAAATAAAAAGCCATGATGTAAAGAGAATTGTTTAAAAAACTGAGAGGATTAAATGTTAAATCACAGATCTGAAGAAGTTTCTGAACAGCTCTACAGCAGCAAAAATACCCAAGAGCCTTCATCTTCCTCATCACTGAATCTTCTGATCTGAAGAAACAGCTTTGCTGCCATGTCCAACAGCATGCGGAGGAAACCACAACATTTAATTTCATTAAACACTCAAAGTGAGGATGGCAAAGCTACTGAAAAGAAGGATGCCATAATGTAAACCAGATTTCCCCATCCTAAGGAGACATTGGAGGAAAAGACGAGTTTTGTTTTGACATAAATGTGAATTTCTCATACTGTTACCATCCTTAGTGGAATTGTAGGATTTTCTACAAACTATATATTCAATTAAAAATAAATAACATGACTCAGCCTGGGTTTGGTTCTGAGCTCAGAAAACATCTGATGAAACCTAAATAGGTTGTTCAGTTAAGTTTCCCGTTCAAATCCTCGTGCTGATGTAAGGATCATCCTAGGAACAAATATGCCATCTTCTCCTGAGAGATCCATGCGAAATAACTCTAATATGTTAATCTGTTTCTCTAATTTATAATCTTCCCCTCCCTTGTCTCTGAGTTTGCTGAATGAGTATCATGATGTTCACCCTGCAGGAGCAGTGTGGTGAGCTACCCAGAGAGCACCTGGAACGACTGTATGTCTTTTCCCTCATGTGGAGCACCGGGGCTTTACTTGAGCTGGAAGACCGGAGGAAGATGGAGCACTGGCTCAGAGGAAATGACAGCATTTGTCTAAATTTGCCAGATATTCCTCCTGACAGCGCAGACACAATGTTTGACTACCACATCACAGCAGATGGTAATCATCATTTTATTTGAGATGATGCCACATGAACATTGGTTGCTAGAAACATACAGATTTTTCTTTTAGAAACTGAAGGAATATATTTTATGTTGCATCTTACAAGAAACCAAGTATACGTTAATCAAATGATTAAATTCTGGATGAAGTTACAGATCTGGTAGGGTGGATGATGGTTTTCTGAAGCATTTTTACCATGTTGCTGGAAAAGATCTTCAGATAACATTGGAAACCCCCAAAATTAAATGTTTTGTCAAAAATTAATCATTTTAATGACTTCTGACACAATTCTGGAAAAACCTCATCCAGTCAAAAATAAACCAAGAAAACTAAAACTATCTCAAATTACTCCATAACAACATCTACATCAACTATATTAGCTAGCGTAATATATTGCTATATATTGCTATATGTTCATGTAGGTATGCTATGTTAGGTTTTATGGATGAAATTATGCCAACAACAGGTCAAAAATGTAGGATTTGGTTATGTTTTTCTGATTGTGTATGTATATGTTGTGTCTGGCGTTATACCATTTTCTGCAACTATCAGAATATGCATTCTTGTTTTTTTGTTTTGTTTTTGTAGCTTGCTTGGATTTTTCCAAGAACATTCACTGCCCCTTTTAAGTATCACTGTTGTGCTGTATGTTCTGTCTCGACAGATTGCTTCATATTTCTGATTCACGTAAACGTATTTCCCTCCAGGTCATTGGGTCCACTGGAACACCAAAGTCGAGGAATACTTTTATCCACCTGATGTGACCCCAGAGTACAGCTCCATCCTTGTCCCCAATGTGGACAATGTTAGAACAGACTTCCTAATTCAGACCATCGCCAAACAGGGCAAGGTAAAACTCCTAAAGTGGATTTGTGTGTTTGAAATAGAAAAAATGACGTGCCTCTTTTTTCTGTATGTTTATTTTGTTAAACAGAAAAGTCATTTTCCCTTAGTAGATATACCTATTTAGCATTGTTACAAAGCCTGATGATGTTAAGCGTTGTGGTAGAGGGTTAACATAAGAACTGATGTGGAGAAAGGGGGAGGGTAAATAAAATGTATTTTATTAACAAAGGGGTTAACACAAATACTCAGTCCTTGACCAGAATAAAATGACTAAACAAAAATGCACTCTAAACTAAATGAAGGTGATGGAGAAAACTCAAAACACCTGAGGCAAAAGGCCTCAGGGAAGAAAACACGAGAATATCTTTATTAAACGAAAATGCCGGAGCTAAATAACTAAAACAAATCTCGACGGCTATAATTATCCAAAATTTTATTCCGTCTAACAAAACTAAAGCAAGCTCTAAGGCTGAAAAAGGAAACTGAAATTCAAACTCTAGAGCAGATGAAAAGGATCACTAAATGAAAAACAGCTATTAATTCCCAAAGGATTTAACAAAAGAACTATCTATCCCAAACACTGAATTTACCAAAGTTCTTATCCAAATTTATCAACACGCTAAACCGTTTACCACCAAATCATCCCAGGACCGAGGAGAGAACATGTGTTTAGGCTGTGGTTCTCTCCCAGAAAGCTGCAGTCCTTTAAGCCATCAGTCCTTATTAGCTGATGGCTTGCAGCTGGGACACTGAAGGCGGGCAGAGGTGGAGGCCAGCCTGACAGAGGACCTGTCCAAGGTCCTGAACGGCATGGAGGGAGCAGAACTGTGTCATTCAAGGTGCGGGAGCCCAGGATTCGTAACAAGCATATATGTCATCTTTTCAAATTTAAACTGAAATACATTCAGGTCCTTTTTTATTTTAATAAAATCTACAAAAAACAGGCAACCATTACAATGTTCTCCTCCTAAGTTGATGTTTAAAATATGGCCCTTATTCAGATTTTAACACCAGCAAAAAGGCATGAAAAGTACCTTTTATTTATAGATGTTTCTTTATACGAATGTTTATTCAAACTGACACAACTCAGTTTTCATTGGGTCAACAATGCAAAACTCACCCTTTTGCATTATTTGTTGCTGCCATATGGGTCTCTATTGCCTCTATAAATAGTCCAAGCTTAAAGTCCATCTATTTTCTGTGAGTGTCAGGGACATAATCTTTGTTTACAATCTATGAGTCGAGTCTGCACCAACATTTCTAATTCGACATGGGCCGGCAAAATGCTAGGCTAGTAAATGGAGCAGCCTAGAAGTTATTTCTCACACCCCTAAGAAGCCATGGCATCGTTTTGTTTTACTCTAATAATGGGTAAAGAAGGCTAGATGCTAAAAAATAAACTAACAATGATCTATGGATGTTAACTGTGAATTTGAGACGAATAGTCGGCTCGAAAAATGTCTCAAGCCATTTTTTTTAATTACCAATAACTCCATATTACAGTGAAATGCAGTTATCTAATTATCAACTCACTGTGTATGACTCGTCCTTGCTTGTCACCTAGAACTTTCTGGTACTGATTCATAGCTGAAACAGCCTTGAAACTCACGCAAGCAGGGGTGAGAAAGTCACCCGTTTGTTTGGAAAATGGGCTGCAGTAACCACATTTGACCACAGGATATCATTCATTCATACACAATCTACTTTTAAATTATGTTTATTTTCTTCTTTCAATAGAAGAGTGAATATTAATTTTCGTATTAGGTCAATAGTTACCCGATCCTTACACAGCAATGTTTTCCTCAGAGATGCTTTTGAATGGTTAGAAATAAGCATGTTTGTTTATAGGCTGTTTTGCTGATTGGTGAGCAAGGGACAGCAAAAACTGTTATCATCAAGGGATGCATGTCCAAGTATGACTCTGAAACCCAAATGGCCAAGACTCTCAACTTCTCCTCTGCTACCACACCACTCATGTTCCAGGTAACCCAGAGTAGTCTGGCTCCTGTTCACTTTGTTTATTTAAAGACAACAGCTAAATGCCTTGTTAGCAGCATTTGTATCAACTTGTTTGTTTATGTGTTTTCATCTGTAGGATGCACAGTGATCAAATCACCAGGAAAAACTATATCTTGGTGGACTTCCAGACTTTTACTGTGTTTTTGCTAATGCTCTGCTTCTCTGTTAACCCTGGTTTTCCTACAGAGGACAGTTGAGAGCTATGTGGATAAGAGAATGGGGACCACTTATGGCCCCCCTGCTGGGAAGAAAATGTCAGTTTTTATTGATGACATCAACATGCCTGTCATCAATGAATGGGGGGACCAGGTTAGAGGTCATTTATATTTGTGTTTTTCATATATGAGTCTCTGTTAAAGTGCTTTGCAACAAATCATTCAGTGATTTATTTTGCTTTATATCAAAGGTGACTAATGAGATAGTCAGGCAGCTTATGGAGCAGAATGGCTTCTTCAACCTGGAGAAACCTGGAGAGTTCACCAATATTGTTGACATTCAGTTCCTGGCTGCCATGATTCATCCAGGAGGAGGCCGTAATGACATCCCACAAAGGCTGAAAAGGCAGTTCTCCATTTTTAACTGTACTCTGCCATCCAATGTCTCCATAGATAAAATATTTGGTGGGTGAATGGTTACTCTAGTTTCAGCAAATCAATGGATTTTTCATATTTATTGGACTTTTTAATGCATTTTTGATAAAACAATGTTGCCTTTTTAATGCCCTTTGCATCCTGATGTTAATTCAAGCCTTTTGACTCAGGTGTGATTGGTGAAGGCCATTTTTGTGCACATCGTGGTTTCAATGAGGAAGTACAGAGCATCGTAACTCGTCTTGTGCCTCTAACCCGTCGTCTCTGGCAACTGACTAAACTCAAGATGCTTCCAACTCCTGCAAAGTTTCACTACATCTTCAACCTGAGAGATTTGTCCAGAATATGGCAAGGGATGCTCATTACCACTGCTGACGTGGTTAACTCAGTCCAGGTGATTTTTTTGTATCATGTCTAAATCACGTTTAACCCCTTGCAATATAATGTGAAATATTGTCAGTCTTAGAGAGAGAAATGAATGAAAATAATACATTTCTGGCAATGCAGGCTCATTTCTTGCTTAGGTGACCTACTCTACATTGGTATGTGGCCCTTCTGAATAAATAAATACCTCCTATATTGCAATCTGTTTGAAATCTCAGAAAAAAACATGTCCTACACCCCGGCTGTGGCTGGTAACAAACACTTCAAACAGCATCAGATAAAACTGGTAACACTCATTCACCGAAACCAGCAAACCAGAAATCGTCAGAGTACACTCATCATCAAATGAAAGCAGTTTCCATAGAGAAAAAGAGCAGTTATACTGTATTTGCTCTTTAACTCTGACCCTCACTTTTCCATCCATGGTGAATGAAAACATTAACAAAGAAATGTGATTTCCCAGATTGTGCTGGCACTGTGGAAGCATGAGTGTAAACGTGTGATAGCCGATAGATTTACGATGCCTGACGATGTGGAATGGTTTGACCGAGCGCTTGCAAAGCTGGTGGAAGAGGAGCTCGGGGAGGAGCACTTGAAGATGGTTGATGTTGGAGTAGAAAGATATTTCGTAGACTTCTTACGAGATGCCCCAGAAGCTACAGGTAGTAGCTAAATAAAGCATGCAACTGGAAGATTTCTCCAGTGTTTTGATTCTTTTAAAGTAAAGTAACATTCTTCATAGGAGAAGAGCCAGAAGATTCAGACTTTGATTTGCCCAAAGTTTACGAGCCCATTGAGTCTTTTGAGAGTCTCAAGGATCGACTGAACATGTTCCTGTCCCACTTCAACGAGAGCATCAGGGGCACTGGCATGGATATGGTGTTCTTTCAAGATGCAATGGTTCATCTGGTCAAGGTACTTTAAGGTTTTTGTTAAAGGAGAAACATCCTACAATCTAGTACTTTGTTTACCTCAGTGCCATTACATTTTCATCAGAAATTGTTACTCAAATGTTCTTTTTTCTGTTTACTTTATCAAGGAGACTTCTATTGAATGTCTGTTCCATGTGTTCAGGTGTCTAGAATAATCCGGACCCCTGGAGGTAACGTCTTGTTAGTCGGTGTTGGAGGTTCTGGCAAACAGAGCCTAACCAGACTGGCTTCGTTCATAGCTGGATACAAGATTTTCCAAATTACACTCACACGGTAATGCTCACATAAGCACTTAAATATTTATTTCCCAGATCGCCAAACATCCATTGCCCATGCCTCAGTGGGAGCATTCGGGATAAATGTTCAGCTAGAAGCAGATTAATGTGAAAGGAAATGGAATCAGACTGATATTTATGGCAGCATCTCCTGCAGCTCTGACCCTTCTCCAACAGAGGGTTTCCAGAGAGGCTTATTTTTCAGTTGATTTATCAGAATAAGAGTAGCCATCCTTTTCATTAACTGTGCTCTACCTCACTGTTGTGTGTGTGGCTCTGGCATTCCCCTTACTCCTAGATTATTAAATGTACATGGATTTGTGGCTATCATACACCCCGTCCACTAAGTCTCTAACGGGTTTGGGTGGAATGTTAAAATGAATGAAGCTTGTGTTTTTTTATCCTGGCTTAGCATGCACCTCTAGAGAAAACAGGCACTTTAACTTACATCTATTTCTCTAGCAGGCAAAAATACACAAAAGCTGACCTTGAGATACACATCTGCACCATAATGTCTCCCTTTCCTTGCTATTTGGTAATACCTACCTGACTTTCTTTGCCATTAAAAGTTTTATATCCATCTTAGTTTGAAATTTTTAGGCTATTTTGGCTTTTCGTTTGGATACTTCTTTCTGAGTGGAACGTGATTCAGGTCCGTTTAATGAAATGAGTTCTGATTACTCACCATGTAAGACTTCTGTTGAGTTCTGGCTCAGCAGAGCACCAGTTCAGAACTCCGACCAAGCAACCTCACTTGTCAAGAATCCTGTCAAAGTTAGAGAACTTAAAACAAGAATACTAAACCTGCTGGTGAAAGACGTCTTAATCTTTTTTTTAATTGTTGGAAAAACATTCATAACAGCACTATCAGGGTGAGCATATAATTATGAGCATGATAGTTATTTTTTAAGTGAGTTATTCTATTTCATATAATCATTGCTTTAATATAAGCTCATTACCAGGATTAAACCAACCAAATATCCACATTTTGCTGTTAAAGAGCAAGTCACCCCCAAATCAACTTTTTTGCATGACTAATATTGCTGCAGACATGTATTTGTCATGATCCTGCCATGCCTTGACCTCCATGCACCATCATTCACCTCATCAGCCTTCATGCTTCACACCTGGTCCCCTCATCTAGCCCCAGCCAAACCATGTTTCCACAGCAATCCCAGCCTGCATCTCATCAGCTTCATCCACGTCACCTGCTCCTGACTCGTCAGCTCATCACACACACCTGCTTCCCCTGCTACTTAAGAACCAGCCATCCAACCATTCAGTGCCAGTTTATTGAACACTTTTGCCAGTAAATCTTCCAGCCTTCCTTCCCGCCTGATCACAGTCCCTTGACCTCGTTTCCACGCCTGACCATCACCAAGAACTCTGCCTGCCACCACGACCCTAGCCTGTCTACGACCACGTCTCCTGTCTGCTCCCTGTACCTGCTTAGTTCCGATCTGGTTTCAACCCACGCCTGCCTTCGACTCTGCCCTTACCTGAGTTTTCTCCGGTAACGCCTCCTATTAGCTTCTGGCTAATAAAGACTGTTAAAAACATCTGGCTGTGTTTGGTGTCATCACGGGTCCTCCACGTTCTGTTCATGGCATGTATTACTGTTTTGGTTTTTAGTGGATGTTGTTTAAAATGTTAATATTCTGCCTAAAACCATCAGTGTGGTGCCCTCTTCAGGATAGAGTTTACACAACATTTGAATTTGAATCAGCCATTGCTGGCTAAGCAGGGATATGTGACGTTAGCAAGCACCGTGTGACATGGCTGCACTGCAGCCGAGTCTTGGCCACTCCTTCATTTGGTGCCTCAGCAACTCATGACCCAACATGAAACAATACGACTTAGGGTCGCTCGCTTCCTCCATTTAAAATCATCCTTTTCCTCTGGTGAGGGAGGTGGAGAGAAATCCTCCAGTCTAGGAAAATTGCTGCTATTTCTCAGTCCGAGCCACGTGTGTGTGTTTGTTAGCGGCTCATTTTTTCGGTGTGGGTAGTGGTAGGGCACTATCAATCACTGCTGCAGTACAAGTCTCTAGGTCTGCCGGGCAAAATCTCTTTTTGGTACATTTTTCAAATAGGAAGTGTGGATGGAATAGGATTCAGGCAGGGGGTGACTTGCTCTTTAAGAACATCTCTGATGTCATATTTTGTGTCCAGTTTGTGCTTCATAGTTTTATATTGTTTTAATAAATCAGACTAGGTTGTTTTTTTATTCTTGATACCAACAAAAGTAAAGATAAGTCTTTATTTCTTCTTCCTGCATGAGTTGTTCGCTCATGGTATATGAGTTGCTAGCTGTTTTTCACAATTTTTACTTAATAATCTAAGCTGGCATGTGTAGTGTTAAAGGCTCATGTTTCTTTATCACATTCAGAACCAAATCAGAACTCACACACCTTTTTGACTCTTTAAACCAATAAAATCTCCCATAAGCTGAACATTTGCCTACTTGATGTTGGTAAATTCATCAAAACAATCCAGAGTCCTTTTGTGCATATCTAACGCACATCAAACTGCCTCTGAATGAAATATGCTGCCCTTTGCACTGAGAATGTTAGTATTATTCAGTGAAAATGAATAACTTCTTTTTGCTTTAAAAGCTCATACAACACAGCTAACCTGATGGATGACCTGAAGAATTTATACAGAATAGCTGGCCAACAGGGAAAAGGTGTCTGCTTCATCTTCACTGACAACGAAATCAAAGACGAGTCCTTCCTGGAGTATATGAATAACGTTCTATCATCAGGAGAGGTAAATAGGCAAAAATGTAATTTTATCACCTGTTTGCTTCCCATTTATCTACTTTCTAATTCCTCTCAGTCCAGCTGTTTCCTGATATTTGTTGTTTATCTGCATCTCTCTACATGTTGGCATTTGTATCTCTCCATTTGTCCTGCTTCTATTAATACTTCTTTGCTGCCCTTTCTGAATGACAATTTAAGCAGCGTGTGCTTTACCACGCAAGATGAATTGGTGTGGGGACCAGGAAAGAGTAGTGATGGTGTTTAGATGCAATGAGATATAGATTTGCTTATTTGTGTGTGTGTGTGCGTGCGTGCGTGTGTGTGTGTGTGTGTGTGTGCGTGTGTGCGTGTGTGTGTGTGTGTGTGTGTGTGTGTGTGTGTGTGTGTGACTTTGAGTGAGCGACAGTAAGATGAAAAAGAAAAAAAGACGCTGTGTGTGTTGTTTTTTGAGCGTCAGAATTTTAATCATATCATTTCTCTAATAATGAGTGTGTTTCTGTTATCAGGTGTCCAACTTGTTTGCTCGTGATGAGATCGACGAGATCCTCAGTGATCTAATACCTGCAATGAGACGAGAGTTTCCACGGCGACCACCATCTAATGAAAACCTGTACGAGTACTTCATGTCACGGGTCCGACATCATCTCCATGTGGTTTTGTGCTTTTCTCCGGTGGGGGAAAAGTTCCGCAACAGAGCGCTGAAGTTCCCAGCGCTGATATCAGGCTGCACCATGGACTGGTTCAGTCGCTGGCCCAAAGACGCACTTGTTGCAGGTTTGTTTTTGAATGTGGGTTCTGGTGACACACGTTTAAATGCATTATACCTACATTTCATCTACTCAGATTTTTCAGATTACTTCCAGCTATTTACAACTACAGGCTCTTCTAGGCAACTGTCTGTTATTCTGCAGTTTTAAATAACTAATCCTCTCAAAGCCAGAGAAGGCTCAGGGAAGGTGGCAAAGAGTTTTCAGGTTGTTGTTTACTCACTTTGAAGCGTTAAACGTTAAAGTTCACAGAAGCAGTGGAAATAAAGTTGAGGATTATGAAAATCAAAAGACTGTCTGAAAAAACTGAATGTGAATGTGTGAGAGAGAAAAAGGCTGTTAGCTTTTGCTTTTGAATTCCTTTTCATGCTTTGTTGACTGAAGAACAGTAGTCATTTTGCTCACGGTAGAATATGTATAAGTATTCATAGTTTTTATTAGACAAAACTATTTTTTAATATAGCACCTCTACAGATAAAAATCACGATGTGCCTTACAAGAATGACAGAAATGCAAAAGAATGAGCAAACCTCTTGTTCCTCCTCTTCAGTTTCAGAGCACTTCCTGTCCTCCTATGATATAGACTGCACACCTCAGGTCAAACAGGAAGTCGTGCAGTGCATGGGCTCATTCCAGGATGGTGTTGCAGAGAAGTGTGTAGACTACTTCCAAAGGTACTGTATGGACTTTTCAAAGTACTTTGTGGTACTTTGCAATTTCTGTCATTTTAGCACTTTCCTGATATCAAAAAAGTACACATACTGATATTTTAGTGAACCATGTGCTTTCAGCACTGAAAACAGAATAATTAACTCTGCAAAGGATTCTTAATTAATCCCACTGGTTTCACTTTTATGATTGAAAGAAATAATCAAATGTAATTAATTTTTCAGGTATCGGCGCTCCACCCACATCACCCCAAAGTCCTACTTGTCTTTCATTCAGGGCTACAAGACCATCTATAAGGAGAAGAGGTCTGAAGTCCAGACACTGGCTAACAGGTAAGGGGACCCCAAGGATTAAATATAGGCTTATTTAACCTCTGACTGCTTTCACTTTATTCAATATGACAATTTTTTTATTTATTATCTTTATTTCATTCAAAAAAAAAAAAACACAACAGATACTAAACAATATTCATGAAAACACAATATATATTTGAATGAAAGGGAGCAGATAGAAGAAAAATCTTATTATTTCTGCCCCCTTTTTAAACTTAAATATCAATTTATATTTGTGCAGTCCCTCACCAGTTCTTTCAGTCCCGTAACTGTTCACATTTGTTAATTATTATGTCCACATCAATTGTCAGTTGTCATATCCACACAACACACGTGATTTAATGTGTAGACTGAACACTTTTAGAGTTCTTGACTCTTTCCATTCTCTGTCCAGGCAATTCCACAACTTCACACCATTCACAGATATGCTCATTTCCTTCATTCTTGTTCTAAATCTAGGTTTTTTGAAGATTTCAAATCCCTTCAACGAATAACTGCTATCTCTCTTTTCAAACATATGCTGAATATTCTTTGGCAATGTACCTTTATTTGCTTTATACATTATATGCAATATTCTCCAGTTGACCAAATCATGAAATTTAATTACTTTATATTTTATAAATAATGGGTTAGATGGAGCTGTACTATGAGTGTTGTCTATAATGCTCATTGCTCTTTTCTGCAAAACAAACAAAGGTTGTGTATACGTTCTATATGCAGTTCCCCAGATTTCTACACAATAATTTAAGTATGGCAGAATCAGTGCATTGTATAGTAATAACAATCCTTCACTATTTAGTAAAAACTTTACGCTATATAATACTGCAATGGCTTTGGCCATTTTACCTTTTATATAGCCTATGTGTGATTTCCAGCTTAGAGCTTCATCAATCATTACTCCCAAAATTTTGATTTCTTTTACCCTTTGAATTTCCATGTTATCTATTTCTAATATTACATCTATATTTTCTTTATCATTAAATAGAATGAAATTAGTTTTTTAAGATTAAGTGTTAATTTATTTATATCAAACCAGTTTTTAACTTTTATCAGTTCAGTATTTATCACGAGTTACTTCATTTATATCAGACCCTGAATAAAACAATGTTGTATCATCTGCAAACAAAACAGAACCTAGTTTGTCAGACACATTTACCAAATCATTGATATACAGGTTGAACAATTTTGGTCCAAGGACTGACCCTTGTGGCACTCCATAAGCAATATTTCGTAGCTCTAATGTAATGCCATTTATCTGAACATATTGCTTTCTGTTATCTAAATAACTTCTAACCCATTGATGAGCAACCCCTCGTATTCCATACTGATATAATTTTTGCAGTAACTTTGAATGATCGATAACGTCAAAAGCTTTCTTTAAGTCAATAAAAACACTAATAAAGTATTCTCTATTGTCTATCGCTTCAGATATTTTCTCTGTTAAATCCATTATTGCCATTGTTGTTGAATGTTGGGTCCTGAATCCATACTGTTCATTATGTAAAATCATATTTTTTTCAATAAATTTATCCAACCGTGATGCAAAGACTTTTTCAAGTATTTTGGAAAACTGTGGAAGTAGTGACACTGGCCTATAATTTGTGAAATTATGTTTATCACCATTCTTAAACAGTGGAACCACTTTTGCTATTTTCATAGCATCAGGGAAGACTCCAGTAGAAAGTGACAAATTACAAATATAAGTAAAAGGATCAATAACAGATTCTATTATGGTCTTTACAGTCATCATGTCCAAATCCTCAGTTGATCGCTTATTTCCACAGTTTTTTACAATTTCTCGTATTTCCTCTTTTTCTACTTTGCAAAGGAAAATACTACTGACATTATTTACTACTGTATTCAAATTGTCTTCAATTAAAGTGTCATGACCCATCAAACTCCTCCCTACATTTACAAAAAAATCATTGAATTCATTAGAGATTTCTTTTACATCATAAATGTCTACATTGTCCTTGACAAAGTAATTTGGTACCTTAGATGTAGTTTTATTTCTGTTCGTCACACTATTTATTATTCCCCATGTAGCCTTTGTATTAGCCTTATTCTTTTCCAATAATTCACCATAATAATCTTTTTTCCTTTTCCTAATTATTGCTATTGATTTATTTTTATATTTTTTTATATCGGTCTTCTGTTACTCTTGTCTGTGATTTTAAAAAATTCCTATACAGCTGTTTTTTTTTTTTGCACATGCATTTCTTATTCCTTTAGTCATCCATGGTTGATCTACCCTTTTACCACTACTTTTGAATAATTTACAGTAATTATTATATAATTTCATAAATTTTTTCATGAAGGACTTATATGCAGTGTTGACATCCCTTACATATGCTTCCTCCCAATTCTGCATTTCAAGATCCTTCTTTAGCGCTTCCCATGCTCTAAATGATCTATCTCGTTTGTAATTTAACGAGGTTTCTTGCTTTATCAATTGTTTATTTTTAAGTACTGCAAAGACAGGCAGATGATCACTAATATCGGCCATCAATACCCCACTCCTCAAAACATCATCTTTTTTATTTGTAAATATATTATCAATTATAGTAGCACTATGTGCTGTGATCCTGGTTGGTTTGGTGATTAACGGAAATAATCCTAAACTGTACATAGAATTGATGAAATCATTTGTTTTCTGTCCAGCAGGCTGCTCTATATTAATATTAAAGTCTCCACACAAGAGCAAGGTTTTGTTCTTTATGTGATCGCCCAATTCACTGATTCTTTCAGTGAATGTCTTAATACAAGCACCAGGTGCTCTATAAACACAACCAACCAGGATATTTTTTGATGTATTATTATTAATTTCCACAGTTATTACTTCCATGACCCCATCCTCAATCATTGTCATGTCTTCAACTAATTTACATTTCAAATCTGTTCTAATAAACAAAGCTACCCCACCTCCTCTTTTGTATGTTCTATTAGCAAAAAAAAGTTCATATCCCTCTATCTGAACTTCATCCATCATGTCATTCTTGAGCCATGTCTCTGTTATTGCAGTCACACTTAATTTATTTTCGAGTTTACTGAAATAATCTTGTATTATTTGTAATTTACCAAACAAACTTCTACTGTTGATGTGAATAATTGATAGCCTATCTCCTTTGATTATCTCACTGTTCAATTTTTCATCTTCATAATAATCACAATTTATGTTTAAATCAAAAAAGCTTTCATCTATCTTATTATCAATGTCATATATTTTTTCCTCTGTGTCCATGTAAACTAATTTATTTCCTCATTTTTTACTATTCAGTAGCCCTACTGGTAGCCTGCAAGTTCTTCATAATTTTTATTTTCTTTAATTTATCAGTATTTCTTATCCATATTATTCACTTGTATCTTTCTAGTTCTGCCATTTCTTTGATAACCAAAATCTTTGCCTGCTCTGGAGACCCGTTCAATTTAATGAACACTTTGCAGTTTGAGGTCCATGTTGATTGTATTTTTTTCTGCTTTCTCAGAAGTCTTGCTTGCCTTGCTATGTCTGCATATTTCTTAATGAGGTGTTCGTTTATATATACATTTGTTCCCTTCAGCTTTCTTTTAATTTTTTTAATTAAATTTTGCATAAACCACACCTGGAAACCAGGAACATGAATAAAACCATTTTAATATCTTCTATAGTTAGTTAGATGTGATTTATAAAAAAACATATAAATAGACTTCCGCCATCTCAATTAAACAAAGCAAATAGGTAGGAGCCTCTTTTTGGATAATTTTTGCATGGGCAATTATCTTTCAGCTGCAACCATTTATTTAATCCAACTGGTGCAATGAGTTGCATCTCAATTCTTAAGCAACCAGGTGGAAAGACACATCTGGTGGTCGTGGAAAATATGTTAGTCTGTGTGATAAGGGCTAGATCATTGGCATGCTTCAAGCAGAGAAAACATCTAAGGGGATGCAGAATCGACTAAAACTGGGTTAAGAACTGTCTAATACATTATTCAAACTGGTCTAATGAGTCCAGATGAACCCTGTTCCAGAATGATGGTGCATCAGGGTAAGAAGAGAGGTAGATGAAGGGATTCACCCATAGTGCCTACTGTACAAGCCTGTGGAGGCAGTGCTATGATCTGGGCTTGCTGCTGTTGGTCAGGTCTAGGTTCAGTAACAGGATGTGATCCAAGAACGAAGTCAGCTGACTACCTGAATATACTGAATGCCCAGGTTATTCCATCTTCCCTGATGGCATAGGCATATTCTAAGATGACAATGCCAGGATTAATCAGGCTTAAATAGTGAACGAGTGGTTTGGGGAGCATGAGACATCATTTTCACACATGGACTGGCCACCACAGAGTCCAGCCTTTAACCCCATTAAGAATCTTTAGGATGTGCTGGAGAAGACTTTGTGCAGCGGTCAGACTCCACCATCATCAATGCAACATCTTGGTGAAACATTAATGCAGCACTGGATGGAAATAAATCTGGTGACATTGCAGAAACCTATTGAAACAACATCACGGCAAATGTGTGTCGTAATCAAAGCTAAAGACGGTCCAACAAAATTTTAAAGGGTGTGACCATTTTTTTGGGTAGCAACATTTTTGGCTGGGCAGTGTACTTTCAAAGGCTAAAGTTTATTTGATTTTATTTTAATTAATTTCTATCTAACTTTATGTATTCAGTAGCAGTTTACAAAAAGGTTTGTAATTAAAAAAGCAAACATATCTGGTTCAGATTAAAGTCTGTTTAATCCACATCCCTTACAGTTATTACATATCAGTTCAGAGCTGTCAGAATCCAAATCCTCCCTAATTTATTTTTATTCAGGAATTCACTCAACCAATTTCAGTAGGTAGATACATGAGATAAGTAATATAACTTTAGATTGGTGTCTAAACCACAGTACTGAAAGCCACCTTAGACCCAAATCATTCTATGATGTACACACACACACACACACACACACACACACACATTTCTTTTTTCTTTATGGCTTTGAACTCTTGAACTCAGATTTATTGACAGTTGCTGAAGAGATACCCTGACATTGCAAAGAAAATTGGCATATGACACAAAAGATGAAAGACATGTGTTACAATGTTCAAGTGTTATTACCAGCTGGTGCCAGAGAGATCACCTGTTCAGCCAGAATGACATGCAGTCAGAACCACTGATTTTAAAGGATTGTTCACAGAAAAACTGTTTTTAATGATTATTTCTGGTTATAATTGGTCACTCTGAAAATGTCGTGCAGACTTAACTTGAAAATAGTCTCCTACACCTATCTCCTGCATTGGCTTCTGATAGAAAATAGATGGTAAAACTCTAGGATTAGAAAAGCCTGCCATTTAACATTCATGGACTCATCCATATTGACTCATGACGGGGAAGGCTGTTGTGTGTTTTGCATCCAGGAAACAGCAGAATGTCTTGGCTAGCAAAAGCTAACCATTAGCATTAGCAACTTCACCACACAGCAGAAGTCCTCCAGGCTTGTGTTATTTGTGAAGTTAAAAATGCAAAGTTGCAGAGCAAATGGAGTCAGAGATAAAGTCACGTTGCTTTTACCAAATCAGAGGACAGATGTCAAAACATCAGAAAATAAGACTCCTAATCTTCTGTCTGAAGCTACTTTCTCCTCCAGCTGAATTCTAGTTCCTGAAACAGGTGCAGTGGAGCTTTTTCCCTGTACTACTTACAAGGCATTCATTCCTACTAGAAAATACACTCATGTAAGGAGCTACAATTGTATACTATAAATACAGATAGCTTTGACTGACTGTTGGATGTTTCTCAATAAGGATGAATACTGGTCTTCAAAAGCTGAAGGAGGCATCTGAGTCAGTAGCAGCTCTCAGCAAAGAGCTGGAGGTGAAAGAAAAAGAGCTAAAGGTTGCGAATGACAAGGCTGATATGGTAAGAATATATTTTTGGGAATATTGACTGTTTTTCCAAAATCGAAGCTTTTATCTTCTATTAAAACCTCTTACAAAAATCACAGATTTAACTAAAATCATCAGTCCATAATAATCTCCTCTTCCTGTGACACACTCCTTTTTTTTCCACCCATGAAAAGATTTAGCAATAGCCGTCATTTTGAGAAATGTTATCCTCTGCATAGTAAGCAGCAAGTTTATTAGCACTGGCACACAACACATATCTACAGTTGTACTTTAGTGTTTTTTGGAGAAATACTTTAGTTTTAGTTCCTTTAGTTTCTCCTGCACTGAGTGGAAAAAAAATGTAGTCGGAGTCATATCATATTGCTTCACTGAAATCTGTATTATAATTTTAGCAAAGCTTTTATTTTGTTACTTTGTTTTATGCAATACACATCTGTCAGTTCCTGCTTTATTGATGATGGAATAAAGTTAAGCTGTGGTCATTTTTCCTCTCTAGGTGCTTAAGGAGGTGACAGTAAAAGCCCAGGCAGCAGAACAGGTGAAGGTAGAAGTGCAGAAAGTGAAGGACAAGGCCCAAGCCATTGTAGACAGCATTTCAGCTGACAAGGCCATTGCTGAGGAGAAGCTAGAAACTGCTCGACCCGCTCTGGAGGAGGCAGAAGCTGCACTGCAGGTATGCAACTCACATATATTCCTCCACTATTATTTTCTTTAGGTGGTCATTTTAAACAGTTCACTGTTTACTTTGCAGGTTACAGTAATTGTCCTTTGTTTGCATCCACAGATTCAATATTCTAAATAAAGTTACTGTAAATGAATGCAAAATTTGCACTTAAATGAATAATTAAATACGAATCAATCTGCTGACACAAAAGATCAATCAAGTAAAAAAAAAGATTCATTGTTTCATTGAACACAACGTTGTAAATATTAACAAAGGAGATAAAACCTGCACCAGCTGTTGTGTATTTATTTCAGCCTGTTTTCAGTCTGGTGTTGAGAAACAGGCTGGACCATATTGGTACATTACTCATTTTTATTTCCTCCCAAGGCAGAAGCAGTGGTTGGAGTCCAGAGCCTCATCAATATATTGGTTGGACAGTTTGGGCCTCTTGGAGATGTAAAGAAGAGAATAATCAGTTGAGATAATTTAGAAAGGCCCTTTCTTCATTTTTCATGCATAAGAGCCGTTGAAAATAAACTTAGCTGTTTTTCAGGATTGTGTGCAGCAGATGTATCAGAGCTTATATACGTAGTAGAAACATCCATCCATCCATCTTCGCCTGCTTCGGGGTCAGGTAGTGGGGGCAGCAGCCTAAGAAGAGAGGCCCAGACATCCTTCTCTCCAACCAACAGTTCCTCCGGGGTAATCCCAAGACATTCCTTTTACAGCCAGCAGGCATAGTCCCTCCAGCTTCTTTCAGGCCTCCTTCTGGTTGGACGTGCCCAAAACACCTCACCAGGAAAGCATCCAGACTAGATGCCCGAGCCACCTCAACCGGCTCCTCTTGATGTGGAGGAGCAGCAGATCTACTTCAAGCCCCTTGCATGATGAGTTTCTCACCCGTCTCTAAGGGAGAGCTTGGACACCCAGCGGAGAAACATCTTTTCTGCCACTTGTATACGTAATATAATTTCCTTTGTCACTACCCAAAGCTTGTGACCAGCACTGAGCCTGCTTTGATTAGGGTGCTAAATGGCATTATGGTGGCATCCGACTCTGGGTCTAGGGTACTACTGCTACTGCTGGACCTTTCAGCGGCTTTTGATACGGTCGGTCACCATACTTAATTGGACTGGCTTGGGTCTTGGCTTGGGGTGACGGGGGTGGCACATAAATGGGGCACGTAAATGGTTCTGCTCCTACCTATCCAACCAATCCATTCTCTGTCCAGATTGGTGACTGTACATCCTCTTGTTGGGGGGGGGGGGGGGGGGGGGGGGGGGCACAAGGCTCCGCTATCAGGCCATTGCTGTTTTCTATCTACCTTCTGCCTCTGGGCAAGATCCTGAATCCACACGGCCTGAGCTATCACATTTACGCTGACAACTGTCAATTATATGTAGCAATGGATGAGAGGAATGCGGGCACGTGAATGGCTGCATGTTTAGATGACGTGAAGGGCTGGCTGGCATCCTACTTCTTAAAGTAAGGAAAGAAAGGAAGACTGAGTCTATTGTTTTTGACCACCACCACCACCATGGCTCTCACCCTATTTGTGACTTTTTAACCTTCAACCCCAAACAGTGCGTGACAAGACTCGGGGTAAAGTTGGATGCTGAACTCTCAATGGCCCCACAGATAAACTCCGTAGTGCGGTCTTGCTTTTATCAGCTTCGCCGCCTTACTCGCCTCAGACAAATCTTGAAACTGAGGCATTTGGAGTCAGTCATCCATGCCTTCATTGCCTCTCGCTTGGACTATGCAAATGCCCTCCTAGTTGGTGCTCCGGTCTCTGCCCTGAATTGGCTGCAGGTCGTCCAGAACACTGCTGCCAGGTTCTTGACAAATACGCACCAACATAGCCATATTACCCCTGTCCTGGTCCATCTTCACTGGCTCCCTGTCATTTTCAGAGTACAGTTTAAGTTACTGACTTTTGTATTTAAAGCACTCCACGACCTGGCGACTCCCTATCTCTCTGACTTGCTCACTCCCTATGTACCCACACGCACGTTGAGGTCGGCTGACCTCCTGCTGCTGTGCACCCCCTGGATGCAATACAAATCACGGGGTGAACAAGCATTTGTACATGCTGCCCCAAAGCTGTGGAACTCGTTACCCATTAAAGTTCGGCAGGCTCCATCATTGGCGGTTTTTAAATCTTGTTTAAAGAGCCACTTCTACGATGTGGCTTTTAGACAGTGACATGTTTTAGTGTTTTATTGTGTTATTGTTTTAATGTTTTAATGTTTTCTTAGTATTCCTCATGTTTTATCTGCTTTTGATCAGTATTTTTATCTTCTGTTTTAGTTGCTTAGATTGGTTGTGTTTTGGTTAAGCATGTACAGCACTTTGGGCAGCTCCCATGCTGCGTTTTAAATGTGCTATATAAATAAACTACGGTATGGTGTGGTATGGTATATATCATCATCATCGAACTTACATAGCGCTTTATTAGGGCACTCAAAGACCCTTGCGTGAACTCTTACATTCACACACTGCTAGTGATGGTAAGCTACAATGTAGCCACAGCCGCCCTGGAGCGGTCTGACAGAGGCGAGGCTGCCATTTGTTGCCATCGGCCCTTCTGACCACCACCAACACAGGCAAGTTGGGTGACGTGTCTTGTCCAAGGACACAACAGCAGAAGAAGAAGAAGGAGAAAATATCATTTCTATAGCTCCTCTCAAGATAAAAATCACGAGGCGCTTCACAAAAACAAAAACAAAAAGTTGAAAAATTGTAAAAATAGAAAAAAAGCATTTTGAAAATGTTTAAAAATATATTTAAAATGAGCAAGAATAAGCAATTGCGATTTAAAAGAAAAAATGTTAAGAAAGAGAGAGAGAGTGAATAGGAAAGAGGGAAATCAGTGGATCCTGAGGAAGGTGGAATAGGTGGGGAGAGCAGAATAAAGAGAGAGTGGTGAAGAAGGTCATACAAAAGCCAGCTTGAACAAGTGAGTCTTCAGCTGCTTTTTGAAGGAGACCACTGAGTCCACTGATCTCAGGCTCAGGGGGAGAGAGTTCCAGAGTCTGGGGGCCACAGCAGCAGATGATCTGTCACCTTTGGTCTTTAGCCTGGTGCTGCACAACCAGTAGGCTTTGATCACTGGACCTCAGGGACCTGCTGGGGGTGTAGGGACTAAGAAGATCACCAATGTAAGATGATGCTTGTCCATGTAAGGCCCTATAGACCAGAACCAGAATACCTCTGGTGGGAGCTGGAATCAAACCCATGACCCTCCGATCATGAGGCGACCCGCTCCACCTCCTGAGCTACTGCTGCCCCAAATATATGAGGTTAGAACATTTGGAGCCAGTAAACTGAGAGATTCAGCTTCACTGCAACAGAACAGTACCATGCCTGCATCATTGCAGATGTAGCACCAATCTGCCCATCAATCTCTTGCTCCATTTTTCCCTCAGTCGTGAACAAGACCCCGAGATTAGACTCCCCCACTTGGGACAGGACCTCGTCCCTGTAGTAGAACCATTTATTTTTGTCTTTCAAATGTATAAATAATGGTAATTCCATTTACTGTCAGGAGAACTTAGCTGAATAGATCCATTAGGTGAATCAGTAGTGAGTCATGATTGGAACGCAGGTGTGGTTCAGTGGTCCTGGAAAGCGGTCTTCTCCATTCATCTCTCTTGTGTACACTGACAAGACAATAAGCTTTGCAAAGATCCAGCTAAGTAAAGATGGTTGCCCTATGTAGTGACTCAAATGCAGAGGAGATGAGTGGAAGGAGATGCCTGCTCATGCATGCTGCATACATGTTCTATCTACCAAATGGGTCAAGTTTAAAAAAACTGTTAGCTACAGCAGTTAAACGTGCTTAGCTGTCTGACTAAACTTATACAAGAGCAATAATCCTCTCCTCTCCCTTTGTGTGGCCTCAGGGTTTAACTTGGAACCCTTTATGACTTGATCTGCTGAGAGGAGCAGTGTGAAGGTTTAGCCCTCATCTTTGCTGTCCTGTGTGTCTGAAGTTAGTTTGGTGGTTTGAGGCCTGGAGCTGGATTGTAATTAAAGTGGTGCTCTTGGGTGGATGGTTGTCTACCAATCTGCTGTGGCAGCTTCTTTCTTACAACTTTTCTCCTGCTGTTCCACGTGGAAGCAGGACGTTTCTTAACACACAACCCTGGGTGATCTGTTTTGATTTTATATACCAGTTTTTATTTACTCTAAAGAGGAACAAGTTTTTTAATGACTTTTATTGACAATTTTATGAGAGGCTCTAAAGTCGATGGTCGAGTAAATTTGGATCTAAATTATACCTGAGTTTGCTGTCAGACTTTTTAACAGATACAGTAAAAATGTAGCAGGAAGTAAAAAGGCAAACATACAGAAAATTGGGAAGATGAGACTGGCAGTGAGAAGACTTGAAGCAGCCAAACAACTCTCACTGGGACATTTCCCTTACTGCTCTTCTCACTGTCATTTTAATCCGTCCCTTGAGGTAATTCTGTGTCCCCCAGCTGAAGTCTGCCATTCTGCTGTGATTTATTTTTTGTGTTTCACTTGATTTTTCTGCTTTTGTTTCTCAGTCCCTCTGGTTGCATTTCCTCTGCTTTTAAATTGTGAATTTGCAGGATTGCAGATTATCTTTATTACTGCATACAACATGTCCTCCATTGAGCAAGATAGTTAAATCCAAATGGCCATATCCTTTTGTTCTCATTTTAGGGGCATTTTATCTCTAACTCCCAGTTAAAAGGACTGCCTTCCATCTAATTTGTATTACAATAAAACATTTTTCTCTATGAAAACTCCTATCATTTTATGTTTCTTGCTTATTCATGCATATCACTTTGCACAAAAAGCACCTGTAGCATCAATCTGGGTGGTGTTGGGTATGACCCTTTAAAATGGAATCGTAAAGGAGCCTCTTTTGTGTATTCATTCTGTTTTTCTTCTAAACACTTTTTAAGTTCCTATTTTAAAACATAGGAAAGGTTTTTTTGTACCTTACAAACAGTTTTGATTGCTCCTGCGATCTTCTTCAGAGCTAGCGTCACTTCCTTCTCCGTTTATCCGCGGGCAGCAGAGGACAGTGTCGCCCTCTGCTGCCCGCGCTCTTCTCACCGATGACACAAAGATCATAACCACCAAACAACAAAAACAAAAGATGGATTAAGGAAGCCAAAGAAATACAGAGACATGGGCGCAGAACCATGAACAGAGATGAGGGGATCTACACATTAGATCATGTGGTCTCCTCACCAATGACACAGTTTCATGCATGATTTAATGTGTAGACCCCCTCGTCTCTGTTCATGGTTCTGCGCCCATGTCTCTGCATTTCTTTGGCTTCCTTAATCCATCGGTTGTGTCATCGGTGAGGAGAACACGGGCAGCAGAGGGCGACACCGTCCTGCTGCCCGCAGGTAAACAGAGATGGAAGTGACACCGTCATTAGTGGCTAGCTCTGAAGAAGATAACAGGAGCGGTCAAATCTGTTAGCAAGGTAAAAAAAAAAACGCTCCTGTATTTAAGAAAATAACTTAAAAAACCATTAAAAGCAAATGTTTAATAACGAGATAAACAAAAATAACCTGTAGTTTTTACGGCACAAGACCAGCAGCTGAGTGCTGACATTCCACATTTTCTTCTTTGGTGGTAAAAATGCACTTGTAAAGCTTTTAATCACTTTATCCACATTTGTATTTATAAAACATCTTTAAAAAACCCTGCCAATACTTACAAGATTATTTTTTCTGTGATGTTTTTGACATTTGCTTGCTCCTCTTCAGATTCAAAAACATGAGCAGCACTGTCTCACTAAATAAAACTGATCATGACAAATAAAAATCACAGAGACATATTGTTTTAGTTGTGTAAATCTGTCAAAACTTTTCCTACAAATCATTTTACAAGTATAAGCATTAAGATTTAGTTATTGTGACCTGTGTCGCAGATAAAAAAAAATATGTGCAAATAAATGCTTTTTAATGCATATCTATGACTTCATGCTGCTAGATTGAGACAGTATTTTATTGCAGCTCTTTTGTAGTAGTTGGTAGCTTTGTATGTTTTGGTTTTATTTGTGCAGTCTGGTATAGTTAACCTTGCTGCCGAAGAGCTGTACTGAGTTTGCTTTATGTCCCCTCTGCAACACAGAAACCCATCTGTTTCTTCTGTCTTTGCTCATACAGACTATAAAGCCGTCAGATATCGCCACAGTAAGAACCCTCGGCCGTCCTCCCCACCTCATCATGAGGATCATGGACTGTGTGCTGCTGCTCTTCCAGAGGCGTGTCAATACTGTGAAGATCGATCCAGAGAAAAACTGCAACACTCCCTCCTGGCAGGAGTCCCTAAAACTGATGACAGCGGGAAACTTCCTGGGCAGCTTGCAGGTGCACTTTCCAATATTTCCTCCATGCAGATGCTACAGACAACCCAATCACCTAAACAGCAAACACATAATTTGACTGATGTGGTTTGTTTTATGGTTAGTAAATTTTCATACTGGATATGTAAAAATAAAATTGTCTAAACCTCACTCCAAGTGAAAGCCAAAGACTAAAAACAGTGTTTGTTAAAAATATTTGAACAAGTTAATAAAAAACTTAAATCATAAAAGAGCTAGGGCTGTTCTAACTGACTATGTCTCTCTGTTCTCTATCATTCACTGCAAACCTTCAATAGAAATATCCTATGCTAATGCCTTTTTTTGTGTCTTCCTTTCACCTAAAGCAATTCCCCAAAGACACCATTAATGAAGAAATGGTGGAGCTGCTGCAGCCTTATTTTGAAATGGCTGACTACAACATTGAAACAGCCAAGAGGGTGTGTGGTAATGTGGCTGGCCTTGCATCTTGGACTAAAGCTATGGCCTCATTCTTCTCCATTAACAAAGAGGTTTTGCCCTTGAAGGTAAAGTTTGGGAAATTTTACATTAAATGTGAAATAGATGTTTTACAGTCAGAATGTGGCTCAGAAAAATTAGCCTGGCCTGCCAGAATCCTCCTCTGTTTAATTCTGCAAAGAGAAAGGGTCTGGGAGCTCTCCTATTCAAATAACCCCACCCCCTGAGAATTCTAACCGAGCCAATCAGCCCTTAGTGGCGTACGTAACACACCACAACGCTGACTTTGTCAAAAACATGGCGACTGAAGCGGACTTCACTGCGGCTCTTTCCTCTGGTCTAAATTACTTTAATGCATTTTAAACCACAACAAGAAGTGCTAAAAGCCTTTCTTCTAAAAACTAAAATTATGTTTGTGTCATCGCCAAACATCATTTTTGACTACAGCTAAAAAACTACAGCGTTGCGCGGTACAGTCGGCATTTCCGTCTTTTTTCTGATTGGTTATTTTTGAGCTGGCCAGTCCCGCCCCTCATTTGTCTCTCTGCATGTGAGTTACTAGACTCTTTCTCTGTGCAGAATTAAACAGAGAATGAGTCTGGCGGGCCAGGCTACAGAAAAATACCTTCAAAGGGCCAGTGCTTAAAGTTAAAAATTCAATTCAATTCAATTCAAAGATACTTTTTTAATCCCAGAGAGAAATTAGAGTTTCAGTACACACAATTCTGAGATCAGACATGAATACATAGGCATAGACACATGACAAGAATTGGTGACTGTGGTCATTCGCAACCCGAGTCGCGCTACCTTAATAGAGATCAGAGGGTTTATATATGAGGATTAGTTCAGGTGGAGCAAACAAAAGCACTTCAGAGTTACCCTCCACAGGGAGGGCAGCTTTGCTATGCAAAAAACACCTCAGACAGAAATGCAACAGACTTCAGACATTACACATCATAAGTGTCCACTAGGTGGGAGGTAGGGTTGGGGACTCTCCACACATCAGTGCATGCAGCCGCGATAAGCAGCACTCATCACCTCTGTTTGGACAGGGGAGGGAGGTAGCTGGGTTTAGAAAGCACAGTGCCTGGAAACGATTCAACGGCCTTCACCGGTCGCAGTCCCGCCCAGGCTGGGATAGGGAGACAGAGTTGCCATGGCGACGGCAGCATTCCATATTTCTTCTGAGGGGGGAGTATTCACTTCAGCCTCACAGGCTCAAGGGCACCAGATTCAGATAAGAACTTGTTTTGGGGCCAGACAGAGATAATTTCCTCTCTGTCTTAAAGTTCTGTTGATCTCCAACCCCTCTGAATTCCAATAATGGCGTAATTAATCTGTCCTAATCGGTGCAGATCCATCCACTCGCTCCTTGATGGTATCCACCTTTTGTACCAGAGCCTGAATCTCAGCCAAAGTTCCAAGCTTACGACTCATCTTGACAACTATATGAGTTTGTGCATTCACAGCGTGGTGTAATCCATCCCTGAGCTCTGGGATTGAGCCAACATTCCTCTACAGCTCATTAATTTTCCGGTAAGCAGGTAACCACTCAGGCCGAAAAGCAAGAAACCTGACACCAACACCACGAATATCCAGACGTCTTCAGAATCCTCTACAGACAGTTGAGAGAGGCAAATCAGGTTCCGCTGTTTCCAGGAGTCCATGATATGCCCAGCTGGCTCTGTCCCAGAGGGGCAACCGGGAGCCCCTTCTCCTGTTCTCATCATTGAAAAAGTTTGTCAATCGCATTGAGAGACCAACTGACCAGATCCATTTTTAATAATTTCCATTTTCCCGAAAAAATGCAGAAGCGCCGTACACCCAAAGACAGACAAAGAGCCTTGGGATAAGATAGGGAGGAGAGGCGGAAAAAAGCGTCTGTACTCTCCAAGAGCGGAAGAAGAAAAGAGCCAGAAGAAGAAACTAAGTTATGTTATCTGCTTCCACTAAACCTATAATAGCTGCTGAAATGTAAAGAGTAATATACCTTTACTTTTAACATAACTAGGTTTAATAATGTAAATGACTCTTTATACCAGATGAAATAACTTGATTAAGTAAATTCAACATTTCATTTATTTGAGAGTACATTGCATTTTTTTTAAGCCAGTGGTCTCACATTTTCAGAATTTTCATAAATGTATTGGCTTTTGATTCTGTTCAAAAATCTTGCTCTCTGTGCCCCATTTTAACTTCGAGCACCCGCCCCTTGGAAGGTCTCTGCACGGCCCTGTTTGAAAATCATCTTCAGTAAGCATAACAGCAGGGCTCAGCGCCTGGGCAGTGTGCATGGCCTCTGATTATCCTACAAAGATAAAAAAGAAACACTTACATGGAGGAGAGAGGTTGTTTACACAAAGCTCTGTGATATGAAAATGATTTATTAATTTATTTACCCTCCTACATTCGAGGAGTGGCATTTTTCTATAGAGTGTGTGTATGTTTTTTTCCTTGGATCATGAGCAAAGAGACATGTTTTCATGGCCTTGTAAAGCAGACCACACACGTGTGGTCATGTGAAGAAAAACTCATCACTTTGACAACTTTATTCTTCCCCAAGGAATTCTGGTAAGTTAAACATTGGAATCAGGGGAAAAGTTTTGGTTTATTTATAAAGAAAACTAGCATCTTTCACATAATTTAGAAATGTAGCCAAAGAAAAAGTTGACTCACTAATGCGGAGACCTCTAACAGCCCACAATTAAATACACTGAAAATGAATTTTTGCTTAGCTTTAAATTAGATTTTTGTTGTTTTTGCTCAAACTGCTTACATTTATAAATTCAGTGTACCAGCATGTCCCAGTTTCCTTTTCAAATCAATTAGCAGCATCCAACAAAAGGAATCTGTTCTTAACTAATGAGTTCAGCATCACACACCCACAGACTACTGGGATCATGTAAACTTGAATATATTCTCCCAATTAGCATCTGATTTCACCAACTCTTTTGACCCAGTGACTTTATGTACCACAGAAATCCCTCTGAGATAAACCTCCGGATGGTTTTGATTTGGTTTCTATTGGGGGCTTTGATGCTAAAACCACTATCATCAGCATCTTCAAACATAAAGGGAATGAAAAGATGAGTCAATATTGTCATGAAGTACATGAAGATGTGTACTTTTATAACTCAGAGTACAAGAGTCCTTAAAAATAATTATCTGAAACTTACTGATCTACATTTTACGGCTCCTGATTTTAATGTGTTTAATGTGATACTAAAATGATGAATAATTTTATGGCGCACACACACACACACACACACACACACACACACACACACACACACACACAGTTCTAAAGAACTTGTGCACTATAGTTGAACATTTGTTCTTCAACTCTTTTCCTGAATAATTTTTGCTTTCATCATTTTTTGAGTTTTTATTTGAGCTTTTCTTTTTTGAGCTTGTGAATAAACATTATAATGCAGTCATCTGTTTTTTAAAAGATGACCTTATGAAAGAGCATTTACACAACTCAGTCTTAAAGCTGCAAACAACCTAGGTTTTGAATGCAAACATGGTCATGTTACACTCACCCCTCCCCTCGGGTATCTTCCCTGCCAGAACCAGAGAGCCACAATGCCGGAGGAAACTAGATCGTGCTAAACACCAGTCACTGTTTTCTACAATCAAATGTATTTTGTTGTCCCGTGTTCTCAAATGGTGTTTTTCTTTTTGGCAGTTTGCCCTAAAGTTGAAGTGGTAGCAGTCGGCTGTTTCTCCAAACTACTTCATAAATTAATTTTTCATTAATTTTTTTTTATCTCCACTGGATATTTATTGCTGTATTATGTCAGAGCGTTAAGAGTCATGAAAATTTTTTTTTAAAGTAATTTGTCTTCCCAATTTGCCATAGTAGCTTTAACTTGTCTTAAAGTGGAGGTTCACTGAGAGAAGTATAGTACTTGCTCTTTTAGAAATACGACAGGTCACTCTGAGTTTCACATGCAGACTGAATGCAAAAATGTTCAGCTACCCCTGTTTCCTGCATCAGCCAAAGAAGGAAAATAGATGCAGAAAAACTCATGTCAGAACAATCTTTGCAGATCGGTGTCATGCTTATGGGTGGGAATTGATACGTTTTATCAATATCAATGGCATTGTCAATTCTGTCTATTGACCCAATTCCTTATCAGTTCACTTAACAATTCCAGAGTAGTTAAACAGGTGCCAAAAAACGTATAGTGCACGGCTCCTGAAATATAACTGTCAGTTTCTTTGTGATAAATAATCAGTTGTACCTGTGGCGGTTGGAAAGATCTTTCCAAATGTTCTCCTTTATGCTCCCTGTGAAGGCAGAGTCATCTTCTTGTTTGGTGCAGTGTTGCTGCAGCTTTTTCAGAGTGGGAAAAATCTCACCACAGGTCAGACTTTTGTCACTGGAGTCTGCTGCGTGGAGATGTAAGGCTAATGTAACGACGCTTACATGATAGGCCGTGTTAGTTGATTAGTTACCTGCAGTATTGCAGGAGAAGACGTGCGAATGTCACCGCTGCTGCTGTGTTCTAGTCCGGAGTAGAGATGGGAATCAAAAACCGGTTGAGAACCGATTCCCATTGGTTCAAATCATTCGCCACGTTTGCAAACGATTCCCCTCATCAATTCCGATCAGCAAAACACATCAAAAAGTTCTCGCATATTTTGTGCCCAAAGGCTTTTGTATATTCGTAATGCTTCCTCGCTTGATGAATTATCTACTTTCAATCATTTCAATTTACCTTGTTGTCAGGTTTTCTTGTAAAGTATAACCAAACTTTTGAGTGTTTGTGCCGCTTAGAAGCCATGTTTCCTGCTTCCATAAGCTACTTAACGTGTGCGGTGACATCATTCGCACTGACTGGAATTGACAAGGGGAATCGTTCCTAGAAACTGAAACAAAGGGAGCTGGTTCTCAACAAGAACCGGTTTTTGATTCCTAACCCTAGTCATGCCATAACTTTGCATTCATGGACTCACCCATCTTGGCTTTTAACCAGGGATGCCTGTGTTGATCTTGTGGCCAGGAGAGCAGAGCATGCCCTGGCGAGTAGAAGATAAACATTAGCAATAATAACAACACAACATGGAAGAAATAGTTCAGACTTCTATTATTAGTGAATATCAAACATCAGTGTTGCATTTTTTTACCCTTAAAATACTAGCAAATGAAGGCAACAGAAGAGAGGTGTTGCTGTTAGCCAATCAGAAGCAATATGATGAGTAAGACTCCAAATCCAGTTTTCCAGCACCCAAGAAAGGGATGTCAAAACTTCGTTACATAATCTATAATTGTTCTACTTAAAGGTCAGTACTGTCATGTCAAAATGTCTATTTGAATAGTTTCTTGAATTTTATGGCAGATTGTGCTCTAAGGGTTCATTTTTCCTATTGAAAATTGTAAATAAAATGAAACTGAATTTTTTGCAGCTTTACAAATTTTTCTCTTGTTATTGGAATTTCTACTTTTATACTTTCTTCAGTATATCTAATTTTCCTCTTTGCACTTTAACCCCCCCCCCCCACCCACCCACCCACCCACCCCAGTTTCCCCTTCTGGTTCCATCATTCTTCATTTTTCACATATACTGGCATACTGGCACACACACACACACACACACACACACACACACTTTCTGTTTCCATCACATTGTCTTCTGCCTCTATAAGAACCCTTTGCCTCTGACCCTGACCTTTTGCTTAAGCAGGGAACATGGTCTAGCAAATTGATTTTCCGGTGTGTGCAGCTCCAGGCTTCCTTTTAAGCCGAGCAGCCAGATTGTCAGACGACAGCCAGCCAGAGCGACAAGCATGGAGGCTCTTCTCTGATGTCAATTAATAATAAATGGAAGTGGCAGATTCAGTCTTGCTCAAGTCGCCCAAACAGATTCCTGTGCACACACGTAGACAACCTCAAAACTTTCCTCTATATCTCCTGACTGTGGACCTCTTTCAGTGCCTACACTAAAGCTCCAGAACTACTCTGAAAAAAAAATGTCTCTTTGGACTTTTGCCTTTCAGTCAAACCTTCCATCACTGTTAACTTTCAAATCCTCCCTCCTACACTTCTTCTGAACACCTCTCTTATCTCCCGTTTGACTCATGAACCTTTGGTCCTCTATTTCTGCTAACGGGGCACTCGAAATCTAAAACACAACAAAACATAAATCACTCAGCCCTAAACTTCTTTTGTCTTCATTGTATGCAGTGAAGTCTGTAGGCTTTTATGTACTAATAAAGCATCACAAATCTCTCTCTCTCTCTTTAATTTTCATTTCTTAGGCTAACCTTGCAGTGCAGGAAAATCGTTTGGCCATTGCCAATGTGGACCTTCAAACAGCTCAGGCTGAACTGGATGCCAAGCAGGCAGAGCTGGATGTGGTGCAGGCGGAATATGAGAAAGCCATGATGGAGAAACAGGTGGGTAGGCTGCTGGTGCTTCACCTGCCACTTAAAATTGATTATTATGATTCAAACTGGATGAAAACACATTTGTTGAGTTACACTTTTTAGTTTAGACTAATAATAAAATTCACATTCAGTTAGAGAATTAATAGAGAAGTTTCAGTAGAAATCAACTTTTTTTCTAGAATAAGTTACACACACACACACACACACACACACACACACACACACACACACACACACACACACACACACACACACACACACACACACGTGTGTATGTATATATATATATATTTATAAACTTAACCTGATGTTTTTTCATGATGACTCAAAAGCCCAGATTAACCAAGGTTTCGAGTAAATTAGGATTTTGAGCACGAGTCAGATTCTTAGCAAAGAGAGATGCGCTGCCAATCAGTAGTTCTCAATAGTTACTCAGATTAAATGTGCATTAAGCATTTAATCAGAGGAATATGTTTGTGTATGAACCTTTCATTTCAAGATCCTGGTTCTGGTCTATAGGGCCTTACATGGACAAGCACCATCTTACATTGGTGATCGTCTTAGTCCCTACACCCCCAGCAGGTCCCTGAGGTCCAGTGATGAAAGCCTACTGGTTGTGCAGCACCAGGCTAAAGACCAAAGGTGACAGATCATTTGCTGCTGTGGCCCCCAGACTCTGGAACTCTCTCCCCATGAACCTGAGATCAATGGACTCAGTGGTCTCCTTTAAAAAGCAGCTGCAGACTCACTTGTTCAAGCTGGCTTTTGTATGATCTTCTTCACCACTCTCTCTTTATTCTGCTCTCCCCACCTATTCCACCTTCCTCAGGATCCACTGATTTCCCTCTTTCCTGTTCACTCTCTTTCTTTTCATTTTAATCACAATTGTCTATTTCTGCTCATTTTAAATATATTTTTAATCATTTTCTAAATTCTTTTTTATATTTTTACATTTTTTGTTTTTGTGAAGCGCCTCGTGATTTTTATCTTGAGAGGCGCTATAGAAATGATATTTTCTTCTTCTAATTCTTCTTTCTGTGAAGGCCAGGGGCTACGATTCTACAAGTTCAGTGCTGCTTATGACACAATTCACCATGCATTTTTATGTCCTCTTGAGAGCTTGTGAGGAATGAAAAAGACAATACAAGCAAACAGCGGCTTTCACAAAAAGAAGGAAAAAAATACTGATTATATTTTCCCGTGATTCATTTTATATATTTTTGCATCTCCAAATAAATAATGGAACTTGTGAAAAAAAGTCAGTTGTTGCTTAAAATCTGTTGGATTAAAAGTCATTTCAACAGAAGGGGTGGGTTAATCTTAGAGTTATTCTACTTTAATATTTATAAATAATTATTAAAATATGTTAAAGAGAAGTCTATCAACTGAATTACTATAGGACATATAGTAGGTCTTTCAAAGTGCAGCTTGAAGATTTGTTATAAACTGCAAAAAATAACCGAGGATGACTCAGTCTGACTTACCCAGAAGCCACATTTTAAGTGACATGCCAGTGATTTACTGCTGTGTGTGTGTGTGTGTGTGTGTGTGTGTGTGTGTGTGTGTGTGTGTGTGTGTGTGTGTGTGTGTGTGTGTGTGTGTGTGTGTTTCTTCATCTCCAGAACTCTGTGTTCTGTTATGGGTAACACACACGTAAACAGAACAACATGTGCATCAAGACCTTCTGATTAGGGAATCTGGGTTTGCTCTCATAATTTTGTAATTATGATGGAGGGAGTTGTTCTCCAGGTTCCAGCAATAGCATCATAAACTCATTTTAAAAGTGTTTTGGACTCATACACTCACTGCTGAGTTTTACCTGCAACTAATCGGACCTTAACTGATGAAAGCTTTATTTCTTCTGTTAGCTAAATGGTGGAATTGTCATGGAGCAGCTAATGAGAGGATGGGACTGTTAAACACTACCCTAGAAAAGGTGTTACTTGTTAAAGTGAACCCTAACCCTCTTATTTCGACATTTAGATAGAATAAACATTTGAGTGTGCGTGCAGCTGTTCAGTCTGAGCTGCAGGTGTCCAAGGAAACCACAGAGATCTTAACTGATACAAAATACTTGCTGCTTTTTTAAGAATAACTAAATAAACAGCGTATGTAAGAGACAGAACCTGCAAACTAACCCACTTGTTGGCCCGTTTCTTCTCAGACGCTGTTGGAGGACGCTGAGCGCTGCAGACGCAAGATGCAGACAGCGTTCAGTCTCATCAGCGGCCTTGCTGGTGAGAAGGAGAGATGGACAGAACAGAGTAAAGAGTTCGCCGCTCAAACCAAACGTCTTGTGGGTGGGTTTTATGATAGATTGCAAAACTTTATTTTGAAACTGTAGCATCAAATAAATGACTTTTCAATCTCTCGTCTCTCGTCTCTCTCGTCTTCCTCCGCTTATCCGGGTCCGGGTCGCGGGGGCAGCATCCCAACTAGGGAGCTCCAGGCCGTCCTCTCCCCGGCCTTGTCCACCAGCTCCTCCGGCAGGACCCCAAGGCGTTCCCGGACCAGATTGGAGATGTAACTTCTCCAACGTGTCCTGGGTCGACCCGGGGGGCCTTCTGCCGGCAGGACATGCCCGAAACACCTCCCCAGGGAGGCGTCCAGGAGGCATCCTGACCAGATGCCCAAACCACCTCAACTGGCTCCTTTCGATCCGGAGGAGCAGCGGTTCTACTCCGAGTCCCTCCCGAATGTCCGAGCTCCTCACCCTATCTCTAAGGCTGAGCCCGGCCACCCTACGGAGGAAACTCATTTCGGCCGCTTGTATCCGCGATCTCGTTCTTTCGGTCATTACCCAAAGCTCATGACCATAGGTGAGGATTGGGACGTAGATCGACCGGTAAATCGAGAGCCTGGCTTTCTGGCTCAGCTCCCTCTTCCCCACGACAGATCGGCTCAGCGTCCGCATCACTGCAGACGCCGAACCAATCCGCCTGTCGATCTCCCGATCCCTCCTACCCTCACTCGTGAACAAGACCCCGAGATACTTAAACTCCTCCACTTGAGGTAGGACCTCTCCCCCGACCCGGAGGTGGCAAGCCACCCTTTTCCGGTCGAGAACCATGGTCTCAGATTTGGAGGTGCTGATCCTCATCCCAGCCGCTTCACATTCGGCCGCGAACCTACCCAGCAAGAGCTGAAGGTCAGAGCTGGATGAAGCTAGGAGGACCACATCATCCGCAAAAAGCAGAGACGAGATTCTCCTGCCACCAAACTCGACACACTCCACACCACGGCTGCGTCTAGAAATTCTGTCCATAAATATGATGAACAGAACCGGTGACAAAGGGCAGCCCTGGCGGAGTCCAACCCTCACTGGGAACAGGTCCGACTTACTACCGGCTATGCGGACCAAACTCACGCTCCTCTGGTAAAGGGACTGAATGGCCCTTAACAGAAAGCCACCCACCCCATACTCCTGGAGCGTCCCCCACAGGGTGCCCCTGGGGACACGGTCATAAGCCTTCTCCAAATCCACAAAGCACATGTGGATTGGTTGGGCAAACTCCCATGCCCCCTCCATCACCCTTGCAAGGGTATAGAGCTGGTCCACAGTTCCACGGCCAGGACGAAAACCACATTGCTCCTCCTCTATCTGAGATTCAACTATCGATCGGACCCTCCTCTCCAGTACCTTGGAGTAGACCTTTCCAGGGAGGCTGAGGAGTGTGATCCCCCTATAGTTGGAACACACCCTCAGGTCACCCTTCTTAAAGATGGGGACCACCACCCCGGTCTGCCACTCCCTAGGAACTGCCCCCGATGACCACGCAATGTTGTAGAGACGTGTCAACCATGACAGCCCTACAACATCCATAGCCTTGAGATACCCAGGACGAACCTCATCCGCCCCCGGGGCTCCGCCGCTGTGTAGTTGTTTGACTACCTCAGCAACTTCTGCCCCCGAGATCGGACAGTCCATCCCCAGGCCTCCCAGCTCTGGTTCCTCCTCGGAATGCGCATTGGTGGGATTGAGGAGCTCCTCAAAGTATTCCTTCCACCGTCCGACTATAGCCTCAGTTGACGTCAGCAGCTCCCCATCCCCACTGTAAACAGTGTGAGCGAGTTGCTGCCTTCCTCTCCTGAGGCGCCGGACAGTTTGCCAGAACCTCTTTGGAGCCGATCGATAGTCTTTCTCCATGGCCTCACCAAACTCCTCCCACGCCCGAGATTTTGCCTCGGCAACTGCCACTGCTGCACCCCGCTTGGCTATCCGGTACCTGTCTGCTGCCTCCGGAGACCCACAGACCAGCCACGCCCTGTAGGCCTCCTTCTTCAGCCTGACGGCTCCCCGAACCTCTGGTGTCCACCAGCGGGTACGGGGGTTGCCACCACGACTGGCACCGGCCACCTTACGACCACAGCTAGCAACAGCCGCCTCGACAATCGCAGAGTGGAACAAGGCCCACTCGGACTCAATGTCCCCCACTGCTCTCGGGACGTGGTCAAAGCTCTGCCGGAGGTGGGAGTTGAAGACCGTCTTGACAGGTTCTTCTGCCAGGCGTTCCCAGCAGACCCTCACTATGCGTTTGGGTCTGCCAGGTCTACGCGGCATGTTCCCTTGCCATCTGATCCAACTCACCACCAGGTGGTGATCAGTTGACAGCTCCGCCCCTCTCTTCACTCGGGTGTCCAAAACATACGGTCGCAGGTCAGATGATACGACTACAAAATCTATCATCGACCTGTGACCTAGGCTGCCCTGGTACCAAGTGTACCGGTGGGCATCCTTATGTTCGAACATGGTGTTCGTTATGGCCAAACTGCGGCTTGCACAGAAGTCCAATAACAAAACACCGCTCGAGTTCTGATCAGGTGGGCCGTTCCTCCCAATCACACCCCTCCAGGTCAAGCTGTCATTGCCCACGTGAGCATTGAAGTCCCCCAGCAGGACAATGGAGTCCCCTGATGGAGCACTATCTAGCACTCGTCCCAGGGACTCCAAAAAGGGTGGGTACTCTGAACTGATATTTGGCCCATACGCACAAACAACAGTCAGGACCCGTTCCCCGACCCGAAGGCGCAAGGAAGCTACCCTCTTGTCCCCCGGGGTAAACCCCAACACACAGGCAGAGAGTCTCGGGGCTAACAAAAAGCCAACCCCAGCCCTCCGCCTCTCACCCGGAGCAACTCCAGCAAAGTAGAGTGTCCAACCCCTCTCCAGGTCTCGGGTTCCAGAGCCAATGCAATGTGTCGAGGTGAGTCCGACTATATCTAGCCGGTACCGCTCAACCTCTGCCACAAGCTCCGGCTCCTTCCCCGCCAGCGAGGTGACGTTCCATGTCCCAAAAACTAGTTTCCTTGTCCGGGGATTGGACCGCCAAGGCTCCCGCCTTGGTCTGCCACCCGATTCACATTGCACCGGACCCTTCATGTTCCTCCTGCGGGTGGTGGGTCCACAGTTGGACGAGCCCATGTATCCGGTTCGGGCTGGGCCCGGCCGGGCCCCATGGGCGAAAGCCCGGCCACCAGGCGCTCGCTCACGGGCCCCAACCCCAGGCCTGGCTCCAGGGTGGGACCCCGGTAACCCTCCGGGCCGGGTACTCCGACTCTTCGTTTTCACCGCCATGAAAGATCCTTCGAACCGTTCTTTGTCTCACCCTTCACCTAAGACCAATTTGCCATGGGAGACCCTACCAGGGGCACTAAGTGCCCCAGGCAACATAGCTCCTAGGATCATTAGGGCACTCAAACTCCTCCACCACGATAAGGTGACGGTTCAAGGAGGAGGACTTTTCAATCTGAAACTATTATTCTGTTTCAAGATGTAAGTGACTTAAAATACACACAAACTATTCCTAATGTACTTCTAAACTTTTATTCAAAGAACAGTATTCATTTCTTATCCTCAACTGGCAAGGCTTTTTCAGGTTTTCATCACATCTATAAATACCTGCTCCTTTGTTCCAGGCGATGTTCTCCTGGCCACAGCATTCCTCTCCTATTCTGGTCCGTTCAATCAGGAGTTTCGTAATCTTCTGGTCAGCGAGTGGCAGCGAGAGTTGAAGCAGCGCTCCATACCATTTGGCACCAACTTAAATTTGACAGAACTTCTCATTGATGCACCTACAGTTAGTGAATGGAACCTGCAGGTCAGTGATCTGCCTCTAACTTATTCAATGAAATCAGTGCTTGAAGTGGAAAAGAATAAGTGCCTGTATGAACAAATGTCAGGGGAGGGGATCATGGGTGCAGCAGTGCTTGGATCTCCACTGTGGGGTGGGATCATATGATTTAGGAAAAGATCCTATGACCTTTGTTAACCAGATGGAGGATTTGATAAATGGTCGAAAAAAGTAACAGTACCGTACGATAGAAAAAAGTCCTGGTACGCTGAAAGGTAAAATTTTAAAGTGCTGGCACTTAAAACACTGCATTAAATACTTTTTATGAAAAAAATAATTTACCAGATTTTCCAATAACTGTGCTGCAAAATACAAAACTTTGGAAAAATTTGTAACAAGTTCTGGTCAAATAATACATAAACACATATTAACCAGCAATCTGTTTCTTAAAGAGGTCCTAGAATTTAAACTGTGTTTAGCTTGTTGTCAAATATAGTCAGCCTGGGGTGTCTATTGTACCAAACCAAAGACACCAGCTTACATTAGCATATCTCAGTTTCAGTTTGCAGTGCAACGATGGCCTGAGCTACTGCTAATGCTAGCTCAAGTGAATGCTAATGCTAGTCTTAGCTACTAATGTCCTTAGTGGACAATGAGAGGAAAACAACGAAGAAGGATGTTCAAGAATGTACTGCAATGAAAGAATGCCAGATAGATCCATAGCTTGTGATCCTTGTCCTTGTCACTTTGCTCCTCAGTCATCAACAGTGAACCGCACCTTTACCATTGATGATTTATGTGCCATTGGGGAAAACTAGCCAATCAGCATTCAGCTCATTTAGTAGTTACGTCCTTGCCAAGTGGGCGGGGCAAACCAGTCTTTGTATTGACCCTTTGCACCAACGTCACTTAATCACCTGGGTCCACCATGGTGGACGGCAAAAGCATGTAAATAGTGAGCGACACGAGTACTAAACAAAAGGAAAAGTAGAGCCTGAAATTGTTTTTGCGATCAAAACAAAAACAAAACTCCTCCAGCATTCCTTCAACTAGCTCATGCCCAGTTCAGTTATCAGAAGAAGTAGCACCTAGTGGGGGCTCATAGAGAGCAGTATGTTAACTAGCTTACCAACGTTAGCTTACGTTCTGTCTGCAGCTGTTCACCGATGTAAACATGTTGCTGACTTTGCCTAAATTCACCCCTCTGGATTTATAACTTTATGTTATAAACAGCGTTTTACTTTACACCAAGGCTGATTTTTAAAAAGTCCGGATCCCTACCAGCTTCTGTTGCTGGTGGTGTTACCGGGTTCAGCTGCTGCTCTCACACCGGAATGAGAAGATCTCTTAACGCCGACGCTCATATAAATAAATAAATAATGTAAGCATCCAAGATGGCGCCGCAGATGGCTGCCCTGGTACTTTGGTGCGCTGTTATTGTTCTGTTTTTGTGTGTAAATTGCGTATCTGGGTTCTCCTACTCAAGAGAAGAACTCATAAGTTACAACACTATGATTCCGGTGGACTTAACCTCGTTTTTTGTTGCATCCGGGGCCGATTCAATATCTACTTTGATCAGGAAAGTGAGACGCAGGAGGAGAGGCAAACGAGCGGGCGCGCTCGTGCGTCTGAGGAGACGGGGACTGCGCACGGCTCTACCTGGGATCTTCCTCTCCAATGTGCGCTCACTCCGCAACAAAATGGACGAGCTGACCCTGATGAGGAACATAAACAGAGACTTCTCCTCATCTGGGGTTCTATGCTTCATTGAAACATGGCTCAGTGAGGACACCCCCGACTGCGCGCTCCAGCTGGAGGGGTTTCACCTCATCCGCGCAGATCGGGAAGCGACTCTCTCCGGCAAGACCACAGGTGGAGGCGTGTGTTTTTACATCAATAATGGTTGGTGCACAGATGTCACAGTGATCGCACAGCATTGTTCTCCATCTCTGGAATATCTTTTCACAAACTGTAAACCATTTTACTCTCCGCGGGAGTTTGCCTCATTCATTCTAGGCGCTGTTTACATCCCACCTGACGCGGACGTGCACGAGGCTCAGCGTGCGCTCGCAGAAGAGATACTGTGCATAGAGCGGACATACCCGGATTCACTCATCATTGTACTTGGAGACTTTAAAAAAGCAAATCTGAGCCAGGAGCTTCCCAAATTTCAACAGTATATAAAATGTCCAACCAGAGAGGGGAAAACCCTGGACCACTGTTACAGCACAGTAACAGGAGCCTATCATGCAGTAGCGCGTGCTGCGCTTGGACTCTCTGACCACGTGACCATCCATTTGATCCCAGCTTACAAACAAAGGCTAAAACTCTCCAAGCCTGTTGTGAAGTCCACAAGACAGTGGAACACAGATGCCATAGATGAGCTTCGCACATGCTTTGAGACCACAGACTGGGAGGTAATGAAGGCCACCTCAGACAGTTTAGATGAGTTCACAGATACCGTCACCTCCTACATCCACTTCTGTCAGGACAGCATCAACCATCACACACCAGGGTGAGTTATAACAATGACAAAGCCTGGTTTACCCCTAAACTCAAACAGCTGTGGCTAGAAAAGAGAGATGCATTCAAAAGGGGGGACAAGGACTCCTACAGAGACACTAAATACAAGTTCAGCAAAGAATTGGTCAAAGCAAAACACCAGCATCATGACAAAATGCAGCAGCAAATCTCTGAAAACGACCCAACCTCTGTGTGGAAAAGTTTCTGGAACATCACCAACTACAAACCCAGAACCCTCGCCTCCACTGATAATCTGCTCTTGGCAAACAACCTAAACAATTTCTACTGTCGGTTTGATGAGCCATCAGGCAGGCCTCACTCCTCGTCCAGCCCCAACAATAGAGACATTGGTCAGCCACTCCCCACTACAGAGCCATCACCATCACTGTGGAATTTACCTTCATCACCCTCCCCCTCACTCCCCACTCATGAGGACTTCACATCACACACCTCCACCACAAACCTACACATTTATGAAGCAGATGTAAAGAAGCAGTTCAGGTCTCTTAACACACGAAAAGCCCCGGGCCCTGATGGCGTGGCTCCTGCCACTCTAAAGCACTGTGCTAAAGAGCTGGCCCCAGTGTTTACGAGCATCTTCAACTCCTCACTGGAGGCATCTCATGTGCCTGCCTGCTTCAAGATCTCCACCATAGTCCCTGTCCCCAAGAAACCAAGAATCACTGGACTAAATGACTACAGACCTGTGGCTCTGACATCTGTGGTCATGAAGTCATTTGAGCACCTAGTTCTCCCCCACCTCAAGACCCTCACAGCCCCCCCTCCTGGACCCCCTGCAGTTTGCATACAGAGCAAACAGGTCTGTAGATGATGCCATCAACATGGCTCTACAATTCATCCTGCAGCATCTGGACTCCCCAGGTACCTATGCCAGGATATTGTTCGTGGACTTCAGCTCTGCATTCAACACTAATCCTGCCAGACCTCCTCCAAGACAAAATGTCCCAGATGAACGTGCCTGACCCCATCTGCAGGTGGATCACTGACTTCCTGACAGACAGGAAACAACAAGTCAGGCTGGGGAAGAATGTCTCGGACCAACAGACCATCAGCACCGGCTCACCACAGGGCTGTGTTCTTTCCCCTCTGCTCTTCTCCCTGTACACCAACAGCTGCACCTCCAAGCATGAGTCTGTCAAACTAATTAAGTTTGCTGATGACACCACCATCATCGGACTCATCTCTAATGGGGATGAGTCCGCTTACAGAATGGAGGCTGAACGGCTGGTGTCCTGGTGCAGCCACAACAACCTGGTGCTAAACACCCAGAAGACAGCGGAGGTTGTTGTGGACTTTAGGAAACACACACACCCCATCCCCCTTAAACCTGTCTGACACTGCCATCACGATGGTGGACTCATGTCGCTTCCTGGGCACCACCATCACCCAGGACCTCAAATGGGAGCCCACCATCACCACCATCAGAAAAAAGGCCCAGCAGAGGATGTACTTCCTGAGGCAGTTGAAGAAATTCAACCTATCACCACAGTCGATGAGGCAGTTCGACACCGCTATCATCGAGTCCATCCTCACCTCCTCCATCACCGTGTGGTACGCTGGAGCCACCACCAGGGACAAGAAGAGGCTGCAGCGTGTCATGCGCTCTGCAGAGAAGGTCATTGGCTGCAAACTCCCCTCCATTCAAGATCTGTACACCTCTAGGACATTGAGGCGTGCAGGTCGGATAATAGCTGACTCGTCTCACCCTGGACACAGTCTCTTCGACTCGCTCCCATCTGGCAGAAGGCTCAGATCCATTCGGACCAGAACCTCTCGCCACAAAAACAGTTTCTTCCCCTCTGCAGTTGGACTTTTGAATGAACATCCTAGGGCAGCCCACTCAAGTTGATTGGTCCCAGTCACGTGACCAGATGCTGTGCTTGAACCATTCAACAAACACTCAGATTAATACCTACACGGAGTAGATAGCTGCTTGTCTAATTCTTGCCACTTTTTACATTAATAATTTTATCATGAGTGTTTTATTAGTTCTTATATTTTCTTATCTCTTAATTATTTTTTTTATTTTTATTTTTTTTCTATCTTACCTTCTGCACCAAAATACCAGAGCAATTTCCTAATGTTGTGACTTGGCACACATATGGCAATAAAAACTTCTGATTCTGATTCTGATTTAACACACGTAATCATACATCGGAGCTTTAATATTGTTAATAATTGTCTCGCTTTACACTACAGTGGACGGAGCGCAGCCTCCGTGGTGAAATACCCATCCATCAGGATTATCAATAACTAGTATAAACAAACACATCACATTTATCCCTGTCCCTGTCTTCCTCGTGAAATAAATTAACGTTAATCTTACCCAATAAAAAACATGTTCGCTGCAAATCTGAGGCCTGCTAGTCCGCTTGATTGATTGATCGCTGCAGTTCATCTCCGTCCTCAGTCTCCATCAAAGTTATTAAAAAGAAAAAAACGAGTTGAGTTTACGTCCTTGTCTCAGTGCAGCCAACCACGCAGCAAGCCAAAACCATTTTACTGTCAAATCAACTAAATTAAAACGATAAAAGGCTACAAACTGGCTTGTTGTGACTACCTTCACTGGAGTTTCTATGGGTGTAAACGGTCTTTTTGCCGTCCATCATGCGAAGGGGGCAGTCACATGAGTGGTGTGACGTCACGTGCAAAGGGTCAATTGCCGGGCTATACTAGAGTTGTAATTAGCCATTTTTCAAGATTCTTGAGCCAACAAAGTTTTTTATGTTATATAGAAGCTCAAGGAACAGCTTCCAATTGTAAGAAAAATGACTTTATAGGACAGTTTCTGAGTACCACCAAGTCTTTCCTCCTACATTTTACAGGGACTTCCAAGTGATGACCTGTCCATTCAGAATGGCATCATTGTGACCAAAGCTGCCCGCTTCCCTCTACTTATTGACCCTCAGACACAAGGAAAAATCTGGATCAAGAACAAAGAAGCTAGAAATGAGCTGCAGGTTTGGGAATTTTTTTATCTGCAACTTTTAGTTGGACCTGATTTGACATGGTGCAGATAATTAGTCATTCAACAGATTTGTGAATACTGAATTTTCATCTGTAAGTCAGTAACTTAAACTTTAAAAAGCACCTCCTGATCAGTTCTGTTCTGTAGCTGACATTGTGTGATAAAAAAAAGTCCCATATTCTCTTCTTCTGCAGGGTTTGTTTGCTCCTGGCTCTTTTGATTGCCAGCATGGACAGCACATTGGACAAAGTAAAACTGCAGGCATTATGAGCTCATCCAAGGTCACTACCCCTGTTAGTGACAATCTCTAGTCTGAGTGAATGCATTCTGCTAACGAATTACGAGTGTCCTAAAGTCACAGGGCTGCAGATTTAAATCCCTCTTTTTGGTATTCAACGTCAGCTTTTTATTCAATTTTTATGTATTTTAAACACTGGTTCATGTTGTAGCGTTTTGCCCTAAATTAGACTAATTTAATGGAATAAAGCCCTGAATGCATGTTGACTCATTTGAAGCCAGTTAGCAGGCTGTTAGATGGGGTTTGAAATTGTATTGCACATATTTAATGCTTTTTGAAAATCTGCCCTCAGATTACTTCATTGAACCACAAGTACTTCAAGAACCACCTTGAGGATAGCTTGTCTCTTGGCCGCCCCCTACTGATTGAGGATGTTGGGGAGGAGCTGGACCCTGCGCTCGACAACGTTCTAGAGAAGAACTTCATTAAATCAGGCTCCACTTACAAAGTAAACAACCCCTCTGCTTACCTTTCGTGTCTTTCTGTGCTGGTGTGCTTTGAGTTCTGGTGGTCCTTCTGCAGAACAGGTTGATTCATTTGGACTGCTGACTGAAAGTGCTGAACATTTGGTAGTACTCAGTTGCTCTAAGCAGCTAGATCATCTGTTCAAAAAGTGTTTATTGATGGTTCACTCCGAGAGTGAGCAGAAAGGCTGTGCAGAGAACATGTATTCCTGCTTTTTCTTGTGTTTGTCACATCTGGTTTCTTCTACTTTCACATGTATTTCACCTGTTTATGAAAAGGTTCATAGAAATAGTTGCCCTGTATTGCTTAATTTACTTTAAGTAAGTTTCCCTATTATTTGAATATTAGTCTAAAATGAAGCCATCAATATTACAACCACACTTTTATATTGACAACATCAGTGGTTCCCAGACTTTTCAGGATCAGAGCCACAAAATAGCAACTGTGACACAAATTTGGTAAAATGTCCTGTATTTGATATAGCGCCTTCTAGAGTCCTGGAACCCCTCAAGGCGCTTTACAACACAATCAGTCATTCACCCATTCACACACACATTCACACACTGGTGGGGATGAGCTACGATGTAGCCACAGCTGCCCTGGGGCGCACTGACAGAAGCGAGGCTGCCGAGCACAGGCGCCACCGGTCCCTCCGACCACCACCAGCAGGCAACGTGGGTTAAGTGTCTTGCCCAAGGACACACCGACAGCGACAGACTGGGCTCGAACCTGCAACCTTCCGATTACGGGGCGAGCACTTAACTCCTGTGCCACCGTCGCCCCAAATATGTCTTTGTATTTGACGATACCTCCTAAAAACCTCTTGAAAACCTATTAAAAAGGTAAATGATTGAGGGCATAAAGAAACCACTCCAGCTCACCAACACTTATAGGAATTTAGTAACAGACATTGTTTTTCAGTTTTATTTAGATTTTTAGAAATCCTCTCAAGACCCCCTGTAGAGTTCTTTGTGACCCACTGGAGGTTTCCAACTCCAATCATAGGAACTATACTGGACGACATACATGCATAGAGAAACTATAAAATCAGCTTCTTGTTTGTTTGCCTTTTTTGTAAAAAAAAACATTGCTTTTGCCTTTCTTCTTATCAGCGGTTGCACAAGAAGTACTATAAATGTTTTCATGGCATGTAATAAAAAATACAGTTAGAATTCAATTTAAAGGGATGCTTTTTATGGAGGGACAAATATAATTGAATACTTCTAACAGCTTGCTGTCAGGTAATTAGTCATTTGAAGTAATGAAAGCTAATACCAACCATAGCGCTCCGGGAGTTGACGTCTCTTCTCCCGGCATGCAACAATTCAAATCGAAACGACGCCATCTTGGCAGGCAGAAGCCGGCAGCTGGACTATTTGTTATTGTCAGAAAACTCAATCAAACGGGAAATATGGTAGATTCCTGTTGTGCCCCAGGATGCAGAACAGACACGGACGAGATAAGGGATGAGCCATCTACAGGATTCCCCGAAGTCCGGAATGCAGCAAACGTTGGATCATTGTAATAAAACGCGCTAGTGACCGGGCTAAAATGAAACTGTGGGATTCCGAGAGTAAAGGTTTTCGCTTATGCAGCGACCGCTTCATATCAGGTACTTAAACCAACGTTTCCTAAACTGTGTATGGTATTTATTTTAAATGCTTTTATTACGATTCTTAGTGGGCTTCCTAAACTTATTTTGGTGTGGCTTTTTCTGTCTTATTACTCATAGCAACAAGTAAACATAATGTAAAACGTTGCTTCGTGAGTTCTGCATGCTGCTGTTTACGTGTTTTATGATCACAACAATTAACCGGCTAAGCTGTATTTCATTTTAAGCAATGGTTGATCAATTGTCAGATCACACATAAGAAGCACTTTGGATTGCTATTATCTGTCTCACCGAGACAGATCTCAGACAGATCCTGAGACGCTCCTGCCTGACATATTTATTTTATTCATGGAAAAAAATCAGACTAGTGATTTCTCTTGGCGTTCAGTTATACATTCAAACAGCACAGCACTCTATTTAAACTTCTTACATGTAAATCTGTTATTTGTCCATCCATCCATTTTCATCCGCTTATCTGGAGTCACTTGGGCCAGTTCCTCTGGGGGAATCCCAAGGGGTTCCCCGGCCAGGTCCGGTAAGAAGTCCGCTCCGACAGCTTCTGGCGTTTTTAAAAAGTATCCCAGGGGCACGGTAAGGGTCGGAGATGTTTAGTCTATTTAATTTCTGACTATATAAAACGATTTCTTCGGTTTTAAAGTGTGAAGTAAACTCCGACGAAGTAAAATCCAAGCCGATCCCGTTCATTTTGTTTACATTCGTTGCCTGCCAACATGGCATCCACTCTCTGAGAGTCACGTGACGTCCAGAGCTCTATAGTGTACCTAGACTCTTATCTCGTCTTACAAATAACAGTTTCTGACATGAAAAACTTCTTGTTTTATTAAAGATAGGAGCCTAAGATGTTATTGTTGTTGTTGTTGTTGTTGTATTTATTTATTAATTTTGTAGCTAGGACTAGCTACAGTGTAGACAAGACAAGGAGAACCCAGAAAACTGTGTCCTCCCTGCTAAGTATTTTTGTGCTTTTACCTTTTGTTGACCATGAAACGTAATAGAATGCTTTTTCTGTCAGATGATGATAGCATGATTTTATGCTATGGTCAACTTAATTTTAATTTGGAAAATTGCACATTATGGTTTGAGTGGTTTTTTATTTGTCGTCATTTTATTTGCAAATATGGCAGCAATGAGTCAAGCTTTAGAAGTGGTTTCTTGACTCATGACGGGTAATATATATGTATGTGTGAAACATGAAGCAAAACTAAATTAATCTTCCTGCTAGTAAATTGCTCTGAACCTCTCTAAAAGCATTTATATGCACATGTGAAGCATTTATATGCACTTGTGAATACATTCTGTCTGTGTTCCTGGGTAAAAAGGGTTAAGTAATTTCTAGAAAACTGCTGTTTATTTGCAAATTAATTTCCCCTTTCATCCAGGAAGGTGTTATTTCACTATACATCACAACAAATCTATTCTTACATTTTCTTTCTCAATGGAAATTGTATTGAAATGTATTTCTTCACTGTGTTTTATGCAATTGTCAAACGAAACACAAATCTAAAAGAAACACGCACTTGTATTTACTGACTGACATCAAGCGTGTGGCTCACAGAGAACACAATCAGCCAGACATCTCTGGGCTTCATAATACAAAAAGGGATTCCAAGCAAGTGTGTGTGTGTGTGTGTGTGTGTGTGTGTGTGTGTGTGTGTGTGTGTGTGTGTGTGTGTGTGTGTGTGTGTGTGTGTTTTCACTGAAAAGCATTCGTTTATATTAATATCCGGAAGTTGGAAGGAAGTGAAGGTGTCTGCAGTCGACAGCTTCAGGAACTGACAAACAGATGGATAATTAGATTGTTATTAAATGTTGAAATACAATAATAGTTTATGCACTAATTAACAGGTTTTAAAAACATAATACTTGCTTTATTCTGGTAAAAAACACATTTTTTAAATTTGTTTGATAAGGATTTTGATCATATTTTCTAAGTATCTCCATTAAATTCGATGTTACTAATAAACTTTTAAATTTATCTCTCTGGATTATCATGTTCTCAGGTGAAAGTTGGTGACAAAGAGGTTGATGTTATGAAGGGCTTTACTCTTTATATGACCACCAAGCTCCCTAACCCAGCTTACACTCCTGAAATCAGCGCTCGCTCCTCTATCATTGATTTCACCGTCACTATGAGAGGACTAGAGGACCAGCTGCTGGGTCGCGTCATCCTCATGGAGAAACAGGTGCAACTCAAATAATACCTAACATGTAATTTAGCGACTAATTTAAAAATATCATGGTTGTGTCTCCAGCAATGAGTTTTTGTGCATCAGTTTTTTTCAAAGAGGGTTCTCATTGAAAAATCATTCTTTTAAAGCTTTCTACCATTTTCCCTGCTGCAAGTCTCATTTGGTTTCTAATAAACTGTGTGACATTTTGAGGTTTTATACCGCGATATGTAACAGAGTGTAAAGAAAAAACTAGTCACCGTGAAATAGAGATTGTATGCATCAATACAAAACACCTTTAAAATGTCAGAAACTTGAGTCATTCCCACTGAATACTGTGTTGTAAATAGACAAGAGCAAAGGACTCATTGAATGTGACTTTGAAAGGGCTGGTGGTACTGAGAACTGCTTCCTTTCTTGTCTGCCTAATGGATGACCATGAAATGAGACTCATGCAAGATGAAAATAATGGCTTGTTAGCTGCAACAGGTGTTGAATATGGATAGAATAAAAATAAAAATACACCGTTTTAGCATATAAAAATAATCAGTGGAGTTTTTAAATCTGCATTAGGATAAATTTCATGCTAAGAAAAAATGTCTTGGAAAAAATGAAACAAGTGGACAGTAAACAGTTTGAGATGTTGGACAAATTCAGTTTTTTACATAATTTGATCATAATCAGAACCATCCTTTCCAGGAGTGATGCTGAAAAACTAGTTCATGCATTTATTACATCAAGACTGGATTACTGTAATTCAATACTATCAGGAAGTCAACAGAATGTAGTTAAAAGTCTTCAGCTTGTCCGAAATGCTGCAGCTAGAGTTCTGATGAGAATTAAAAGGAGAGATCTTGTCTCTCCTACCTTAGCTTCCCATTGGCTGCCTGTTAAATTTAGAATATATTTTAAGATCCTCCTTCTCAGCTCTTGGTAATCCAGGCTTGGACTACCATGACCTGGATATGTTTACACCGTATGAATGCTATGATATAAACTTTTACACCACCATCAGCTTACTTTCACATGTGGTTATTTATGTAGAATAGTGTAATTTCTCCATGACTGAAATTTCACAATAACTGCCAGAATATCCATGAAATGTAGATTTCATGGAGATTTACAAGTCATTAAATAGCATTTTCATAAACTTCCATGAAATATTTTAAATGTTTTTAGTGTTTTAATATTAGAACTAATCTCTGTTTCTCCAATCTAAGAGCTATCTACAACAGGAAAGATATGAACAGTTAAAGTACCTCCACAGAACCCCACATGAACCATGGGTTTAGGTGACATAAAAAGAAACAGACGTTTATATGAAATTTTCAGGTTAATTTAAGGTTAATTAAAGGTAACTAATGCCAAAGAGAAACTTCAAAATATTTCACAAAGTCTAAAAAACTACACATTCAGACCAATTTAAAGAAAGCAAAACTTTTTAAAGGCAAAAGTCCAAATAAACGAGGCAGTTTACGACCTTTTCACTATAAAGCCCAACAACATTAAATTGAATGCATCATTTCACAAAGGCATAGATTCCTTAAGGGTTTTCTCTGCTTGACTGAGGTTTATTGCAGGTAGGGGATTAAAGCCCATTTGGTACAAGAGCGTGACACTGTGTGCATGTCACTGAGGCGTTTAATGTAATGACATAAAAATCGGCTTTCCTTCTTTTCAGTGTTCTTGTTAGCAGACATTTTTAAGCCTGAGACAAAGGCCATTTAAAAGTTAGACGATACGATATCATGCTTATCTACAATATTATAAAAAAGTCAAATGTCATAAAGTCTTATTCATGTTAGAGTTGTTTTAAATGGATCTTACCCTCTCAGCCTAAAATGTCCTTTCAGACTGTGGTATGTTCTAAAAAGCCTTAATTTGGTCAAGTTCAAACTCTTAAAAACAAAGACTTGTGATTTTTATGATCTCATGGCCTGTATGTGCGTATGTGTTTCTGTGTTTTCACAACTCTAGGAAATGGAGAAGGAGAGGACAGATCTCTTAGAAGATGTGGCGTACAACAAGAGGAAGATGAAGGAACTTGAAGATAACCTTCTGTACAGGCTGACCAGCACACAGGCGAGGGAACTACGTAGATCTAGATTCTATCAAAAAACCTTCCTTCTTGATTTTCACCCCCACACGACTGGCTTATGTTCCTCTCTTTTCTTTTAATTCCTTTTTGTAGGGTTCACTGGTGGATGATGAGAGTCTGATTCTTGTGCTCAGCAACACAAAGCAAACAGCAGAGGAAGTCACTCAGAAACTGCAGATCGCTGCAGAGACGGAGATTCAGATCAACGCTGCCAGAGAGGAATACCGACCCGGTAGGTTCTGACAACAGATGGGGAGGCAAACTTCTATTTACACTTTACACTAAGGGTCCCTTTATTAATGTTACCCAGTGCATTATTAAGCATTAATAAACTATTAAAATATTTACAACTGCTTAATATTAATGTTAATATTAAGTTATGCTAAGCAGACACACACCATTTGTCCTAACCTTAAGGACACTTAATAGTTAACAGTATTGGGAACGTTAATAAAGGAATCCTTATAGTATGTTGATTTTAAATGTAAGTTGTTTAAATAGGAAGTTCACTGAGAAACCACTTTTTTTAGGGTTATTTTTGAAATATGGTCGGTCACTGAGTTTAACATTCAAGCTAAACTTGAAAATAGTCTTCTACCCCTTTTCCTATGCTGCTGATAGTTGCGATGTCAAATTAGCATTCATGGACTCGACGGGGAAGGCTGTTTTTTGGCATCCAGGAAACAGCAGAGAACGTCTCAGTTAGTAGAAGCTAATCGTTAGCATCAGCAACTCCACCACACAGCAGAACTCCTCCAGGCTTGTGTTATTTGTGGATATAAAACATCAACATTGCAGAGTAAACAGAGTCAGTGGTCGAGTCATGTTGCTTTTAGCCAATCAGAGGAGAGATGTCCAAATATCAGGAAAATAAGTCTCCAAATTCTGCCACGTGTACAGGGGATGTCTGGTTTGAGAGTCTGGTAGTTCAGTTGGCTGAAGTTGTGGGGAGGGAGAATACTTTTTGTTTTGGGGGAATTACTGGACTGTTTGGGAGACCGTGGGGTTTTCTTTTTAGAAGTGTAGTGAGTTGCTGGTAAGGGAGGTGGCAGTAATGCAACTTTGAAAGAGTCAGGCTGCCGTTAAGCATCACTGAAGAAGAAGATGAAGACGAATCTCGCCGCCTTCAGCTCTTCCCTCCACTGATGAACATTTTCCCCACAGAGATCATCTTACAAGGCATTCATTTATACTAGAGACCACAGCAAATATGTGGGGAAAAAATGAGTGGACTTGTACTTTAAGCGTTAATTTTTAAGGTGAACTGTAAGTCCCCAAAGTCAAGATTTTATTATTTTATTTAATGATAGAAGCCATGGCTGATGTAACTTAATTTCAAATATATTAACTACTTTCCCATTTGGTTTTCTGTGATTTCAGTGGCCACAAGGGGCAGTATTCTGTATTTCCTGATGACTGAGATGAGTATGGTTAACGTCATGTATCAGTCATCTCTCAGGCAGTTTCTGAGACTTTTTGATCATTCCCTTGCAAAGTAAGTAATGAATTAAGTTAAATGACATTTTATTTATACTTACACTCATATTTATATATAAAATATATAAACACACAATTTTCTCATGTTAACATGATTCCTTTCTAAACATTGACAAAATCTGCCAAACAAAACTGGCTTACAAATCTCGCATCTCTTGGTAATGTGTCATTTTTAGTATCTGGTGTCACCGATTGTCCTTTATTCATCAGATTAGAATGACTCTAAAATTTATTTTCATTTTTTTAAAAGATCAAATTATACTAAACATCAGTCTGTCCTTTTTCACTTCCTTATCCGGGGGCCTCCGCACATGGCTGACACACCTCCCTGCGAGGCGTTCAGGGGACGTTCTCACCAAAGACACCAACCATGTCAGCTCGCTCCTCTCGATGTGGAGGAGCAGCTGCTCTACTCTGGAGTCTGCCAAACGTCCAAACTGTTCACCCTATCTCTGAGTCCAACTCCAATTAAACATGTTTGAAGCTAAATAGTTCCTATCTGTTCCCTCTAATCCAGGGGTGTGGTTTATCTGCTACAACACACTTGGTTCAATGGCTGAATCACCTGTGCAGCGGCTCATTATGCTCCGCAGAAGCCTGCTAATCAATCACCTGCTGATTGAAATCAGGTGTGTTGAAGCAGGGTTAAAACTAAAACCTGCTGAATTCCTGCCCTTCAGGACCAGGTTTGGGCACCCTTCCTCTAATCCAACCCAATCGTTCTCGTTCAGATTATTTTCTAATCCTGGTTCTCATTTCCACCCTGCAGGCCCAGTGTGAGACTAACAGAGTTCAAAATTTTGACATAGAGTCAATGTAATACCCATAAAAACAAGAGAGGTTAAAAATGTACCAGTTGTCAAAATAGATGATTTTCTTTTTTTGAAACTAATATGCTGTAAGGATTTTAGTCTGTGCATCTGTTTTATTAAAGAGCTTATTTCATTGTTCAGTTTCATTGTGCAATGTTTATTATGTGCAGCCTGCAGGCTAATAGATCCCTTTTGCACTGGCAAGGCATGCAAAGGCAATCTGGGACGTAATAAGGAAACTACACGCTTCATTAGTATCTCTGAGACCCTAAAATGATAAACAAACCAAACCCAAGTCACGTTGCTTAAGCCCTAATACAGATGTGTTAGATCAGGGGTGTCAAACTCAAACTCACAAGGGGCCGAAATGAAACTCTGGGACGGAGTCGAGGGCCAAACTTAATATTTTTTGAAAAAGTGACGGCAAATTTGCACATTTTCTTTATCAACATATATACAATTTTGAACCTTTAAATTTGGAAACAAACTTATTTCTGCATTAACACTGAATGTGGAATAACCAAATTACACACGAGCAAGTCAGTTTTAAATAAAAGGCATCAGTGGTATTCATTACTTGTGGTATAATCAGCATTTTTAAAATCTTTTAAATCTTTAAATCTTTTAAATCTTTTCTCACGTGCCAACAACAAAATAAAAATATCATTTTATCTTAAATGAAAATGCAACATCTCACCTGTTAACTTTCATGTTTTGGAGCAGAAAAAGAGCATAAAACCAACATATTTAAAGCTCAGTGTGCTCCACTGGTTTACTGTGATGCTCACCTGTTCCAGCCAGATACCTGCATCATGGGGTTGATCTGAGCTGAGAAGGAGACTCCTGCTGTTTTGTTCATCTTCATCATAATAATGACAACATTAGATGACAACAGGTGCTCACATAGGTTTGTGCTGCTGAACATGTCTGAGCAGCTTGACCACGTTGTTGTGTGTCGGGGAGGAAACACGACAGCAACCACAGACTCATGCTGGTTTGAGCGTGTCGCTGCTCGCTGGAGTTATATCAGCTCTGTCTGGACATCAGTTGGAAAACTTTCTCTTTCAGTCGTGAACACATTACTGAGCGGCTAGAATCTCCGTTTCTGGGCTTCAGCGTCAGAAAATAGCTGAGTGACCTCGGCGCTGAGTGAGAGGAGTGTAGTTTGTCCGAGACAGCGGAGCTGCAGACAGCAGCAGGCGCTGGAAAAAACACAAAGGAGGGGGCGCGTCGGCTCCGCGCTGACGCCGCAAAGCATCCTGGGAGTTGAAGTCATTGCGGTAAAATCGGCCAGCGGGCCAGTTTTAATATATTTTTGATATTTATCTCGCGGGCCACATAAAAATGCGGCCCGCGGGCCTTGAGTCTGACATATGTGTCTTAGATTTTATATGAAGGAAACAAAAATCTCCTTAGATTCACATGAGGTTTTCTATCTGAGTTTATGACTGTTTAAAAATTTTGTTTTTGTGAATACCTATACTAACTTGTGCATGCTGTTTTGCATACGAAGAGTATTTTCAGTATTTCCGCTAATCTATTCTTCCTTATTTTGCTCATACCAGAAGCAACACTGAATGCTAATCTGGATTAATTTCATCCTGTCACATTGAAACTGTAAAGCCTCTGTTTAAAAAACAGGTTTACCTCTAAAATGGAAATGATAATGCTTTTATGATGCTTTTATGATACTATTTTAAAATAGGTCTTTTTAAATTAAGCTGATTTTTGCTGGCACTAACTCTCCGAATGGTCCAGCCACACATTGTGTTCTTTTATGTCTTGGAACTAGAATGCTTTTGTAGGAGGAGCTTAAAACCTATGATCAATTAAACAAAACAATAATGTTTTACCTCAACAGATCTTCTAAAAGTCCCATCCCCAACAAACGGATTTCCAACATCATAGAGTTCATGACCTTTGAAGTGCACAGGTATGCAGCAAGGGGGTTGTATGAAGAGCACAAGTTCCTCTTCACTTTGCTGCTGACGCTGAAAATTGACATGCAGAGCTGTAAAGTCAAGCATGACGAGTTTCACACACTCATTAAAGGTAGGTATTTATTTTAATATATTCTTGTGTTTAAGTGAATGGATTTGGTTCATTTTTGCTAGTTGGAGGTACTTAGTCCTTGAGCCCATGAGCTTTATTATACTGCATGTTACTGATCAAATGCCAAATCAGAAAGAAACTAGCTTCTTAAGAACAAAGATAAATACCAGTGGTGTGTCCAGGGAGTAGCCTGGGGAGCACATGCCACCCTTGGAATATAATTGGCCACCCCAGGTGACACCGCTCAGAGTTCCCATGAAATTTATTTCGTATTGTACACAAAAGACTTGTGGTTATAAGCTCCAAAACGGTAGGTGGCAGTAGGCGCCTTTAACATTTTTTTTCTAGCCTCGGGCCCAGAACACTTGTATATTATTATTATTATTATTTTCATCATTTATTATACCCACTTGGTGGCAGTAATGCACTATGAAGTGGCTTGCTAATCATCATAAAACAGCTAGAAGAAGAAGAAGAAGAAGAACACACAATGAAGATCTTGCAACCCCCCGCCCAAAAAAAAACAAAACAACAAAAAATTATCTACATGTTGATAATAGTAATAACATGTTATATTATGTTAACAGTAATAAACATGTTGTCACTATAGCTGTTCACTGAATCACAGAAATGTCGTGCTCCTCGCTGCAGGAACAAAACACAACAGTGACAACTTGTAAAAGCAGAACAGACAGTCAGCTACGTGCGTGCAGCTTCACCATCTGTCAGCTTTGACCTGCTCAACACAACAATCGTGACTTCAGAAATCATGATTTCTTTTTTTTCTACTAGAATATTGAGTTTGTGGCGGCGAGATAATTAATTAATATTTGGGAATAACTGTTTGTTAAAAAGCAGATTAACTGAGAAACAACTTATTTATTTTTAAATATGATCGTCACTCTGAGTTTAACATGCAGGCTAAGAAGATCGTCTTCTACCAGCATTTCCTGCAAGACTCCAAGTCCTGCCGTTTTCTTCCACGACTAACTTTTACTTCCTGAAAGAGAAGCGCCAGAGCTTTTTTCCACTGAAAATGACCCAGAATACATTCAGTTATACTAGAGACCAATGCAAATGTATTGAAAAAAACGACTGAATTAGAGCCTTAATATTGTTAGAACATGTGTTTGTGTGCGTGTTTGTTTGCCTTATCCAGGAGGGGCATCACTGGACCTAAAAGCATGCCCCCAAAAACCAGCCAAGTGGATTCTGGACATGACCTGGCTCAATCTTGTAGAAGTCAGCAAACTGTGGCAGTTCACTGATATACTGAACCAGGTGCAACACACACACACACACACACACACACACACACACACACACACACACACACACACACACACACACACACACACACACACACACACACAACTGTGGTCTCTGGGTTCTTATCAAACATTTTTCTCAGGTCTTTTTGCTCTGCCAAGCACATCAATATTAGTCTCATTATGGCTCCCTTCATCCTTCCTTTTATACAAAACCACAGACATATGATGGCTTGTCAGTCGTGCTCACACACACGTGCACACACATACAGAAACCAAAATACATTTGCTACGTGTACTAAATACATAAACAAAGACAACAACATTATTCTGTGTGACTGGGTGTGTTAAACATTTAAACAAATATTTTGCAGCTCATATGGACTCACACACATGTGTTTGTGTTTCTTTGCAAACACATTTAAATTTAGAGCTGATAGAGAAATTCTCAATTATAATTTTGTTTTTAAATAGAGTGTTTTTTTATTAGAAATTTTAATAAACCAAAAAGACTGAATTTACTTTTTGAAAAGAAGTTTCAACGAGTTCAACATGAAGCATGCAGTTGTGCAGCCTGTAGCTGTGAAATGATAGGACGTCTGTTACATACTCAGACATTTTCGATCATTGATGCATCTCAGTCTCTATTGTTGTTTACAAGCTTTAATTCTTTGTCTTCCTTTCAGGTGGGATGTAAATTTAGTGTAGATATTTACTGATCTTTTCCAGAATTTCTGCATCTGACCTGCTTACATGTTTATTCCAGATAAGTCGTAATGAGAAGCAGTGGAAGTCCTGGTTTGATAAGGAGGCTCCAGAGGAGGAGGTTCTGCCTAACTCCTACGACCAGGCTCTAGACTGTTTCAGGCGGCTGCTCCTCATCCGCTGCTGGTGCCCTGACAGGACTATTGCCCAGGTTCAATAAATACACATCCCTCTAGATAAATTAGTCACAGGAACAAAAGGATTTGAAATTCAAATCTTGATGTTTTTATTTTTGCCAGTGTTGGTTTTCACACCACTCCACCTTTTACACATTTTCTGTTCACTTAGTCTAAGTTAATTTTTTTCTCTCTGTTTTTGACATCTTTTGTGTAATTTAGGACAAATTGTGAAAATTTTGAGATCTATAATTAAACAAGTTATTTCATTAGTAATTGATTTTATTTCATTAAAAACCTTTCACAAAGAAACTCAAGCTAAAATGATCTGGCTGTTTGTAAAAATAAAAGAAACCTCTAACTTTCTTTTATTTTTATTTTTTACCCATTTGTTTAGTTGATGGTGATTCATAATCATACCCACTTGTCCTTGTACTACAGGACCTCTGGGTATGTTGATGGACAAGCCAGACTCGCTAAATTTTCAGAAAAACAAAGTCATAATCCTTTTTTTCAAGATTTTTTTGGCTAATAGCTATGTTGGATTATGTCTTCTGGCCACAAAGTAACAATGCTAACCCACTGGACCGCCGTTTTGCCTGAACTAGAATTTCACATCTGAACAGACTGATAATTGATTTTCCTTTAAATAAGACAGTGCTGTCATGGACGTAATTTTTTTGGGGGGGGGGGGGGGGGGGGGGGGGGGGGGGGGCATGTCCCCTCCACTTTTTCCAAAGTCAAGTTTTGACCCCTGCACTTTTTACCATCCAAACACAATATTACGCTACATTAAATTGACACTGGTTGAGCTCTAGGACCAAGCGGAAAGCAACTGTTTGTGTTGAAGCCTGTTTTCCATTTGAACATACTGTAAAGATACAAGCCCCCCCCCCCCCCCCCCCCTCCCCCGCCAACCCCCCCCAACCCCCCCTTCCGTGTCCCCTCCACTTCTAAAGTGAAAATTACATCCATGAGTGCTGTATTGATCAAACACAGTTGTTGGCAATCATTATTGAAAGCTAAAATTAAATAATATTTAAAAACCTTGTCATGAAAATCTATTGGGTGTAAGGAGATTAAAACAAAGATACCAGTTTTTTCACAGTATCCTAAAGCACAGGGGTTTTGTTTTTGGGGGGTGGGGGTGGGGGGGTGGGGTGGGGGGGGGGGTTACATTCAGCAGTGAAGTAAAATCCTGAAACTACAGAAACTAGTGAGCATTTCTGAAATTTTATTATTTTTATGATGTTTTCAGTGTTTTGGTCCACTGAAAACAAGCCTAGAGGAACTCATCCAGTTGTGCTCACACTCCAGCAGCTGTTCTTGTCAAGCTCGTATTCTGCAGACTGAAAACCTGAAGCCCAGAAAAAATAAATCTCTAAAATATTCCTTAAGTTAGCGACCTTCAGAAAAGTCAATTTATTCTTGTTTCGCCCGTTCTGTTACTGCTCCACTGAATGCATTTTCTCCCTTATGTATTAGATTTTCTGCATCACCAAGCATAAGGTTTGCCCCATTTGATCCCTTTTCCCCTCGCAGGCCCGTAAATACATAATGAGCACAATGGGGGAGAAGTACACAGAGGGGGTAATCTTGACTTGGAGAAGATGTGGGAGGAATCAGACCCACGAACACCTCTCATCTGCTTCCTCTCAATGGGATCAGATCCAACAGACTCCATCATTGCACTGGGCAAGAAGCTGAAGATTGAGACTCGATATGTGTCCATGGGGCAAGGACAAGAGGTCCATGCTCGCAAGCTCCTGCAGCAGACGATGGCTAATGTGAGTCAGTGTTGTGAGGCTGCTGCCGTAATAACATTATTTACTTTGATAGCTGATGTAGAACTTATAGGAACTAGACAATGATGTCTAGTTTCTGATGGTTTCCTTATGACTTTATCGCGTCACAGTTTTGCCACTGGTGTTGTTCCAGGGTGGTTGGGCCTTACTTCAGAACTGCCACCTGGGTCTGGACTTCATGGATGAACTAATGGACACGGTGACAGAAACAGACTTCATTTATGACAGCTTTCGTCTTTGGATGACAACTGAGGTCCACAGGAACTTCCCCATCATGCTCCTACAAATGTCGATCAAGTTCACCAACGAACCACCTCAGGGTCTCAAGACGGGCCTTAAGAGGACCTATGGAGGTGAGATTGAGTGTGACTTAGCTTAAAGGGACACGACAGTTTTGGCTTGCTTTAACACCCCCTAAAATCCCCCACTCTTACTGTGCACCCATGTTTTCAAACCAGTTGACTACATAATAAAGCTGTTATAGCAAATCTGCAACCAAGCTAGGCTTTGCATGCTAAACCCCTTTCCTCAGGTATCTTAACTGGTTCTGCGTCCACTGAAATCGGAAACCCACATTGCCATAGAAAATGAGAATGTGTAAAACACCAGTTGCTGTTTTCAAGGTCCAAAAGTATTTTGTTGTCCGTGACTTCAAATGGTGTTTTTCTTTTTGGGAATCTGGTAGTTGATCCTAAGGTTGAAATGGTAGCAATCAGCTCTTTCCCCGTCTCTGATATAATTGAGCAGAGAACCAGTCATAACACATCATCACACACTGGTGGAATTACATCTCCGCATTTGACCATGCTTGTGGGGAGTAGCTGAGCTTGGAAACTGGTGGTTTAACCCCCCCAACCCAACCCCTTAAAGCAGAGGGTCAAGCAGGGAGGCATTGGGTCCCATTTTTTGTAAAGTCGTTGGTATGACCCGACCGAGATTTGAACCCCGATCTCCCAGGGGGGACACTCTACACTTAGGCTACTGAGAAAGTTATGCGAGAGTGTGTAATGAATGGAGGACCAAAGGAAGTGTGGCGGTTTGGCAAGACCGACAATCGGTTTGTCCAATGGCTGCTTTTGATCCCAGTCATGTTGTTGGCAGAGGTTTAAAGACAAATGCAAGAGAACCACTTATCTATTTTTTTTAATCTCCACAATATATGTATAGCTATACTATGTAAAGGTTGGTTTATGCTTGACGCGTCCGCGAGGTCCGCACGGCTCCGCGCGGAAAAGTTGTGTCATTTTGCGTCATTTTAACAACCACGCCCCTCCACTGCGTCTCCGCACGGCCCAAGATTTCCGCAACGCGCACCTTGGAAAATTTCTAACCACGCGGACGGTCGGACGCGGAAAAACATGGCGGACCGGCACGGCAGAGGTTCGTAAATACAGACATTTGTATGATTCAGCTCTCAGAGATCACCGTGATCAACATGTTGTTAATAATTCTTGGAGAGAAATAGCTTGCACTGTCGGAAAAGACGAGGACACTGTTAAAAATGCTGAAATACCATGTTGTAAACAGTGATTTCTACTTCTACTATGGTGTAGTGTTGGATGCATGCTGTAGAGCTCCATGCTGCCCCGTTCAGTTTGGGAGAATATTGGCTCACCGCGGAGACGAGCCCGCACAAACCATAAACACTGCGAGTTGTGAAGCGCGTTCCAGCCGCGAGCCGCATCACCGCGCGGAAAGTGAATGCGTCAAGCATAAACCAAGCTTTAGAAGGTTGCTAAGAGGCATGAAAAAAAATGTTTTGAGCCAAATTTGATATAGAAGCTTTAAAGTTACACTTATAAGCGCAACAGCATGATCGAGAGGTCTGAATCCTTCATTTTTTGAGGTCTTGCGATACAGAAAATGCTTTTCCATGTAGACTTTTGTTTGTCTGCTCTTTTGGTATGGGGTTCTTTTCTCTTTTTTGTTTCATCAGTTAAATGTTTGTTTCTTTAGAGGCTCTGCCAAGATGAACACAATACAATAAATGGCATCCATCTCTAACTCATCTGTTCAAAGTCGTAATCACAGATTACCATAAAGTGTGGCTTCCTGTGAAATATGTATCTTTGTGGAACTCCAGAGAGGCTTGAGTTGCAAATGTGGAATTCTTCCCAAATGGAGTGGAGGTGGCTGAGAGACATTTTGTAAATGGTTGTTATTGGAACAAGATAATGATTTAAAAATATGAATATGAGTTACTTCTAACTGTGCAAAGACCTAGTTTGCTCATCCTGCAAAATTGGTCTCGACTGACAGATGCAGTATTGTCATGTTCTGTGTCCCTTTGTTCCCCAGCTCCTCCAGTTCCCACTCCAGGTTCTCCTTTTGTGTTCTCTTGGCGCCCTCATGTGTCCTTTGTCTGCATCTCTGTTGTGTGTCAAGTTGTAGCTCCAGCCTTTTGTTCCCCAGTTCATTGTATGTGTGTATGAGTTTGTGTGTGTCAGTATGTGTATGAGTTTGTGTGAGTCTTTCCCTTAGTCTTTAGGTTTAGTTTTGTGTTTTATACAGTTTTAGGTTTATCTGCCCTCCACTGGTTCTCTTTCCCATCCAGATAATTGTTGTCACCTGCCTTCCCTCCAGCCTCACTCCACACACCTGCTTCCTGTTTCCCTAATTGCTCCTCCCTGTCTATATAAGCCCTCCTTGTCTCATTGTTCTTGTCGGTCCATTGTTGTTTGTCAGGGTTGTTCTTTGGTGCTCTGTGTGAGCTTCCTGTCTGGTCCCCAGTTTGTGCTCTAATTGAGCTTTGTTCTCCTGCTTTTGGATTTCTGGATTTTGGGCTCCATGCCTTTGGATTTATTTTTGTTCATCCTTCAATAAAAGGATTTTTTACTTTATATCAATTCCTGCCTCATGTCGTCTGGGTAATCTGTATTTTGGGTCCCAACCATCCTCTCAACGTGACAAGTATAGGCATGATCTGCACATCCATTGATTGCTTGAAGAGTTCATGTACCTTTAACATTAAAATCATTGTTTAAACCTTGAAATCATGAACTCATTATTTGAACAGGCTAAGATTGTATATGGAATCAGAATTTTCACATTTCAGTACCTTTTTGAGGCCTGGAAACCCTGCTACCCATAAATACTTTGGAAATAAACTAAAATGTCAACAGAGTACATAACAGAATGATTAGTATGCATAATTACATCCGGTTATTCTTGATGTGAGCATTTGTAAGCAACTGACTAGTTGGTGCAGACATACAGATAGAACTAGACTCTCATCCTGTCCTAAGGGGAAGAGTTGATCAAAAGATGAAATGCAAAAGGAACACCTGCCCGTTTCTTAATTCAGTACATTTTACACCCAAGTACCAAGAGCCTTGGGGAAGGTTTGTGAAATTTTAGACACGTTGAACCACATATTTTGTGTTTTTATTCAGGACTCAAAGGGCCAGACAGGGAAGAGTATTTAATATGCAGAAACCAGCTACCCTGTTCCTGAATCATGCTGAAAAAGGATGGTGCTTTGTTTCTGAAGGGCAACTCTTGTTCATGTGTTTGTTTACTGTTTCCTCTGGCTGAAAGGAGAAAATACATTTCATCAATAGATTAGAAACAATTGTAATTTTATCCTTAGCAATGTGTTTAGTTTATTTAAATGTCACAAAACATAGTGGCCAATATAGAAAAAACTACCTGAATTGTATTTGTTTTTGCTGCAATAATAATTAACTTTCTGTGGCCTAAATGTGCCTCCTTCAAGAACACTCAGCTGATTCATCGTGTTCTTCAACAGGTATAAACCAGGACCTTTTGGATGTTAGTAACATGGTCCAGTGGAAGCCAATGCTCTATGCAGTGGCGTTTCTCCACAGCACGGTGCAGGAGAGGAGGAAGTATGGACCTTTGGGATGGAACATCCCCTATGAGTTCAACCAAGCGGACTTCAATGCAACAGTCCAGTTTATTCAGAACCATCTTGACGACATGGACATCAAAAAGGTAAATTAAGTTTTTGTTTGGCAAACAACTCTCTTCCATAAACCTTTGATGAAATGTGAATTAAGTCAGATGATTTAAGGCCACAAAGACGTTTCAGCTAACTTACTAATGCTGTCACACAGGGTTGACATGAATCAACTCCATGTGTTGTTGTCATCTTACAAAGAACCACTTATTTTCTCCTCAGGGTGTGTCATGGAGCACAGTACAGTACATGATTGGAGAGATCCAGTATGGTGGACGTGTAACTGATGACTATGACAAACGTCTTCTCAACACCTTTGCAAAGGTGTGGTTCAGTGAGAACATGTTTGGACCCACCTTCAACTTCTACAAAGGCTACAGCATCCCAAAATGCTCCAGCATTGACCAGTATTTGTCTTACATCCAGGTAACTCTCTCCATAGGATAAACAAACACACTTTGAAATGACCCTGATAAGACCCCTTTTTAACATCGTCAAACAGGACTAAAGTGGAAACATTTTAAATATCACTTTGTATTGTCACATGAAACTGCAGGCCACCATCTGATAAAGTTTGCTAATTTTATTACAGATTATAAGTGATTTTATTGTGTGATTGTAACCCATCGTTTTTGCGAGTGTGTGCTTCTGTGGGAGCAGTCTCTCAGCTTGTTTCATTACAGCCAGTTTCACCATGATGGATGCGCAGGACTGCCAGGCTCAACAAGCTTGTTCTTCTGTCCTACCTCTTGAATGAAGAATGACAAACATAGCCTTGGAGAAAAAACACACACAAACACAGACCACGTATAAACACACACACTTAGATTTTGTTAAGAACCTTTCATTCTCTTTGTCAGACTCAATTTCGCATTTGTGTCAGGACCTAATCTGAGGAGACAGAACAGAGCAAAGCAGAGCACAGTGTCTATGTGTGAGTGTGTCCCCAAATAAATGCAGACAGACAGGAACAAAGGTGAAATTCCCTAAGAGGAAATAAGTGACCTATTCTGACTCCCCTTTTCATTTTGCCCCAGTTTTCTTGGTGTTTTGATAAACCTTCCTGCTGGAGTTTGACTCAGTTTGACTTCACACCCTGATGGATGATTAAAAAAGCTGCTGTATGCATAGTCTTCTTATTTTCTTAACAACTGTAAACATTAGCCTAGTTGTAGGGACGTCATCTTCCTGTCAGAGTATTTGAGGTTTTAGTCCTCCACCTCTGTGGCATGCCAAAGTATTTTTAGGCAGGAGATACTTTATACAATTTTCCTGATATGCTTTCTGATGAGTGAGAATACAATGGTTCAGAGTTCTGATCAAGGGAACCTTGATTAAACTGGTTTTAACAGGGTTTAGTTCAGTTGTCTCTGAAAAAAAGAAATCATCAATAATCAGGGATGTCCCAATCAGGATCCTTTGTCTGCTATACAGATCTGAGTTGTTTTAACCCTCGCAGGCTCAAAGTAAGTTTTGATAAAAGGACGAACATCTAAGTCCTTCAGGGGTACTTCTGAGTTAAAACATGCTCATGAAATACGTACGTGGAGTAACCAGGTAGTAGGATTTAAGTATTTCAAATCTGCAACGCCTGCCTCCAGAGGGTTAATATTGACCAACACTTGTTTTTATTTATTTATTAATTTTTCATTTTAAAGCACACATTTTAACTCTACTCACAGTGATATAGGTACAATGTAGTTATTACAAAAAATCAGGTTTCTGTAGACAGTTCTGCAAACAAATGTAATTTTTATCAGTTGTTGGTTCCCTTGTGTCTACCTCCAGCTCCTGGGTATCTTTGGATGAAAGTGAGTCTTCCCTGTTGTAAAACGTTGGTGTTGTATTGCTGGTTGAAGTAAAACAAACAACAATAGAGATTAGGAGCTCCTCTGATAATGATAATTAAAAAATGCACTGACTGGGACCCTGATCTGAGATCAGATCTGGACATCAGTGTAAAAATAAAAACACATTTAAGATATAGATATTACATTTATCACCACTGTCACAAAACACAATGCGAGATTTATGTTCACCTGATCAATTTAAAAAGTTGTAAATAGATTTATTTCTTATATGTATGAACTTTTATTCTTTATCTCAAAAGCATCCCAGCTGTTGGCCTCCTGGTGGATCGGAGCCAGACAAAGCTTGTTAATGAGCCACTGTTTTTCCAGAGATTTCTTTTGGCTTCCTGATTAATGGTTAAATCAACAGGGTTTACATGTGCATGGTTGAGTAATTCATCCTATGAGGCCAGCTGGAAAATTGGTATTGATTGCTACAGGGCAGGGCTGCACAGTGTCGCAGTGGTTAGAGCTGTTGCCTAGCAGCAAGAAGGTCCTGGGTTCGCTTCCCGGCCTGGGATCTTTCTGCATGGAGTTTGCATGTTCTCTCTGTGCATGCGTGGGTTCTCTCCGTGTACTCCGGCTTCCTCCCACAGTCCAAGAACATGACTGTTAGGTTGATTGGTCTGTCTAAATTGTCCTTAGGTGTGAGTGTGTGTGTGCATGATTAATTGTCCTGTGTGTCTCTGTGTTGCCCTGCGATGGATTGGCACTCTGTCCAGGGTGTACCCTGCCTGATTGCCGATTGAGCGCTGGAGATAGGCACCCCCACCCACCCCCCACCCCCCCACCCCACCCCCCCACCCCCCACATGGACAAGCAGGTTCAGACAATGGATGGATGGATGCTACAGGGCTCCTATCAGAGTGCGGAGTCGGTTCAGCTGAGCAGAGAAAAGCATCAGCATAAGAGGTTCTTGGTAAGTGGTTCGGCTGAAGCTAATTTACAGGTAAAAGCACAACAAAGACTTGGTGAGTGTGCAGGTAGTGCTTGTTTTCATCTGGACAGGAGCTGAAGTTTGGTATTGCACCAATCTTTGTTTCTGTGAAGCTTGGCGATGATCCCATTCCTTCAACAGCATGCCATACGTGTTGTTCAGAGGCATGCACCGTTTTGTCTGACTCATCCATATGTTACTCCCTGATTCTCCTCACTGGAGGGTGACAAAAAAAGTACTGGTGTTACCATGTGTAGCTGCGGACCTGCAGACAACAGCATTGCTTGGACCTGGAGAGAATTCCTTCAAATATGCACAAAAAAGAAAACGGAGCTGTCTGTTCTACACTGTAGGGGAGGTTTATAATAGCTCAGATGGGTCATTTAAATGAATTTAAGGATGGCATTGGGTCTCTCAATCGTTGTAAAATAAAAAGGAATATTTCACAGTCCTTTCTGAAAGAGTTGTTGCTGCTTCTTTTTTACAGAGCCTCCCAGCCTATGACACACCAGAGGTGTTCGGCCTCCACCCGAATGCAGACATTACCTTTCAGAGCAAACAGGCTAAAGACGTTCTGGACACCATCCTAAGTATTCAGCCTAAAGACAGCTCATCGGGCGGGGGCGAGACCAGAGAGGCTGCAGTGTCCAGGCTCGCTGACGACATGCTAGAGAAACTGCCTCCCAACTACATACCCTTTGAAGTATGTTTGTGTTTTCCCCAAAAAACCTGAAGCAGAAGAGGTTTGGGTTGTGCAAGACAGAAAAAAAACAGAAACTGCTGAAACTTGTTTGCTTGGTTTTATTTTGAGGCTCCTCTCGTTATCTGTCACAAAGAGAAGGTGAGGTGCGACTCTGGCACAAGGTGCAAAGCTATTTTGTCACTTAACACATCACACTTTCACTTCAGCCCCGCTGATCTCTGTTTTACATCAAGAACAAGTTCACATAAAAATGTAGTCTGGTTTCTGTGCTTAAAACTATTTGTTGTAATTGATGGAAAATTGTGTCTACAGCTCCGGAAATAAGCCAATCGCAAGCATGTCTTCATTTTGACCGACGTCTTTATCAAACAACCAAAATCTGCAGCAGACATCTTTGTTTTTCTAATAGGACCACCATAGAAACCTTATTTCTGAACAATTTCTGAACTTGTGGGGTAGAAAAGAGAAGATGACCATGATCAAGTTCAAGTAATTCAAGTTATACAAGTTAAATCAGACCTTTCAATATCAACTTTTCCCATGTGAGCTAATTGAGTGGGGTTCCTGTTTTCACCAGCAAGGTCACAAGTCCCTAAAAAACATTGTGCTTTCTCTGGACAAGACATTTGGGAATCCAGAAAAATGTTCCCACTAAGGAATTTAATAAAGGAACTCGTGCTAGAGGTGCATGCTAACGTGGGGAATGACTCACTGCACTACCATGTTCATTTGTTCTTTTTCAGGTCCCTAAATATCTTCCAGGAATAACCTCTGTCCTGTTGGATTTCCAACAGCGTTTTTTGTGTCCTGTTCAATTGCAGAAAATTCTAAATCAGTCGCTGCCAGCGTTTCTCACCGTTTTTACTGTATTTTTAAGAGTCACAGAACGTTGAGCGCTAGGACGATGTCAACGCCAAAACAACCAAAACAACCAAAACAAAGCGGAGACTCACCTCTTACATCAGGAAGAATCCACGCGTTTCGAGCTTTATCCGTTCTTTACCCGTTCTTTCATAATCCGTGGTTGAATTGTGATCGGCAGAAGCTTTTCAGGTTCGTGCCTCACTTTTTTTACAGCAGCGGCTCAAAACGTTCTAACACATGGATTTTCTGCTTCCTGATCACGTGGCGTGTGATATATGCGGATTAAGATCGACTTTAGAGCTGAGATGTTTGTTTTCACGGTGCGGGGGCTCGTTCCGATGCCCACACCGTAAAAAATATGCTAATGATGACTTTAGTCATCATTGGCAGTGAATGATTTAATGTTGTGTTGTGAACACTGGCCTTGTAAAGTTTCAGTTATTTCTCCAGTCTGTGGTTATGGTTTTTGTAGTAATGCCACATGCGTGCATTTCTTGTAAATCAGGTGAGAGAGCGTCTGCAGAAAATGGGCCCTTTCCAGCCCATGAACATCTTTCTTCGTCAGGAGATCGATCGAATGCAGCGGGTCATAGTTCTGGTCAGAAACACTTTGACTGACCTCAAGCTGGCTATTGATGGAACCATCATCATGAGCGAGAACCTGCGCGATGCCTTGGATTGTATGTACGACGCTCGCATTCCTGCGCGCTGGATGAAGGTCAGTCACTATGAAACAAACGTGAGCAGACTGTAGATTACCTGCTGTTCATAGCAATGCAAGCATGGATACAATTTGTTACACATCCATTTAAAAAAGTAAAACCTCATGAAATGGCATGGAACAGATAGAATTGTGATCTTTAATAATTCACAGAAAGTCAACAAAGGAAAGTCAGACATTGTGTTTCAACTGAATAATAAAAAAAATCTATCTAAAATGGCTCATATTTAAAATAACATTTCCCTTAATTTAATAGTTTGGTTCACAACCTTTGGACGCAACCACTGCAATAAGATGGCTGCTGTGAATCTTAACAAGACTTCTGCACCCTTTGGTCATCAGCAAACAGCTCCAGCTGGGTTTATTGTTTCTAAGACTTAGAAAAGGGACCACTTCTGAAACGCCCAAGTGTTTGTTGTTAGCCATTCGTAGGTATTTTCAGCTGGGTTGTGGGTCATTATCTCACAGAGAACCCATGTTCCCCTTAATGATGCTACACCTCTGATTTATGCCCTTTAGTATTTAGAGCACAACCTGCAAACCTGGTCTTATAATGAATGGAGAACCACCTTAACTGGAACCATAATGGATTGAAAGCGAAAGCATGCAGCACCAGTAGAACTCAGCAGGACCAAGTTACGCTCTCACAAACAGCTGACTATTAGCCATTCAAGCTCGGACAGAGAATAAATCAGAACTTGAATGTGACCCGGCTGTGATTCTGCCTTCCTACCTTCTGTGATCTGCTCTTTTATACTCTTTTTATTCAACACTGCTACAGTTTTTTTTTTAAGTTTAAACAATATTTCACATTGAGTTATTATTTTTGTTTCTCTTGTTCTTCGCTTCAGATCCTCCTGGGTGCTGGTTTTCAGTAGATCAGGATTGTGTTGTTGCTCATCTTAGTTTTTCTCTTGCAGGCATCGTGGGCCTCCAGCACCCTAGGGTTCTGGTTCACAGAGCTTCTTGAGCGAAACCGGCAGTTTCAGGCTTGGATCTTTGAAGGCCGGCCCAACTGCTTCTGGATGACAGGCTTCTTCAACCCGCAGGGCTTCCTGACAGCCATGAGACAGGTACACAGAATCAGGCTGCACACCTATTTACCCAGCGCCAAGGGACTGGAGCAGATGGTACACACTGGGAGAGGCAGGGACACACACACACACACACACACACACACACACACACACACACACACACACACACACACACACACACACACACACACACACTGAAAGGCATCTATAAACTCCAGGAAACTAATTTTACATGGATGTGATCTGAATGTTTAATTCTCCTTGATCAACATTAGAGCTGATTCTTAACGGTTTTTCAGTTAGATATTAAAATATCAAAAAACCGAGAATGAAAGAGATAAATAAAAAGTAAATGATCAGGAATTGATTTAGAAAACAAGAATCAAACATAGTGAGAAACAGATTTTTTTTTTAAATGAGGCATTTGCACCCAACTCTGAAAAATTTTTTTTTTCCTTTATGACATCAAGAATCAATGGGTTATATTTTAATGCTAGTTTAAGTTTAAAATTGTCCTGTTGAGTAAGTCTGCTCTGCTGGACCATCATGTACCTTCAAATATCCCAGAACAGATCAAATATTGTCTTTTCAGTGGTACTCTTGCTCTTTTAGTGCTGAAACTTTGCCGGTGAATGTAATTAGATCTTACAGTGAAAAGTGGAACTGCGTGTTTGAAGAGACAGCAATGCTGTTTGAGGATCTCAGCAGAAGCTGTGCATTATTTAGTATTCATGTCAGCTTTTGACTTCCTGTTTTTATTTATTCTCTGAGAAGAAACATTCCAACTCCCCAGAAACAGAAGAAACATCAAGAATGAAATGTCTGTATTTTATAGTGAATGGATTTGTCAGACTAATAGGAATCTTCTCAAATAGCCGGCCCAGAGCCTGTGGAGTGGCTTCTCTGGAGGCATGTTTTATGTTTTTATCAGGACACTGGCATCACAAACTATCTGGGGAGTTGTTGATTTCTGTATGTATGAATGTGCTGACAGTTGCTGGAGATCTAGTCATCTGTCACTTACATTATGCTGTATCTCTGTATTCAGCAGTAGAGTAAGACTTTGTTGAATCCTGTATTATTTTCAGAAAACATGACTTAGCGTGAACTTCTTTAATCTTTTTTTTAACACCCCCCACCCCCACCCACTGTCTTTATGGGTGACTCCGCGAGGAAAGTTGACCATTGAGCAGGATTGATGGTTTATCCCTTGAGCTCCACGTGGCAGGGGTGAGGTGGTGCTCACTCCTCACCCCTGCCACATGGACCCAAGTGATAAACCATCAACCCTGCTCAGTGGTCAACTTTCCTCCCGGGGTCACACCCATTAGGACAGTGGGAGGGTTAAGTTTATTTTTGCCATGAACTCACAGGAGATCACCCGGGCCAACAAGGGCTGGGCTCTGGACCGCATGGTGCTGTGTAACGAGGTGACCAGGTGGATGAAGGATGACATCACCCAACCCCCCACAGAGGGGGTGTACGTCTACGGTCTGTACCTGGAGGGGGCCGGCTGGGAGCGCCGCCACTGCAAACTCGTTGACTCCAAACCCAAAGTCCTCTTTGAGACAATGCCCGTGATTAGGATGTACGCCGAAAACAATGGTGAGACATGTTAATCCAAGAACAGAGGATGGATACCCGTCTCAGGAGGATTGTAAAGTCTCACTCCTCCCCTCGAGGTTTCCCATCCCACGCAGTCACTGGATGGATGTAACATTTAAATGTCAAGCAGACTTAATGCTCTTTATGGTGTTAGGGAATGAATTTCCAGCATTATGCAGCAGAGTATTTGTTCTAGATAAGCTAAGAGCACACTTACCGTTGGCAGCATTAAAACCACTGATGGGTGAGGTGAATATCATCAATCATCATGTTAAATACTCTACTTGTATTGATTCTGACATTACACATTTTCAATTGTGACTCGTACCAGCCACAAAACAAGAGGACTACTGGAGGTGATGGAAACCAAGCTATCAGATTCCATCAACACCTCACAAGATCTCAATCACAGATACAGCTTCTAAGGCGAGGATGGAGGATCATCTGGGATTTAACATCAATTTTGAGGGATTTTACTGTTTGCCCAACCAGCTAAAATGAGATACTATATTCCTACATCATTTAAGTGTTATTATTTAGATTTGCCAGCTCCAGGCTGAGGGATGAATGATATTAATCAAAACTTCAACCTGAGGGCAAAACATACTCCATACAAAAGTAGTTTAGTCTAATGAAATTTTCCATATAAGTGGATATTTCAAACCTCTAGACATCACATACTCCATACTAACTCAGTTGTTTACTAAATTACTAGATTACTAAATGAGAAAATAAATGGTTAGATCTTCTTTGAGAGAGATTATTCTTCATAATAACTTATTGGAAGTGGGCTAGAAGATGTTGGGATTTTTAGATGACTAAGGAAGTAAAGTGGAGTCATTGCACAAACAACTGTAGAAACAAACTTGATAGGATCATTTGTGCCCATGTATGTGAATTCATAATCCAATGCACAAAGACAAGTCAGTAACATCTTTAGTTGATTATTCTAGAAACCTAACGTGACATTAAACAGCTTTAAAGAACTGCTGCTTAACACAGCTTAGAAGGTTTTAACATTTCCAAATGCCACTGGGATCAATACGTACAGAGTTTAGGCTTTTGAATGCAAAACTGTTGCAACAAACGTGTGCACTTATTGTGCACTTGCCTACACAGCAGCAGCATTAATATGCATCAGAAAAGAGACCAAACAACTGCTGGTTCAGCAGGAATATAAACCTCTGCTTTGTATTCAGCAGGTGGTTTTAATGTTGTGGCTCATCAGTGTGACCCGAGGCAGGTAGCAGCAGATGATATTGTCATTTATTGTCAAAGCTGCTCGGCTGGTGAAAGAATGCTTCAGCAATACATGTAGCATGTGTCAGCTGGTAAAGTGTGTGAGCGTGTGAAGAGTTTGGACTTAATCATTTTCTTCGGCTCCTCCTTAGTTGCATTGTTTGTGAAGACTGCCTTGATGAGGGCTGCCTGTGTGGTTTCTATGCTAACGAGAGCCTCTCCAGGCAAACTCCACAAGTTTGTTACGCTGTGACGACAAACGAACAACCAGCAAGACAGAATTCAGAGGTGGCCAGAGAAGCAAATAACCTAATTTATTTTCCTGATTCGTGGCAGATTTGACTTTATAAAACAGATGTTGTGTTGAGCACAGCTGCACAACCCAGTGGCTCCAAACCGATGTTAATATTTCATACACTTCAAGTTGTTCTATTTCCAAAGGTGTTTAATTAAAGGACCGCTTTGACAGCTGCTACTGTTTTTGCTTTTCATGAAACACGTTATTTATTAATTCTGTGTGTGTGTGTTGAATATTGCAGGTGTGAAGGATTTGCGTCTCTATTCTTGTCCGATTTACAAGAAGCCAGTAAGGACAGACATGAATTACATAGCAACTGTGGACCTGAAGACGTCCCTCCCCCCAGAACACTGGATCCTCCGTGGCGTGGCTCTTCTCTGTGATGTCAAATGATCACTTTATGTTGTTGTGTATGCAGAGTAGACATCGAACACTTTTGATCAAAATTTCCTCAAGGAAAATGGTGATGAGGATAGCAAAATGAATGAAAATGGTTAGGGTTGTCAGAGAGACAGATGTTTGAAAATAAATAACTGTCTTTGCCTAAGTTTATATGATTACATCAAATGTAGAGCTACTGGGTTTCGGGTTGGGCTCTTTGTTTTCATGTGAGAGACAGCAGGAGCAGCTGGGCTATAAGAACCACAACTTAAATATTTTAGGATTTCCTCCCGTCTGATTGATGAGGTGATTAATTCTGTTTTTTTTTTTCAGGCAGCTCAGCTAATCACGTCAAATTATCTGAGTGAAACAACATTGTAGATGCATTTAGTTGGGTTGTCTCATTATTTCTCATTTAGAAGATTACATTTATGATAGAAGTGGATAAGATTCAGTGACAGATTCAGTTCTGACCCTGAGAAATCCAGTCACATAGACTCTGTCCGTCTGCTGACCAGGTGCAATCTTCAGTGTCAGCTGTCGCACATCCGAGCTGTAGACTAGGGAGTGATGTAACCTCCTCTCAAAAGAAGTACAGTCTGCTGTGAGATGTTCTTCCTCTTTATTGTAAACGCTACCCTGTGCTGTTTTGTTGTTAAAATAATCATTCAGGTAAAGAACACTCAACAGAACAAAGTACATATAAATTTTAATTACATTTTTGCAATAAAAATCAATGGTCTCATCAAAACACTTTAGTTGTATTTTCTTTTTTTACAAAACCATTTCACCATACACATTAAAGCTACTCTATACACAAACCACGCTCCTTGAAACAAAATATTTACACCATCTTGTTCTTTTAAGATGAAACAAATCTGTTTGGCTCAGAACGGAGGCTGGATGCATAAACGTGGGTAAATCTCTGACAATATAATTCATTTGTACTGTTCTTTCCTCCTCTGAAGGCACATTTATGCCCTGTTATGTAAGAAGTGAGATACTTTTACTGATGTAATTAATCAGTATTTTATTGTTCTGGGTCATGTAAAAAAAGATTTTTAAAAATGAAAATGTGATCCTAATTTTGAGACATCTCCAAAAATGTATTAAGTATCTTTATATGAAACATAATTAATTTAAACGTGTGGAACACTAATAAAAAACATTTTTGATCAATTATTTCTGATTATACTTCATGCAGGCTGAACATGAAAATAGTCTCCTACACCTATCTCCTGCAGTAGCTTCTGACAGAAAACAGACGGTGAAACTCTAGGATTAGAAAAGCCTGACAGATCTGCGTCACACTGTCACTTAATATTCATGGACTCACCCATCGTGTCTCACGACAGGGAAGGCTGTTGTTGGTTTAGCGTCCAGGAAACAGCACAGTGGCGTGTCCAGATGTTTTAAAATGGGGTGGCCCAGGTGAGGCACAACTTTGTGCATGGGTGGCACCAATGGTTATGCTTTTTTTGTTTTACCCCCAAGCCTTTTGTGGACAGTGAAAAGCCTATTTAAAGGTAAATTAGTGTGGTGGCACCTGGGGTGGCCAATTAGATTCCAAGGGTGGCATGTGCTACCCCAGGCCACTCCCTGGACACGCCCCTGAAACAGCAGAGAGCGTCTCAGCTGGTAGAAGCTAACCATTAGCATTAGCAACTCCACCACACAGCAGAACTCTTTCCCGCTTGTGTTATAGTGGAGATAAAACATCAATGTTGCAAGTTAGTGGTAGAGTCGTGTTGCTGTTAACCAATCCGGGGCAAGATGTCCAAATATCAGGAAATGTCAAAGCCTGCTGTCTGAAGCTCAGCTGTGATGTGGCTCACTTCTAGTTCATTCCTACTAGAGACCACTGCAAATGTATTGATTAAACAAGTGTACCACACCTTCAAACCCACAGCTGTATGAAGAAACTTTAAATCTGACCTCACACATACAAAATTGGCCCATTCTCAACACCCACTTTGAAACATCAAAACATGTGGGACATAAATCATAATAATGCATCCAGCCCCAGATTCTGTTTTCAGCAAGCATCACAAAATCTGTTGTGTTGAACAAACATGTGAGAATAAACAAATGTATGAAGACAACTTTGAAAATGTTTGTGTGTCCCAAACTACTTGTAGAATACATCCAAGACTTCATCTTCCAACCAAGTTCATCAGGTTAAGCATGCATTGTTGGCTTCTTGGTTTATTCAACAAGCGTCCCCTTTACTAGACTGGTTGGATATTTTAGGATGACTGTTTAACATTCATGAACCAGCGGCATACTGATTCAGTGGAAAGTTCCAATGCTCACTTGTAAATAGTTTCCTTTTTCTGAAACAATCTGATACCATTACAGGAACTTCTGTAGTAGATGACTGTTACAACCTTCCATCTCAGAATATTTTCATGGTTTACTAGCTACCTGTTGTCCACATGACACCCACATAAGTAACAGAATGCATTCAACAGCTGTGGCAGAGGTTACTTGCAATGTAATAGGTAGGTTTTCTTCTCTTCATGGACTAGATGCAACTTCTTCCTGCTCCTTGGGCTTAGATTAAAGTCCTGTGCAAATCCAGAATTTTTCTCAGCCAGTCTCACGGCATTACATTCCCTTGGGACAGTGAGCGAGTCATCTCTGTGTGCACAAAGAACGTCATGAGCTCTCCTTTGCCCTTGACGTTGATGATGCCTCTACAGGAGCACAGGTAGCCCAAAGTCAGAAGGACGAGACTTGTCTCCTCTGTCACCTACAGAGAGAAGCACACACTAATATCTATTTACCTTAGATGACAGGAAAAATTCCTCACAATAACGGCATAATCAAGCATTTCTTCATGACGTAACTCTGCGTCCCCATATTTCTGTTGCAATTTGAGGACTGTCATCTAAATTCAACATAGTACAATGCTGAAGTCTGCAGAAAGCACAGTTCTCCTTAGAAACTCAAACACGAGGGCAACATAAAACCATTTAAGCCATAAAAACAAATGTTCTGCATAAACAATAAAATAAATAAAACATCATCTGTACATTTAAAAGCATGAGTTTATATGATTATATCAAATGTAGATGCAGTATATTTTTCTCCTCTTATTTGAAGACGTCTACAGAAAAATGCCAAATACAGTTGAGACACTGTAGTTGTGCTGCACTGAACAGCAGACAGCTGCATCAAACGTGCACAAGCTGTGAAATGTAATCCAGCAGCGCGAAGCCTGAATGAGTCCAGTAGCCACACGCTGGGCTTGAGGACAGCCATTATGTCTTATCAGTGCTGAAACAGGCTGCCAATGTGAGATTTATAGATGTGACATTGAGATGATGAGATGGCCCCGCTGCCATGAATGACTCGTGCAGAGTTTTAGTCTTAAACATGACTGTGCGGCTGTTTAAAATGTCCTAACGTATTGGAGAGATGTCACGCTCAAACCCCAAGGAACTGCTTACAGACCTTTGAACACATCAAACATTCAAGGCTTTAGTTCATGTTATTGTCAATATTAAACATATTTCTGTCATGTTTGAAGCTTTATAAACTGTCACAGCTGTAGCTCAGGAGGTCGAATGGGTTGGCCAGTAATCGGAAGGTTGCGGGTTCAATCCCGGCTCCAACCAGAGAATGCTGCTGGTGTGTCTTTGGGCAAGACACTTAACCCGCCTTGCCTGCCGGAGGAACCAGTGGTTTCAGTGTTTGGCAGGCCTTGCCTCTGTCAGTGCACCCGAGGGCAGCTGTGGCTATGTCGTAGCTCATCCGTGTGAATGTGTGAATGACTGTGTTGTGAAGCGCTTTGGGGGGTTGTAGAACCCTAAGAAGGCACTATACAAATACAGGCCATTTACCATTCTATTATTATATTGCTTCATTTTTCTCTTGATTATCATTCTAAACACAGTTTTTCATGTGAATTTTGAACATTTTCATGATAATAGAGTGGACATTCACATGTGAACCTCTTGGAATACCGTGAACCACATGTGTTACAGTAGGCATGTGTAAACATGTTCTTCACATGGGATCACATATTTTCCTATGAAGAACATGTTCAAAACATATTTTTGTCTGTACATTGGTAAAATTTAACATTAACAGAACTTAATGGGATGCCCACCTCTGAAAAGATTAGATACCATTTTTTTCTTTCCTGCTGTGAATAATCTCTCACTAGAATAAAATGAAAATGACCTTATAAATCTGCTTAGCCTGATGGGCAGCAACATTAGCTCTTCTACAAATACACTTAATCAGTTGATCAAGAGCATTCAATAAGAAGCAACTAGCTGCAGACCCTTTTAATTATAATAAATATAATTACGACAGTGTTGCTTTTTTAATGCCATGGTTATGGGAAACCTTATTGAATTAGGTAAAATACCAAAAACAAACTCATTTACTTCACCCACCTGTATTTTCCCCAGCACTCCAGTGCTTTCCATTCTGCTGGCTACATTTACTGTGTTACCCCAGATGTCATACTGAGGTTTCTGAGCGCCGATTACTCCAGCTATCACTGGACCGTGATTAATGCCTGACAAAAGAAAACCAGGTAATCAGAAAACATTCAGATCAGTCTAAACATATTCAGAAAACACTGGGTCACTCTCTCTCACTCACTCACTCACTCACTCACACACACACACTCACACACACACACACACACACACACACACACACACACACACACACACACACACACACACACACACACACACACATAACATACATGAGTGTTGGTATTAGGGCTGCACAATATATCGAAAAATTATCGTCATCGCGATAACAGGACGTGCGATAGGCCCATCGCAAAGCACGTCAAAAATGGCGATAAATGTTTGGTTCAAACATTTCCATCTGTGTCATACATCAACTTTTTGTAAACCAGCTCTGTTTTTTACGCGGAAGTATTATTTGACCAATCAAATTTAGCCTTTCTGATATGCGGCCAATCAGATGGGTCCGTTCACGTAATACGCCCGCCCCCTACGTAGACCCTTACCCCAAAATTCCACTATCTCCGCTCCACCCCCGCTTTCCGCTGTCGCTCACTTCCCTTGTTCGTCATGCTGGCTCAGATTAAGGAACGCACTTTGTGCTGAGGTTTCTGGAATCAGCGCTGCTTTCAAACGTGAACGGGAGTCCGCTCGGTGTCGTTAAGCAGCTGATAATAACCGGGCTGACTCCGACACGTGCCGGTGAACCAACCCACCTTCATGTCGCTAGTGTTGCACCGGGTGGTGACGTTAGCCCCAGGCTCCGGTTAGCTTCCAGCTAAAAGGCTACAGCACTCTCCTCCCAGTCCCACCCTGCTAAAGAGGGCCTGTAAAAGTTCCCCCACACATCAAAGTGATTTTTCATTTATGAGCTTTTATAACCTTGTTAATCAGGATAGTTGATTTGCTGCTGCACATAAACTGTCAGTCAGAAGCTCTGCTAGCCGGTTATCTTGGAGGAGCTAGTTCAATTTGTTAGCTTGTTATCAGAATCATAGTTGCAGTTTCATCATCTGAGCTGCTTTTTAAGATCTAGGTAAACTTGTTCAATTTGGGGTTAAAAACAAACGTTTTCACATATTTTCCATGTAGTTTTTTTGCCAGCTCCTCTTCTGAAAGGTAGACAATTGTTTTTCTCTTTCCCTCAGAAAATCTTAATATTCTCCTAGTTTGGCCCAGCACAGTTCACTTCCCAATAGCAGCAACAGCCTTATATCATAACCACATAAGTGGAGAAAATGTTCAGTAGCAATGAGATACTTTGCTGTTGCATTTAAGTGATGTTAACCATTATTTAACATTTAAACTTATTTTCTGATTATTTATTTATTCAAAAAACCCTGGTAAGGGATTTTTTTCCTTATTTGGAGCATCAGAAAAAGTTTTATGGTGGAGGTGATGTTTTAAAGTCACTGAGAAACTGCATGCATGCAGTTTGTTGTTTTGCTGCTAATACAGTAGCAGGTGCAGCTGCATATTTCTGCAATAAAAATGTTATGCTGTAATGGAATTCATGCATTAGTTTTTGTTTGCTTTGAACCCAGAGCAGACGTCACACGCCAGACATCAACACTGCATACTTTAGTATTTGTTCATTTATCGTGAGTAATATTGATATTGCAATATTAAGCACTGTTATCGAACATCGCACGTTTTCCTAATATCGTGCAGCCCTAGTTGGTATATATAGATATAGAGGTGCATCAAGTTGGTAACATTATATATACAGGTGCTGGCCAGTAAATTAGAATATCATCAAAAGGTTGAAAATATTTCAGTAATTCCATTCAAAACGTGAAACTTGTACATTATATTCATGCAATGCACACAGACCAATGTATTTCCAATGTTCATTACATTTAAATTTGATATTCATAAGTGACAACTAATGAAAACTCCAAATTTGGTATCTCAAAAAATTAGAATATTCTGAAAAGGCTGAATATAGAAGACACCTGCTGCCACTCTAATCAGCTGATTTACTCAAAACACCTGCAAAGGCCTTTAAAAGGTCCCTCAGTCATGTTTAGAAGGCACCACAATCATGGGGAAGACTTCTGACTTAACAGCTGTCCAAAAGACAATCATTGACACCTTGCACAAGGAGGGCAAGACACAAAAGGTGATTGCTAAAGAAGCTGGCTGTTCGCAGAGCTCTGTGTCCAAGCACATTAACAGACAGGCGAAGGGACGGAAAAAATGTGGTAGAAAAAAGTGTACAAGCTCTAGGGATAACCGCACCCTGCAGAGAATTGTGACGACAAACCCATTCAAAAATGTGGGGGAGATCCACAAAGAGTGGACTGCAGCTGGAGTCAGCGCTTCAAGAACCACCACGAGGAGACTCATGAAAGACATGGGATTCAGGTGTCGCATTCCGTGTGTCAAGCCACTCTTGAACAAGAAACAGCGCAAGAAGCGTCTCGCCTGGGCCAAGGACAAAAAGGACTGGACTGATGCTGAGTGGTCCAAAGTTATGTTTTCTGATGAAAGCAAGTTCTGCATTTCCTTTGGAAATCAAGGACCCAGAGTCTGGAGGAAGAGCGGAGAAGCACAGAATCCACGTTGCATGAGGTCCAGTGTAAAGTTTCCACCGTCAGTGATGGTGTGGGGTGCCATGTCATCTGCCGGTGTTGGCCCACTCTGTTTCCTGAGGTCCAGGGTCAATGCAGCCGTCTACCAGGAAGTTTTCGAGCACTTCATGCTTCCTGCTGCTGACCAACTTTATGGGGATGCAGACTTCACCTTTCAACAGGACTTGGCACCTGCACACAGTGCCAAAACCACCAGCACCTGGTTCAAGGACCATGGTATCCCTGTCCTTGATTGGCCAGCAAACTCGCCTGACCTTAACCCCATAGAAAATCTATGGGGTATTGTGAAGCGGAGGATGCAATACGCTAGACCCAACAATGCAGAGGAGCTGAAGACGACTATCAGAGCAACCTGGGCTCTCATAACACCTGAGCAGTGCCACAGACTGATCGAGTCCATGCCACGCCGCATTACTGCAGTTATTGAGGCAAAAGGAGCCCCGACTAAGTATTGAGTGCTATACATGCACATTCTTTTCATGTTCATTCTTTTCAGTTGGCCAACATTAGAGAAACAAAAATTTTTTCATTGGCCTTTAGAATATTCTAATTTTCTGAGATACCAGATTTGATGTTTTCATTGGTTGTCACCTATAAATATCAAAATTAAACGTAATAAACATCGGAAATACATTGGTCTGTGTGCATTGCATGAATATAATGTACAAGTTTCACGTTTTGAATGGAATTACTGAAATATTTTCAACCTTTTGATGATATTCTAATTTACTGGCCAGCACCTGTATATATATATATATATATATATATATATATATATATATATATATATATATATATATATATATATATATATATATATATATATATATATGTATATATATACTGCCAGGAACAAATGAACCATGTGTTCACACTCAGTTTGGACTCCTGGTGGTTAATCGGTGGAACTCACCAACTCTGAGTTTGAAGTCGTTGAAAGAATGTTTGTTGATAACATCCAGCTTTCCCACCAGAGCAAATGCAAACTCCACCATGGTTCCTATGTGCATGTACTGCCTGTCATGTTCCTGCAGGGAAACACAAGTATCTTAATGCCTTCTGGATTTAATCATATTTATGATAGGAAAAGATGCATTAAATAATGCAAAAAAAAAACAAAACAAAAAAAAACAAGTGAACCCACCTGGGCTGCATACTCGGTCCCAGATGATGTATTAAGCCCGGTAGCAGCCATATATGTGCTACCAATTGTTTTAATTTTCTCCACACCACTGAACTTGGGTTTGGAAAGCAGCTACAGATCAAGATACAGACATGATGCACACAACAGCTCAAACAAAATCAAACATCATTAGAGTGCAAATCTTTTGTAAGGTTAGTCATGTGGATAGGATATGGATTGTAGCTTAAATAGGACAGTTTCTTCACTCACATCCTGTTAAAAAATCTTCTAGAAACGTATCAGTTTGTGTTTATCGTTACTAAAGGCACAGTTGACAGTTGCAATGCTGCTGTTCATTCACCTCATCAAAGTCAGCAATGATTTCGTTGAGAAGCCTGAGGCACTCTAATCCCTCCTTGTTGACATCAGATTCAGTATAGAACTCTTTAAAGTCTGGGATGGAGGCAAACATGACACACACTACGTCGTAGGATTGATGGTACAGATCCTGCAGGAAGGCAGCAGAAGAAAACATACAGAAATTAGTCTGAATGGTTCCAGATGATGCTGGAAGATGTGTGGTCACGCTGATAAAGCACAGGTTTATTTTATAATATAGAAGGTCAGATCTGGTCAACCGAAGATCTTTCTAAGTTTAAAGTTTAAATGCATGATGGTGCTCTTCAGAAAAAAACAAAACCACCAAAACAAACGCAGATGACATTAAATCTTCTCCAACATCGACAAGAAGATAAAACTCGGATGCTGTTTAAGAATAGACAGTCGAACTGCTGACTTTTTCCCACTTCAACATATCTGACATCCAGGATACCTCATTATCCAAAGCCACTTATGGATCTAAAATGTTGCACAGTTGACACTGTGAAAAGTATTCATGTAATATAAATAGACTGAAGCCTGACAGATTTTCCTAAACTGTCCCCTCATATCAGGTAATGAGACTTTTTTTCCCCTAGCCCAACTCCAAGTGCCCTTTCCATCAAAAATGTCAGTTTCCTACAATTTACAACCTTATTTTTGGTGACAGATATGCACAGGTACATCATTTTCATTTACCACATCAGTTGTGTCATATATTGTACATTTGTATGGCTTTACATACAACTGACATGCTGTACCATCAGCATAACCAGTGCCTACCTCGTTCTTCCAGTTGCGAGCCAAGAAGTGTTCTGCAACATGGGCAGGGAGAACGTTCTCCAGTAAAACCCGGTTGAGGTTCTCCATGGTTTCTATCTCTTCACATTCCTTCTTGAACTTGTTCTTCCAGAGAAAGTCTAACCTACAGTAATATTCATTCTGTTACAAGAGGACACAGAGGTGAAGAGACTGAAGATAGAGCTGTACAGTTTGCTTCCATTAAGTCACAGACACATAGAACTCTACCATGAATATGGACACTAGACGCAGCACAGAAAACAACAACACCTTTTAGCAAAAAGATGAGAGAACTGATTTCATACAGCATCAAATTTGCTTTCTAAAAAGCAGTGTGGATTTTGTAGCACGGGAAGGAATACATCTTTGTTGTTATAATTTCTGGCTGCTGCAAGGTCATAAGCCAGGAGCCATAATCACAGATAAACAGAATACTTGAACACCTCAGGGATGGGGGAGCGGGAGGAATGTCTCCTTACTTCCTCATGCAGCTGGTTCTAGGATCTCTGATTCTCCCACATCTTACTCCTCTTTCTGAGCATTAAACTACCCTACTCTGCCTCCTCAGACAGGTCTTTTATGGCTTTCCTCAAGTAACTTTGCCTCTGACAAAGTTCAAATGATGCATTGCACAGAGGCTGGGTAGCCTCTCCTGCCAACCTCCACTGGGAAGATGAAAGCTTTCCACCCTGCTTGTGAGCATTCTCCTGCCAGGTTTTTGTGCCGGTCCTTTTTCCTCAAGGGCAGCTTCCATTCCAAACACCATGGGATGGTCAACTCAACCAGGACGACAATGTGGGTTGGAAATGACCAGAGCACATTCAGGTCACAAGGAGGTTAAGAAAATCTCCTGGGGGAACTAGAGGGCCTGGTAAAGACCCACTACCAAACTCCAAGCGGTTCCTCATGACAGTCTCTTCGACTTGCTTCCATCTGGCAGGATGCTCTGATCCATTTGGACCAGAACCTCTTGCCACAAGAACAGTTTTCTCTCCTCTGTAGTTGAGCTCATGAATACAATTCCTAGGACTGTTCACTTCATTCACTTGACCTTGTGTTCTGATTATTATGTCTTGTACATATTAGTCATTTTTCTAATTACTGTTGCTCTATACGATTATATTATTGTGCTTATTTCTTGTTCTTGCACCAGCTATGTCCTAAAGTTGTGAACCTGCTCACATATATGACAACAAAACCATTCTGATTCTGATTCTTTAGGGGCCATAAATGCCATGGTCCTGATTCCCTTGCTTGATACAATGGGAAACCTGTCCTGCTGGTAGTCTCTTGATGTTTTGCTCAACAAATGTCTTGTTTCATTGCTTGCATTACATCCCACTCTTATCTGGAACGGACCTGGGCCGCGGTGGTACTGACAGCCAGGTCTGGTTGATCTCTCAGTTTGAAGTCATGTCCCATCTGTTTCTGATCTTAATTTAATGTGATGGATTTCAGTAGTAATGCAACACTGAGGCTGATCAGGCCTTGATTCTGTCACACAAAGCTTCTACCACACCACCTAAAGATTCAGTGCTTCAGATGAGATGAATACATCCTCTGGTAGGAAGATTTAAGTCAATATTTTCTGCAATAATTGAAGCATTCATTGATCAGACTCCCCATGGCAGCATTTTTAATTTTGACTTTACATGTGAGCTATCAGAGTGTACTACCAAGAAAAAACATGTTTGTCAGATGGATGAAAAAACATCAAGCAGAACGTGTAATCAGACAGGATATTGTGTTATCGTCTTAAATAGGGTTACGAAAATATGAACTTTCTATACGGACATGGGCGGACTGGCCTATCTGGCTTTCTGGCACTGTCCTGGTGGGCCGCTTGCCCAGCTTGGGCCAACACAACCCTCCCACTCCCACCCCACCCGCTCTCATATTCGACGCACCCCCATCCCCACTCCGAGGGCCGACGGTTCGTAAAAATGCCAGGGCCGAATTTTGGTCCTAGTCCACCCCTGTATCCGGATACAAAGTTTGTTCAAAGGGGTTTACTTATTGTCACACTATTTAGCATTAAAGTTGCTGTCCGGAGTTCTTTATTTTCAGGAAACATGCATGATTTTTCAGAAATCCATAAAAGATATATCATGTACTGTGATATAATGTAGGAAATATGTCTTTTTTTTTCTAAGCCCACCCCCTTGTCCCGTAGAGCTCCAAGCAATATGAGCTACCGATCACAGAGCATGCTTATGCCTTTACTGTTGATGCAGAGTTGGCAACCTCTCAATGACAAGTGTCTTTAAATTATAAATATTTGAAAAGACAACATAACATGAGCATAATAATTGCAAAACAGTGTTTAGCCTTGTTTTGTGAGCTAGACGGGTGCACTCCCGTTGGTCAGTGTTTGTGAGGGAGTAGACTTTTCAGAGTATGTATGTATATATATATATATATATATATATATATATATATATATATATATATATATATATATATATATATATATACATATATATATATATATATATGTGTGTGTGTGTGTGTGTGTACACATATAATATGTGCACAGATATTTACACAGCCTATATCCTGCATCATTTACAGTTTTTTACAGTTCATTGTTGTATTGTATTTATGTTTATTTTACTTAATTTTATATCTAAATACTCTTGGCATCTTAAAGCTTTGAGACTCAATCTATTCTTATTTTAAACAATTGTTAATGCGTTCAACACAACAATGATTTAGCCTTTTCTAACTCAGAAGTGTTCCTCCCATTCCAAAGTGAAGTGTTGCTCAGAACGAATTAATTAGTAGTTTGGCATTTAATGATCCTAATCAGTTCCATATCTTAGAGGCTTTTCATTTTTCCAGTTTGTACAACCAGATAAGACACATAGTCTTTGCTGCTGAGTATTGGGTCGGACCTTTTAATAAATCATTTAAAATGCACGTCTCTTTTTTTCTGTTTTGTTAGAAATTGCTAAACTATACAACAGTAAGAGATGGTTTTCTTTCATGGACAGTAAAGGTTAATGAAAGTCAGACCTTTCAGGAAATAAAATCAATGCTGAGTTAAACTTGAATTGATAGTTTCATGTTTATGAATGTTGAATCAATTATTTTTTAGACTCCTAAACCTTTTAGGCAGCACACCTTTCACACCTTTGACTTATTTGGTTTACTGCGTAAATTACGGCTTTGTTGTCTCCATGCACAAGTGAACAAAAACCCACTAATGCAGCTAAACATTTAAAGATTTGACTCACCGGTCCACAGCATCTGTTGCCATTTTTATGCACTTGTGTTTTTGACTTTGGTTGAGTCATTTGGACTTGTACATAGTGGAGGATTGTTGTTTTGTTGTCTTTGGCTACAGTTCACCAATATGAACTGCTTCAAGCCAGATTTATGAAGAACACATTCAACTCTAGTTCAATTTCAGAGCTGAACAGTTTCTAATCTAAAGCTTTTGACCTTTGACCTTTGTGCAAACGATAGCCTTTGTGCTTCTGTGAAAAGGGCTTTAACATGTTGAAACCTCTGTCTGGCAGATACACTGATGGTGTTTTTTAACCATGATGCGTCTTGCTGCTCAATATTGCCTTGATGTTTGACCTGTTGTTTACACTGTTTATGGGAAATTCTGTCCAGTATTTAATTTACAGAAACATTGGAAAACAAATTAGCCTTTTCCTCACCCAGTTGTAAACTTCCTACTCAATGTTTTCTGTTTAACACTGGCTGTGTTTTAATCTATGTACAAAAGCGATGATCATCAGCACGCATGTGCTGAATGAATGAACCCATCTATGATTAATGCATGTGCATCCAACTAGTAAACAAATGCTGCAGTGCCAGTGTAACCAGATAATTGCCTGCTTGGAATGTCCTGTCTACTCTAACGTTTTGTAAGTGGCCACAATAAACTGTCAATAAATATGAAAGGTATCCAACAAGGTATAATGTTCCATAAAATTACGAATCATTAATTTTATTCAACCTTCAATATCCAACTGACTCTGGAAAGAGGTAATTTGGGTATTTTAGGGAACCAACACACAGAAGCAAAAATGTGGTTTCAAATTTTCAATGTATTACTATATTACTACAACTAATAATCACTCAGGATAACTGCAGATAAATGATTATTCAAGGTAAAATCAACTGAGACAATAACCAACTCTGATGAAACATGATCTTCTATGTTATTAACCCTCTGGAGGCAGGCGTTGCAGATTAGCAACGTTAAAACCTACCTATTACTCCACATCCGTATTTCATGAGCATTTATTAACTCAGAAGTTCCCCTGAAGGACTTAGTTGTTCGTCCTTTTATCAAAAGTTATTTTGAGCCTGAGAGGGTTAAGAGTCTAATTAAGTGCCTTAGGAAAACATGTGGTATCTGAGATATGAAGAATATTCTGGCTGATGTTTGACTAGCTATCAAATAGGGCTGCTCAATTAATCAAATTTTAATCACGATTACGATCTGAGTTTTGAACGATTATAAAAACAAAACAAGCCGATTATTTGCTCCTCCCACTTGCGCTGCCCTGAGTTGCAAATGAAGCGCTCCTCCACAGTGTTGCCAACTGTAGAGGAGCACACTTTGACGCTATTTCTAGCAGCTTTTAAGACCCCCTTCTTGACTTTTTAAATCTTAAAAGTACCTAGCGAACACCTCAAAAACATCTCTGGTAACCCTTAGCTACTTTCTGGATAACTGTCGTTGACATTTCCTGCAGGTTAGCTAAACACTCCACCTGCGCTCCGGACCGTTCAACAGGACATTAGGAAAGGGAATGATGTAGTGATGTGTCGGTCGCTAAAGAAACAGCTCTCAGAGCCGGCTCCTTGTTGGAGTAACCAGAGTGAGTGACACACACACCGTACCTGTGGACTCCTGAGCCGCTAAAAATGGCTAAATGTGCATGTGCGGCGCGCTAAACACACGTGCAGCTTGCCCCTGATCGCTGTGAGACCGGGTTAGGGGGTGGGGGGTGCAGCTGTGGTTGGGACAATTATTACATTAACTGATGGACTTGTAAATAAATAGTTTATAAATAAGGTAGAAATAAGTTCCTCACGCTGATAAATAATAACTAATCTCTCTGAGGACACGGTGCTAGTGCACTCTCCTACAGCACCTAGACACGACTCAATAAATGTTA